CCCCCCCCCCCCCCCCTCCTCACCATCACCATATTGATGTTGATGACCTCGATAGGCGTATCTCGCGCTCGGCACAGTCTGCGCCCCGCGCCTCGGCCCGTTCGCGCGTTTTGCGGGCTTGGCGGCGCTGAGGACGCAAGGGGCAGCTGTGCCCGAAGAGTTGGCAGCTGAGCCGCTTGGGGCGCTGGTGACGCGGGTGTTGTATAGGTTGCGCGCGACGGCTGAGCAGGCGCCTTTGGACGCGGCCGCGTTCGGCTACGTCTGGCCTTTACTGGGCGAGGTGATGCTGAGAGGTGGTGTGGGCGTTCAAGAGGGTGATGGGGGTGGTGAGAGCGGGGAGGAGGGCAGTCCGTTCGAGCAGGTTGCGCTTGCGCTTGATGTGGTCAAGTTCAACGTGGGCGAATGTGCGTGCTCCTCTCTTTCTCTTATAGAACGCAGGCTGACTGGAGATGGTGATATACAGTCGGAGACGCGGCGTTCCCACGCGTTCAGATCATCACCGCCGTTTTACACGCTATGCGCACCCAGCTCCGCCTCGCGAAAGACGCCTCGTCATCCCTGGTCGCTCTAGGCGAAACCATCGCCTCATCCCCCGCCCCCACCCGCTCAGAAGCCGATGCACTCTTGCAAGGCACACTGGTACAAGAAGCCCACGCCCGTACGGCATGCCTGCAAGCCCTCGCCCCGCTCGACCTAACAGAGCGCGAATGGGCCCCGGCGCTCCTCATCGCCTGCTCGGACGAAGACGACAACAACGCCCGGTTGGCGCGCGGGATATGGGACGATAACGGGCTGGACGTCCCAGCGGATTACGCACCCTTACTCCTGTCATTCCTCGAGCACGACGTCAGCTACGTCCGGACAGGCGCCGCACAGGCTCTAGCGGAGGCCGTCGAGCACTGGCCCGCGAGCGTCAGCGATACGGTCGGAAGGATCAAGAGTATGTACGTCGAGCGGGCGCAGGTTATCAAGCCCGAGTTCGACCAGTACGGGATGCTCGTCGAGGGCTCGCTCGAGCGTGCCGATCCGTGGGCTGCGCGCGCGGCGCTGGCCGGCGCTCTGGTTGCGCTCGCGCCATTACTTGCGGAGGGAGACGTGGTGCCGCTGTTCCAGTTCCTCATCGACGAGCCGGCCGCGCTCGGCGATCGACACGCGGATGTGAGGAGGGGGATGCTCGAAGCGGGTACGGCGGCCGTCGACGTGCACGGGTCGAAGCATCTGCCCGAGCTGATTGGCATGTTCGAGGGCCATCTGGCGCGGAGCCATCCGGCGAGCGAGAGCGCGGATTATGTGCAGGAGGCCGTTGTTGTGCTTGTGGGGAGGGTGGCTCGGCATCTGGAGGAGGGCGATCAAAGGCTGCCGAGTATTGTTGCGCGGCTGGTGGACGCGCTTAAGACGCCCAGCGAGCAGGTGCAGGTGGCCGTCGGCGATTGCTTGGCTCCTCTCGTGCGCACCACACGCAACGACGCGCCGAAACTCGTCCAACAGCTCCTCGACGAACTCTTCAACGCGCCGAAATACGCCGCGCGGAGAGGCGCGGCGTACGGGCTGGCGGGCGTGCTCAAGGGCGTGGGAATCGCTGGCATGAAAGAGTTTCATGTTCTCGAGAAGCTGAAGGAGGCGAGCGAGGATAAGAAGCGGTACGAGCCGCGGCAGGGGGCGATGTTCGCGCTCGAGACGATCTGTACGACGCTGGGGCGCGTGGCGGAGCCGCATGCGATCAATGCGTTGCCGTTGTTGTTGTCGGCTTTCGGCGATGGTGTGCCGGATGTGCGTGAGGCGGCGCAGGACGCGGCGAGGGCGCTTATGAGGAATATGTCTGGCTACGGCGTCAAGCTCGTCTTACCGGACCTCTTGGCGGGACTGGACGAGAAACAGTGGCGGACGAAGAAGGGCAGTATCGAGTTGCTCGGTATGATGGCCTACTGTGCCCCCCGACAGCTCAGCCAGAGCCTGCCCGTCATCATCCCGCGCCTCACCGGCGTCCTCACCGACAGCCACGCGCAAGTCCGCCAGGCGGCCAACAGGAGCCTGAAGCAGTTCGGCGAGGTCATCGCGAACCCGGAGATCCAGACGCTCGTGCCGACGTTCCTCAAGGCGATGGTGGACCCGGGCAAGACGCCCAACGCGCTCACCGCGCTGCTCAAGACGAGCTTCGTGCACTATATCGACCACTCGTCGCTCGCGCTCGTCATCCCGATTCTGGAGCGGGGGCTGAAGGAGCGCGGCGCGGACACGAAGCGCAAGGCGGCGCAGATCGTGGGCAATCTGGCGAGCTTGACGGACGCGAAGGATTTCGTGCCGTATTTGAACGGCTTGATGCCGATGGTGCACGCCGTGCTCGTCGACCCCGTACCCGAAGCGCGCGCGACGGCGGCCAAGACGCTCGGCACGCTCGTCGAGCGCCTGGGAGAGGCCGCCTTCCCTGATCTCGTGCCTGGGCTGCTTCGCACGCTCAAGACGGACACGAGCGGCGTGGACCGGCAAGGCGCCGCTCAAGGTCTCTCCGAAGTTCTCGCGGGTCTCGGTATGGAGCGGCTCGAGGGTCTGCTGCCGGACGTCATCGCCAGCGCCCAAGCGCCCCGCGCGAGCGTGCGCGAGGGGTTCATGTCGCTGCTCGTCTTCCTCCCCGCGACGTTCGGCGCGCGTTTCACGCCGCATTTGCCGAAGATCATCGTGCCGATCTTGAAGGGTCTCGCCGATACGGAGGAGTACGTGCGTGAGGCGGCTATGAAGGCGGGCAGGATGGTTATTGCGAATTACGCGACGAGGGCTATCGATTTGCTGTTGCCGGAGCTGGAGAGGGGGATGTTCGATCCTGGATGGCGTATTCGTGTACGTGTCATCTCATCATCATATTGTCGTGATGTGCAGAAAGCTGATGTCGAGATTGTAGCAATCGTCCATCACGCTCGTCGGCGAGCTGCTGTTCAAGGTTTCCGGTATCAGCGGCAAGAACGAGGTCGACGAGGACGAAGAAGGCGCAGGCGCGGATGCCGTCGTCGCAGAGAGCTCGCGCCGCGCGCTTACAGAAGTCCTCGGCGAAGCGCGCCGCGACCGGATTCTCTCCGCGCTCTACCTCGCGCGCCAGGACTCGGTGCACGCCGTCCGCACATCGTCGATCCACATCTGGAAAGCGCTCGTGTCGAATACGCCGCGCACGGTGCGCGAGATCTTGCCGACGCTCTCGGAGCACATTATGGCGCTGTTGTGCAGCTTCGACGAGGAGCAGGAGGACACGGCCGCGCGGACTACGACCGAGCTGTGCCGCAAGTTCGGCGAACGCATCGTCGGCGAGGTCGTCGCTATCATGCGTGCCAAGTCTTCTTCACCAGATGCACGCACGCGCGAGGGTGTGGCGCGGATGCTGTGCGAGGTTATGGCTGCTGCTACAGACACGCAATGGGAGGGCGCCGAAGACGAGATCATCGCTATGGTTCGAACCGCGCTCGTGGACGATGAGGCGCGCGTACGGGCCGCCGCTGCTCGTGCATTCGATATCTTGCAAGACAAGCTCGGCGCTAAGGCCATCGATGCGACGATCCCGACCTTGCTCGAAGCGCTGCGCCAGCCCGGCGCTGGGTCTGGCACTGCACTGCAGGCGCTCAAAGAAGTCATGGGCGTGCGCGCGAACACCGTGTTCCCCGTGCTCATACCCACGCTTACTGCACTGCCCATGAGCGCTTTCAACGCCAATGCGCTCGCTACGCTCGTCGCTGTCGCCGGGTCTGCGCTCAGCAAGCGGCTCAACGTTATATTGGGAGCTTTGGCGAAGATGACGGAGCAGTTGCGGAAGGAGCCGGATGAGGAGCTTCAGGAGGCGATTGATGAGGCTGTTAGGGCGTTGTTGGAGAGTGTTGATGATGCGGAGGGGTTGAATACGCTTATGCTGCTTTTGCTCGGTTGGTGAGTCTTGCGTTTCATGTGTTTCTTGCTTTGCCTCCCTTTGAAGTGATGCTGATTTTCGCCGCAGGATCAAGCACGAAGACCCCGAACGCCGCGTCACCGCCGCAGACTACTTTGCTTTGTTCTGCGAAGTGTCAGAGCTCGATACATCGCTGTACCGCGTTGACTGGATCCGCGTGCTCATCCCGGCCATGGACGACTCTATCGTGGCAGTTCACACCGGTGTGTGGAAGGCGTTCGACGCGTTCGTCAAGTCTGTGCCGAAAGACGAGCTCGAGCCGCTCGTGGTGCCACTCCGTCGCTCGATCGAGAGTACGGGTTCGCCACATGCGCCGGTGCCAGGCTTCAGCCTGCCAAAGGGCGTTGCACCTTTCGTGCCCATCATCATTGCCGGCCTCACTACGGGCAGCAACGACCAGCGCGAACAGGCAGCATACGCTATCGGCGACCTCGTCGAGCGCACGGAAGAGTCGGCCATCAAGCCGTTCGTTGTTCCGTTCACCGGCCCGCTCATCCGTGTGGCAACTCAAGCGACCACGTACCCTCCCGCGGTCAAGACCGGTATTCTCAGCGCGCTCACGACGATGCTGGAGCGCATCCCGGCATTCGTCAAGCCTTTCTACCCGCAGCTCCAGCGCACGTTCATCAAGAGCGCCAGCGATCCTGCCAGTGTGGTTGTACGGACCAAGGCTGCCACGGCGCTCGGTGTACTCATGCGTAGCCAACCGCGTGTGGACCCCGTCGTCACCGAGCTCGCTACCGGTGCACGCCAGAATGACGACAGCATTGGCTCGAGTCTGGTTCAGGCTCTTGCGTATGTTGTACGTAGTGCTGGGAACAATGTTGGGCCGGCGGCGCGTGAGACGGCGATTGAGCTTGTGGCGGAGGCGTTTAGGACGGAGAACGATGAGACATACTCGAAGTCAATTGGAATGTTGTTCGCGGCCTTGACGACCTATGGCGAGCTTGTACAGCCTATCATCGAGTGAGTATTACTTCACATCTGTTCCTTCTCGACTCCCGCTAATATCTTTACTTTGTAGTGCACACCTCGTACCTGGCACCGACGTTAACACGCTCTCGACTCACTGCATCCTCTCCGTGTTGACAGCTTATGAGGAGGACGATGCTGAAAACAAGGAACTGCCACCCGTGTTCGCCGCATCGCTACCTGCCCTCGCGAAAAAGATCAACGAGAACCTCGGGAGCGACCGTGTCAACATCACACGGCCATCTCGCGAGGCGAAGGAGATCCTCCGGCGCATCGACGCGTCGCTCATCTAAAAGTTCTCATGTGCTCTCTCCGTCTTCTGCTTCTTTCTTTGCAAACTACTATATCCGATCGTACACACAACACGACTCTTGTATCCCTTGCACAGCATTGCTCTTGTATGTACCGAATTGTCCAATGTCCGAATCAATCAGGGTTCCTGTTCTGAAGGTTGTTTGACGTGCAACATGTCGAGAATGGCCTCCAAACGAGGGTTGCCGCCGAGCCGTGCAAGCTCGTCGCGGGTCTGCTTCTCGATGACACGCAGTACATTGAGCGTATAGTCGAACGACTTCGTCTTTTCTCGTAGGTACTTGATAGCGTGCGTCTTCAGAGTCGGGGTGGATGGGCGCTTCTGCAGGATATCTGTGTGCACAGTGATCAGATGAAGCTCCGATTCGCGGAGTGAAACGTACTGAGGAGTTGGCGGTCGCCGGGGTTTGCGCGCACGCCATGAACAATCGGAAAAGAGAACTTCCCCTCGGTCAAGTCTTCAGCGAAGCCCTTGTTCGTCGCGTACTCGTCTGCCTGCAAGTTCATGTAATCGTCCCTGATTTGGAAGAGTACGCCGATCAGGTCGACAAGCGGTACATAATCGCTACAGTACATGTCAGATAGCATTTACGCAGTGGGAAGAGCGCATACATTGTTGTATTCGTCGTTGCACAGGTCATCATGAGTTTGACAGCGACGCGGAAGAGGCCGCCGGTCTCTAAGGAGCTGTTAGCAGCGTTCCAGCCCGATGATCGTCGCCGTACTGTTATTGACCATTGACAGGTATTCCTCCTCTGTCGGACAGCTGAGCGAGTCTCGCCATACGAGTTCTTGGCCCTGACCGCGGTGCAGGTTTAGCAATTCGTCTGGAAATGTGATATCTCAGCATCGAGCCATGTTGAAACACGACTCTCCCACCCGTTACGATCTTATCGAGATCTGCGTCCGAATAAAGCCGTTGCGGTGGTTGTGGCGCATCTGGTGTCTTACGGCCAGAGGTAGGCCGTAGGGCAAAGAGCTCCTTGTATGCGAGGAAGTAGACATAGTTCGCACAGTTGATCGTCTGCGGAATGCCATAGATCTTGTGAGCGACTATAAGGCACCAATATAAGCGTCGATCTGGGCCAGCATCGAGACGGGCATGAAGATAGTCCGCTTTTCCTGCTTACCTGGCTGGCCACGTCGAAGCTGAGAGTCGTCCTCAATATCATCGACACTACGCGTAGCGCATGAGTGGATGCGCAGTAAGGCAGACAACTGACCCTCTTACAGAAGACTGGCGTTATGAAGCATCCCAATCACGCGCCTGATGACCTGAAGCTTCTCTTCTGGTACCGCGAGCCAGATATTGAACGCAGATATCATAGCCCCGCGTATATCCTTGCCGGGCATGTTGGTAAGGTATGTGAACGGCTCCAGTAACGCCTGGGTGCCACAAGTAAACACCGTGAGCCACACGACAAGGAGGTACAACAGACAGAGTCATTGCGCTCGGAGATCGCAGCAGATGAGCTCAAAAGAGTGTCTAGCAAGTTTTCATACTTATCAGCCATGCTGCTTGAAGCATCAGCGAGGTGTGCGACAGTTGTAACGTGCTATGAGACGTAGACAAGATGAGAGCTTGGCAGCAAGAAGGTCTTTGCGCGGGACCGCGTCATATTGGGCTCACGCGAAACCCACGAGGGAAAATATCCCACACCGGTGGCGTGGTCTCGAGTATTCGGCGAGCGCCTTCACCTCCTACGTCCACCATAGTCAACATACAACTGCGTGTATCGAGCCCCAATAGCGGCCAGGCCTACTTGTACTCGATATGCGCTAGTTGGTAGTCAGGGCTGATAACTTTCGCGCCCGGGTTCGACGGCGTTCAAGTCTGATCAGCTCGCGAATTTTGCCCCTTGTTGCTGCGTACGTCAGGCTGTGGCTCGCCCGCGTCCGATCCTCGCCTACATCCACCCGGAGGACGCCGTGCAATAAATCTATACTGGGTGTAATAGCTGAAGACGCAATACAAACCGCCATGCCGCGTGCCCGGGTCGAATAAACTCGGGTCCTTGTTGATTACCTCGCCGTGTCACTCCTGCTGGTTTGGGGTGGCGCGCCTTGTTCTCCCAACCGTGCGTGTGAGCGCCGCGCATGTCGGGCTATCCTGGCGACCTTCCCTTCTTCTAGACCCTGCACTCAGCGTCGTCCTTTTGTGTACTCTATTAGGGGAAACGTATCGTACCTCGCCATCATCAGAAGGGCCTGTCGCCAGGGCTCGCTCGCCTTCTTTTGTTTTGAGCCGTATATCTATACGGTTCCTTGGATCATTCTATCCGCATCCCGGGGCCCCTGCTAGACTAGGACCCAGCGGCTTCCACACTTTCCCTCTCTGTATCCTACGACACTCTCTGCTCAGGTAGCCATGAACTCAGGTATAGTCATCGACGAAAGTTGGTGCCGAGCTTTACTCACGAATTGTACAGCTGTGCTGATTACCGTATTGCTTCTTCTTGTTGCTTTCACCTTGGTCTCCGTCTCCTACACTGCGTACATCGTGCTCGTACGCCGATCCGGGGCCCGCACACAAGACAGACTTCCTTGGAGCACGTTGGGTATCGCGTCTCAACAGAGGACAAAAGTGGTGGACATAACGGCTATCCCTGTGCTGCCAGCTCCCTCGTATCGAGGATCTCGAGCAAACCATGGTGCGTCGGTCAACCTGGTTCAACATCTATTCATCATGGCTTACCCACGATTACAGAGAGCACACCTTCTATGCGCGTCGCATACCAGCAACGCGACGGTTCATGGGCGTTTGCTGGCCCGTTGGACCCTTTCGCGCCGTCTCTCTTGGTCTCGCCGCGAACGACTTCGTTCCACTCGGCCTCACCTACGCCAAGCCTATCACGCCATCACGAGAAGAAGCTCTCAGAACTCGGTTCGCTCGGTCTTGACATGGATATTCTTCTTCCGCCGCCAAGCTACAGTCAGGTCGAGCGAAGCCCTTTGAGTCCCCGATACTCAGTAGTAGTGCTTGACACATCAAGATCACCGTCTTTGACGTGTTCCCCACCACATACGTATTCCGAGGCCATACATTCATCCGGCGTCGAGGCGCCTTCGCTTCCACTCGTTTGTCCCGTGAGCCCGCTCTGGCCGAAGTTATCGGATCGCGAGACGGTTTGAGTCCTTTGGTACGCCGAAGACGGTGAACTCTACACACATTCCATGACATTGACACCTCACGTTCCTTCCCCCCCGTAATGTCACATACTTCATCGTACATAATAGTGAGCTCGCGCTGGTGCGCGGGCTCATACGCACTCGTTCGTCTTACAATCATCCGATCGCACATCGCATACCACTATCTATCCCACCTGTAGCCTTAGTTTTCGTCTTTTTCTGTGGACATTGACTCTTGCATCTGTATATTCTATCATATCATCGCGCATCGATTTCCGCTCGGCTACTTTTAGCGGCGGACTGCTCGCCAATATATATACAATTGAACCACTCCATCCCTCCAGAGAACACGCAGGGGATACTTGTACTAAGATGTCTACTGCAACGGCATCCAGACATGGTGGCTTCGTTGGCCGCGGTGCTGAGTGCCTCAGACCGCCCGCGCGCGATACCATCGGCCGTGGGGCACAGAGTGCATCTCGTTAATCGTGGGACAGTAGAGCCGCCAGGGATCTTGTAGGACCCAGTGCTCCTTGTGAGAAGCGCATGCCCATGCAGCATTCGACTTAGGTGTTTAATTCAGGAGAGTAGGGCAGGTTGCTGGGTAGGTCGGGAAGCAATGAGTGATATCTTCACAGTTTATGCCCGAATAAACGCCTATGCTTTTGAGCCGCGACATGGAGCAATAGCATAATACGATGCTCTTGTCGGTGGCATAGAGCAGTTTGACACTGAAGTACCAACCAGGCCGCTCGACGCCATTCGCTGCCATCACACGGCGCGACGCCAGATGGCCGCAGCAAGAACGAATCGCCTCTCCCATCTCAGCCACCCTTTCCAGCTCCCGCATCCATTGCACACACTCAGCTGGGTCTCTCACCAGTCCGTCACACTCCGTAGTGTCTTCGGCACTATTCTTCTGTCGCAGGCGGGGAAGAGTCGGCATAGTGCGTCGAGGGGAGCGTTAGGGCTTTGAACAGGTCGAGCGTCTGCGATAGCGATAGATCGGCCTGCTGCGCTAGTGGGAGCAGATCGTGCCGTAGAAAGTGCACGCGCGACGCCGTGCTCGACGACAGCAAAGCGTGCGTCAGATGCTCAAGCGGGAGCGGCCAGTCCTCCGTCGAAAGCACATATTCGACCGCGCCAGAGCCCTCATCGTCGCTCATCTCCTCTGCTGCTGCCGGATCGGTCGCTGTAGATTGAGAGAGCCAGGCGCTGATGTCCTGCTTGGATGTGTCCACCGGCTTTGTGCGCGCTTGGAGACGCGCGAAGGTGCGGATCGGGAGAGGCACGGTGACAAGTCGAGAGAGAAAGTTGTGCAGACGCGTCGATCGACGCGACTCGAGCGCGTTTTCGGAACCGCGCGCCGCGGAGGGATGTCCGAGGCCATCATTCCGTGTCTTGCGCTTAACCGTCATCTTCACTGTCTATCCTCTTCTCTTCAACGATGCCTCGTCATTGCGGCAGACACATGGCATGGCCTCTCTACTCCGTACCATTCCGCGTGACTATACGACTCCGTCTCAATATCACACGTGCTTCCATACACTCCTTCGCCTCACACTCTCATGCGATGCGGCGCATCACATCCCGCCATGGTTCTTCATTCCACTTGCTGCCTGATCACACGTATATCTAAGGATAGTACCACACACGTTCCTAGTCTCGCACGCCAAAATCACATTGATCGCAGATGCATACTGCCTACACAAGAAGCACACCGTACACCAGGGCGACCGTACTCAGGCGAAGATGAATCAGCGCCCTGGTTCTAAGTTGGATCGCAAGCGTAGATTCTGAAACGAAATAAAGGCTGCGCTCAGCATTCGCAATACGTAGACTGGATCCCGCAATATGACTGACCTGGGTCTGCTTGCTTCTCCGACCGCCTATCCGCGAGAGCATAGTTATTGAGCACGCTCCTCAACGTCTCCATCCACGGTCTATCAGGATCTGGGGTTTCTTCCAGCGTTCCGAATGTGGTATAGTTGAGCGGAAGATAATCTGTATCATGGTCTTCGCCGACTGGTGCCCATGGACCATCGGATTGATCAGAGTCAGTGATAGACTCGGAGGCAGGGCGGGCCGAGGACAAAGGTGTGAGAGGTTGCGATCCGAACTGTGAGGACTCTTTATGTGCAGGAGTGCCCTCGAAGGCATCGAAAGGATCCGCTTCGGCCTTCAGTAGAGCATATAATATCTCTGGATCCCAGGTCCTACATGAGGCCGCATAATAAAGTGCTGTACACCGTCGCTCGTCGACGATGTTAGTGTCCGCACCTCGGCTAAGCAGGGTCTTCACGATATCCAGACTGCCGTCAAGAATATTCTGGCACACATAGTGCAGGGCGGTCTGTCCGTTGCTATCACGCACATTCACTATGTCCTTCCCTTCAGAGATGGGCAGGAGTGCATGTACGACACTATTGGTTCGTGATACTGCCACCTGACTGCAGGCATAGTGCAACGCGGTGCGTCCGGCAGTGTCGAGCGCCTTTCGATCGACCCCCGCTTCGAGGAACAGGATAGCAAGCTCATAGAAGAGTCCTGGGACATGCAATACACCCCGACCATCCTTGTCGCGTGCATTGACATCTGCACCACAAGCGATCAACATTTTGGCATCCTCGTACAAACCGGCGAGCGATGCTGCCACCAATGGCGTTTTACCCGCCAGATTCCGAGCGTTCACGTCAGCACCGTGGCTGATCAACAGCTCGATCATCGCGCGGACATCTCCCTGGTAAGATGCTCTCTCAATAACACAGTGTAAAGGTGTATTCTTCTTAGCATCCAGCACATTCGCGTGTTCGGGGCAATGCTCCAGAAGCGTGCGCATCACAGAGACATCGCCGACCGCCGCCGCATCGTGTAAAGCGGCGCGTCCGTCGGAGCCTCGCAAGTTAGGATCGGCTCCGTGCTGGAACAAGAGCTCGAGAAGGTGGCCGGTCGGATGTTCATCAAGCGACCGCGGACTCTTAGGGTCCTCGCGTACACCAATCATGTACCGATCATCCAATGCCAAACGTAAAGCTGCAGCATCGACATTTATTCCGCGTGACAGTAATAGATTCAGTGCTGGCACAATTGATGTCTCGACTAGAAGACCGGGCTGCGGTAGGGCGTTGAATTGTCCTTGGGCAAGCGAGTCTGCCCAGCCATAGATCAGGTCATGTAATGGAGATCGGCCCTCGGCTCGAGTATTGACATCGAGCCCGTGATCGAGCAGAGTCTGCAGGACTTTGGCCTGAGAGATGGGTCCGGGCGTGAGCCGGCAGTACTTGCGCGCATCGCAGGCAACGTGTAAGAGAGTCAGTCGGCGTTCTGAGCCGTAGAGGTCTCTTCGACGTGGGTAGAAACGAGCATAATTGTGCACGTATGCCACGACTCCATTCACGTCATCCACGATGCCTGATGCCAACAAGCCCTCCATGATCTCAATGTGTCCGGCTATGACTGCAGCATGCAGAGCACTGCGACCAACTTCTCTAGGGAACGTTGTCAAAGTCATGAGGTGCTTCGCTTGTTCTACGAAACCAAAGTAGGCAGCACATATGAGCGGATGATAAGACACTTCCAACTTCAGTGTGCTCTTGCGATCCTGTCCCGCAGGGACGTCCTTCCAGTGATTTTCCCCAACGAGTTCTGACCACCTGTAGAATGCTCGAGGTTCCGCCTTGCTGGCAGGCGGATCTGCGATGATGCTTATACCGTGGCTGGAAGGTAGCAAAAGAGTGTCGAGAAGCGGAGCTATTCTCATGGCTACTCCGGGGAACGTCGCATACACCATCCAGTTCTGTACGGCATGGTGATTTAGGGGGGCATCTTCGTTCAATGAGTGTAGAGAGCTGATAGAAGCCTGGGCCAAGGTCGCATGTGCCTCCAGGGCGTCAATGTGATACTGCGATGGCGCTCCAGCCGAAGTAAGATACTCGTGAACCGAGAAATGAGCAAAGCTGATCTGCGCTCCATGGGGATTTTCAGGTAATGACGATGACACAGAGATGAGACCAGAGCACAGTCTGAGAACTTCATGTAACGGGTTCGAAACACGGTATTCAGGACGAAGGGTCGCGCACCCCATATCCTTATCAAACTCGATAGCAAATATCTCTGCAAGTTCGCCGGCCGTGAGTGGAGCAGTAGCGAACGCTATACATTGCAGGATGCGCAAAGCGTCGTCGATACAGGTCATTTCAATGGAATCTAAGATGCGAAGGTAGGTCTCGCCTAACGTCGCGGGTAAACTTCGCAATGCTGATTCGACATGCTTTGGAAGACATTTTCGAAGGCCATCGAGTTGGAGGGACACCCAACGAAACCTGACAATTATATCAGATCAACGCACGGCCAATCACATGAGAGTGGTCCTACATTCCGTTTGCCTTATCGTGCAGAGATGTCTGCGCTAGATCGACCAAATGGCTCGGCCACTTCCGAAATGTCGAGTCCGAAGAAAGCGAATGCATGATGTATGACTCTATGTCACGCGAATGGGACTGTACATTGTGCACGTCTATTTCCTCTGCATATCTTGTGGCACGCCATTCATCGAAGACTTCGCGGATATCGACCTCAGGACGACTGGACAGCAAGATATGCATGAAAGTCGAACTTTGTCGCAATAATTCATCCAGACAAGGAAGGATCTTGGTGCGCCTGGTATCTGGCGAGCATTCGTCTATAGCATCGAGCACGAGATAGACAGGTTTTGCCAGGGCGGAAACGAGATCCTTGAACAGAGCCATCAACAGAGAAGTTCCAGGTTTCCCTTTGACAGAGTTACGGGCGTGGAAACTTCTGAGAAGGCTGGCGCAGTCGGTAGAGGCATCGCCCAGTTGAAGAACGAGCGAGACGAGTAAGCCGTGAACATCCTGTTTGGTCACGTCCCTGAAGTCAAAGTAGTACGATGCGGCGATGTTGGTGGGATCTTCGTTCAGATAATCGATGACAGAAGCGCTGGTGAAAGTATGAGCCTTAAACAGATAGCGACAGACGATATGGGATCCGTACCAAAGAACGGTCTTCCCCGAGCCAGCTGAGAAATGATCGGTATTCGAGGACGACACAGGGGTGGAAGGGGCTCACGCTTCCCGTGTATCCATAATAACGACGACTCGGCGTTCTTCCATGATTCGAGGGCGGGATTGTTCAATAACCATGTGCAGGTGCCGGCGTGACGAGACTCTACGGCACGATCATGGTTTGCAGAGGAATCGGGAGCAGCTAACCACTCTCGTATGTGGACGTCCACTATCTATGGTGAGCTCAGCCGACCGGAAGTGAGGTCGCAATGCTTACCCAGTGCTGTGACATGGGTCTCGATACGTTGAAGGGCATCCGATTGGCCTTCGTCATCTAAAGCACAATCGTCAATGAAGTAGCACATGTTGAGGTCGACGTGACGAACTGCTGCGCAGGATTTCAACCTCGGCCAGGATTTGCTGAGCTGTGGCGTAGTTTTCGACAAGTGTCATGCGCGTATCAAGAGTCGTGAGTTTGTCTAGCCCCGCAAGTGCGTCTTGCATATCGTGGTTGCCTGATACTACCTCAATCCAATGCACTGGAGGTTGGTGAGTTGACTGATCAAGCGAGACATATTCTGATGTTACCGAGGCGGTTCTTCTTGAGGAGTCTGGTCGCAAGCGCCAAGACACGTATAACGTGTGCAAGTACGTTCAGAACAACGGTACGCGCCGCAGGGCGTAGTTCGGTTCGGGCTTCAAGTCGAACTAATAGTCGATCGAGATAGGCTACTACCTGCGAGAATAGCTCCTCAAGCGCATTATAACGCTCGCTTACGCCTTTAGTTGCCTACCCACAGGTCACTAGCCTGTAAGGGCCCAAACTATTGCGAACATACCGTCAGAAGTATACCAAAGCCTACTAGTATAGCCTTTCCCCCGGGAATTCCCTGCCAGGTCTCGTCAGGATCGCAACTCATTATACCGTACTCCGCGAACTCACTTGAGAAGCTGCTGTCTCTGCAATGGCGTCGTTGAAGACTAGAACTACGTCGACGACGCGTTTGAGTACGGATCGCACTTTTCCCCATTGTGCAGAGTCCCCTCTGAAAGCCTTAAAGCTCTCCATCTCGTTATAGATGATATTCAAAACCTCATCTCCGGACGTGCACTCCAGGATGTCGTCGGCGAAGTCGCAGCTCAGTAGATCGGTCTTCGTTTCTTTCCTATACAGTTCGAGAGCGTCTGACCATAGTCCGCCAAGATCCGTCACGCCTGCCTGAGATGTCATGCTCGGTGAGTAGAAGACAGGATAACCTGAGTCAAGATCGTAGTTCGGGATGAGATGGATGCAAGACGCGTGTGCCATGGGCTAGACGCGGAAGCGAGGTTCCCGCGGGCTCATCCTGGACAACTATCACGGCCCTTGTCGCCGCCCGTGGTCCCTCCCTGTAATGCAGGCCCTCTATTGTAGGAAGGAGGTCGAGCATGATATACTGAGAGCACCAAGCCACCTCTCATGAAGACATCTTTTGCTAGCCTCGTGCCCTTTCGCGTGGCGCCGCGTGGCCAGTCCGCTCAACTGCGTGCAGCGGTCAACGTTGATTAGAAACAACCACCATCAGGTTCTCGAACCAAAACACCAAATCTCCGCATTGTGGTGTGCTCTTGGAAAGATTTACGAGAGACAGAGTATATAACTCCTGTCTCAGCGGGTCTATCAGATGTCGCCATATTGCGCGTACGCCTGTGTGCTCTGAGGGGCGATTGCGCATCCGCCGAACATTCATAACACTCGGCGCGTCTCACAGATGTCTGAGGCTTACCCGTCATGCGTGCAGCCACAGCTCTGTACGCGACGATTCTATGCGTTGCGCTCGCCCAGGCGGCGCCTGGTAGCGGCGCTCCACCACCAGCACTCGCCGCCGAAGGCTCACAACAGTTGTTTTCCCTGCCCAAAACGAGCGGCGCCGGCAAACGCGTTCTTATCATTGGAGCTGGTACCGCGGGTGTTGCGGCCTTGAAGGCTCTGCTAGTTGATCTACCGGAGGAATCGCGTCGTGACTGGGAGGTCACTGTGTTTGAACAACGGTTCGCCGAGCCTTGACGGTGTTTGGCGTCGCTTACTAACCGAGGGCAAACAGATCCAGTGCTGGAGGTGTCTGGTACGCTCTATCCATTCTTGTTTATGTATCTTTTCCCTGACATTATGACTACAGGCTGGCCGATAATGTCACTCATCCTGAACCCCCTGAGCTTCCCGACACGCCCTTGTATCCCGACCTCACCACAAACACGCCCCATCCTATTAGTAAGCAAGCGTACAAATCCGCCCCCACGCACTCTAACGCAATCCGCAGTGACTATCCCGCGATTCCCTTTCCGTCCGGAGACACCCCTCTTCCCCAAGCACACTGCTGTATGGCAGTATCACAACGACATCCTTGCGCACTTTAACCTCACCTCTCACGTGCACTTCGACACCCGCGTCGTCGAGACAAGGTGGCTGGATAACCGATGGCTGGTGTACACCGACGACGGAAGCCACACCACCCGTCTTTCGGAGTTTGACAACCTCATCGTCGCGAATGGGCATTTCCACTACCCGCTGGAACCTACGTTCCCAGGACGTACAGAGTGGGAGAATGCTGCCCCTGGAAGGACCATCTTCCACTCCATCTACTTCCGTGACGCCTCAAGTTTCGCGGGCAAGAATGTCGTTGTCGTCGGTGGATCCGCCAGCGGGCAGGATGTAGCAAAACATGCGCTCAAGTACGCGAACTCGGTGCGCGACTACGGTGTCATATGTCGTAGATCAACTGCTGACATCATTGCAGACGACGATCTCCGTCAAGAGTGTACCCTACCGCGACCGCAATGCTCCTCTGGACATCCCAGGTGCAGCCAAAAAGCCAGCGCTCTCGCATTTCACCGCGAACTCTGTCGTGTTCGAGGACGGATCCGAGCTTACCGGGATCGACATCGTCGTTCTTGCCACTGGCTACGAAGTCCGCATCCCCTTCTTGACCCAAGGCGACGTGCTCTCCGTAGACGTGCACAGGGACCCAAAGAAGCAGGGCTCCAGCTTGAGCACGAACTTGCGGTACATCCGCCCCGTGTGGAGACACATCTTTGCATTGGACCCCGCGCTGCCGCCCACTGCACTCTCATTCGTTGGCCTTCCAGTCTTCGTGAACAACGGGCCCAGTAGCTATGCCACGGGCTTGCTCATCGCTCACGCTCTTGCGAACCCTAGTCTTCTTCCCACTCATGAAGAAGCGCTGCGCGAACTAGAGGAACGAGAGGCCGCGTTGCGTGCTGCAGGGTTGGACTCCGAGTACGTCGGCCACCGCCTGATCGCACTTCCAGGCGAGGAAGAACCCGCCGGATTGGCTCATTCCGATGCTACCATACGGTACCTGCAGGAGCGCGGCCTCGCTGGTCTCAGCGGTATCCCTCCGCTGGGACAGAACTACACCGAACCCTGGCGGCGTCGCGCGACCGAAAACGCGTTTGTTCTTCGGCGCGCGTGGCAGCGCATTAGGGATGCCGGGGAGGAGCAGAAGTGGGTATCAGGGGTCTCGACCATCGAAGAATGGGATGAGTTGATCGGGAGGTTGATCGAATGGGAGAAGGAGCAGCAAGGCGACTCGTTCGATCCGCTGCCCTCGGCGGGCGACTATGATTTTGAGTACTACTAGGTTGGTGTAAGAGCAATTGGTTTGTATGTATAGCCATAGAGCTTCCCCATTTCGCATCTCTTGGGACCTACTATATCTCTATACCCGATCTGGGCTGTCGAGCAAGTAAACCACCAGAGCATCGCGGGCTAGCAGCCGGAGCCCGACGCGAGGAGTCACGCAGTCACAATATTGATATTGATCGTTGATGCTCGAGTTCTCGAGTGTTTACTTCGGACCCCCACTAGCCGGTGTATGTACGTAGTACCTTTGCGAGCTTGTCCTATTCCTCATGCCTGCTTGAGCTCGTTACGATTTGATCCCAGAACGTGACTGTGGTGTAGCCTCCAAGAAGCTCTGCAATCACTGCACAGATGAACTTTAGCCATACTTATCTCGATAGGCGCTCGTCTCCTCAACGTGCATCACCGGGCGCTTCGGCAATCCCAGCGCTTATTCGGCCTGTATAAAGCCGAGAAGGCGACGCCACACTTCGTCGCGCTTTCCTCCGTCGTGCATGTCCTTTCCCTGGCGTGTTACGCTGCCCTCGCCGAGTGTAGTCACTGTTCGCTCTCTATCGCCAGACCTGGAGTCTCTCTCATCCGTTTTCTCTACACCTTCCGAGGATCTCGATTCAGACATGGCTGAGTTTTCCCGTTTCGCCCAGGGAGATGCGGTTTCCGGATGCGACATCGGGAAGAACGAGAGGTTCTACTTCCGCGATGACAACGTCAAGCTCCTTGTACGCCGCCATCTTCAACCATGCTGTGTCTCCGAGTACTCACATCATACGCTTCAGGTCGAGAAGTGTCTATACAACATCCCCCGAACTCCCCTTGAGCGTCACTCAACGTTCTTCCGAGAACTCTTCGCTTCTCCACCTGATGCGCGTATGCCCCCAGGGTGGTCCTCGCAGGAGTTGAACGTGCTCGACCGACACTTTCTCGTGTACCTCCACAGCGCCACAGGCGTCATTCAGACGGTACGGCCGAGTATCACCGGCCCGTACGCCGAAGCGTACCCCTTGTACGACACGACACCTGGTGAGTTTGACGCCTTCTTGTCGGTCCTCTATCCCGAGTACGTGTGCTTCCTCATCTCAAGAGAGCTTTAACGCCGATGAGACCGGTACTCATTCTGCCAACAGGAACTACGCCAGCCACGATCTAATCACAGTCACGGAGTGGGTCTCCGTTTTGAAGTTGTCCACAGTCTGGGGCTTCGCGTCGGTCCGCGAGCTCGCCATCGCTCGTTTGATGCCCTTGCTTCATGATCGCCCTCTGGAGATGCTCGTGATTGCACGCAAGGACCATGTCGAGGAGTGGTTGGACGATGCAGTCCGCACCCTGATCGAACGCAAAGAGCCTCTCGAGCTAGCCGAGGCCGCACAGCTACAGCTGGAGGATGTCATGCACATCATGAGCGGTCAACGAACGATGGAAGCGGACCGTTCTATGGCCACGCTACGCGCGAACCCGCTCTTTACACATGCATTCGAGGCCAATGAGGAAGCTCAACGCAAAGCGCGCGAGGAGCAGGAGCGCAGAGAGAAGGCCGAGGCTGAACGTAAAGCGGAGGCTGACCGCGAGGCGGAGGAGGCGCGCAAGGCCCAAGAAGAGGCTGATAGGAAGGCGACAGAGGAGGCAGAGCGCAAGGCGCGCAAGGCTGCCAAGCGCAAGGCGAGGGAAGAAGAGACTCGGAAGGTAAAGGAGGAGATGCGCATCGCTAGGGAGAAGACCGTCCATGGCATCCAAGAAGAGCGTGCTCGTCTCGCAACTTTCGAGACTGCCAAAGTGGAACAGCAACGCGTTGCCAATGAGAACGAGGAAGCTCGTCTAGCGAAGGAAAGGGCCGAACGCCTGGCTGATGAGGACCGTGCCCGTGTCGCCGCCACCAAAGCGGAGGCGGAGGGTCTCGAGAAGGAGCTCGAAGCCGAAGCTGAGCGTGGTGGAGGTGTTGTACAGAGATGTGCAGATGACAACGACGTTGCCGATGAGACTGGTATTGCTGCACCAGACCTTGACCTCGTGATGCAGCATGCCTTTTGCACGAGGGAGAGGGCTGTCGCAGCGCTGAGGGAGAGCGGGGGAGATCTCATCAATGCCAGTGCGTCATGTTTACTGACATCTCATCTGGATTGCGCTCATACGTCTCTTGCAGTCATGGCCGCAAGCGACTGACAAGTCTCGATTCCAACTACACTAGATGGTCAGCCAGCAGAGTCGAAGATGCACACTTCAAAGAACATCTGAGCCGTATACCGGAGCGATTTGGCTTGACTCTCTAGTGTCAGAATAGGATTCAACGTTCAATGCTCATGTACAACATTGTATTTGTAATTGTTAGTCTTTTCCATCATGATCCTGTCTCAGGTCCGTTCTATGCGAGTCTTCGAACTTCTGCATTAACAAACCTTCCAAGTTCGCGCCGTGAATGCACCGTAAGTCATGCACACTTCAGTACGCTGCTTTCCAATAGGAGGTGCAGTGATCGATCCTCACCGGGGTAAGTACAGCAACCGCGGGACCGATGAGATGGAGATGCGTCTCGTGGTCTTAGCGACCAGGTCGTAACAGGTAAGAGTGGGTAGAGAAGTGATAGAGAACTGCCATATCTACGCGTGCGATACGGATAGCTCAGAGTTGACGCGTGACGTCGAAAGCGACTTGTGAAAAGCGCTCGAGGGCGGTGGGAAGGAGTCTGGCACTGACGGCCGAAGTACAGTACAACCAATACTTGCCAGTGCTTGACGCGCGGTGTGACACGAGTCACGTCCCAATGTTGATGCCCGATGCTTGTTCGAAATCGCCACCACCATTGGCGGACGAGAACACCCATGACGATCATCCAGGCTGGGATATCTCTCCCGCCGCGTGATGGAGCCTCTCAGCTGTATTCAAACCTCAAATATGTCACTGGACGTTGACAGAAGCCACGACGGGCACGCATGTGGTTACAACGTGCACAGTGGAGGGCTTCGATGATCCCAGCCTGTATAAAGCCCAGACGCCGCCGTCGCACCTCGTGTCGGACTCGCCTCCATCGTGCATGTCTCAAGTCTACGGGGACATCCCAAGCGTCATCGACCGACCCTACTCTCCAGACGTGGAGTCCATCTCTTCCGTCTTCTCTACTTCATCTGAGGAGTCCGATCACGACATGGCCGAGCACCCTCTATCTATGTCAGCCAGTGCGGTTTCCGAGTCCGAGTGCAAAATTAGACGAGATGACCGGTTCTATTTCCTCGACGAAAACGTGCAGCTCATCGTACGTCCATGTTTCGCAACCGACATTCTCTATGAACTTATTCACTGAATGTTTGCCAGGTCGAGAAGAGGGTGTACAATGTTCCTCGGACGCCACTCACTCAACACTCTCTATTCTTCCGCGATCTCTTTGCATGCTCGCCTGATGCTCGCCTGCCTCCGGGTTGGTCTCGGCACGAGCTCGTCGTCCTTGACCAACGCACGATTTTCTATGTGCATGCCGTCACCAACGCCATTGAGATGAATCGCCCGAGCATCACTGGTCCATTCTCTGAGGCATATCCTCTCTACGATGTCACCTGCGAGGAATTTGGTGCCTTCTTATCTGTTCTCTATCCCAGGTATGTCTACCTTGGACTTCTCACTCATGCTCCGGAATACTCATCTCGTCATCCCCAGGAACTACGCTCGTCACGACCTGACTACCGCCGTTCAATGGACGTCTGTCTTGAAGCTAGCTACGGCCTGGAACTGCGAGTCCATCCGCGAGCTAGCCATCGAACGTTTGCGACCACTACTGCAAGATCAGCCACTGGAGACGCTAGCCACTGCTCGCTTATACAACGTCGAAGAGTGGGTCTGCAACGCTTTGAATAGCCTAGTCGAGCGCGATGATGCTCTAGACGACGGCGAAGCGGGACGTCTCGAGCTTCCCGATGTCATGTGTATCATGAGGCTTCGGGAACAGCGAGCGGTGGTTCGTACCGTTGCCGAAATGACGGCGGACCCGTATCTTATAGATGCATTCGAGGCCAAGGAGGCAGCCAAGGTCGCAGAGCGTGAGGTGGCTGCAAGGGTAGTCGCGGAAGAAGCCGCCAAAGTGAAGGCTATGCAAGACTGGATGGTCCGGAAGCAGTGCGAGGAGAGTATCGCCGCAAGAAAGCGGTATCTCGAAGAGGAGAAGCGCGTAAGGGTGGAAAGGGCGCTCCTTACAACGAACGAAGCTTGGCCGGCGGAAGAGACGGAAGATATCGAGGAAGAAGGAATGATGAAGCGCGAGAAGCAAGCTATGGTCGAGCCCAATCAGCAGGTCAATGCTGCCAGTGAGAGCACTGACGAGGAGCCCTTCACGAAAGACAACGACAACGAACTTCGAATGCCTGCCCTTGTGGCCCCTGTACAGGCTGAATCGCGCACGGAGACAGGCTATATAGGCAAGGAGGCCGAGTTGGCAGGCGGGAGGGATGGACCGGCGCTAGAAAGAGTCGATGCTCAAAGCGGAAACCAAGCGTCACTTGCTGTCGAATCCTGTGGCCATAGTCCCCTCCAACCAAATGAAGTGACCATCCAACAGCACGCGCCCAACGGAATTGAACCAGCCGTACAGCAGCCACCGCCCGTGTCAACGCAAACGAGAAGCACCGGCGACTCTGCTAAGCCGCCGTTGGTAACGCCTGCGCCCACGCAGCCTACCGGAACGTCTTCTGGCACGCTTGCTGCGACCCGCCAGACGGCTTCGCCAGTGTCTGCACCCAGTTCCCGGCCTGTGGTCTCGGCGAGCAGCTACAATGATCGGACTTCAAGCGTGCGGTCACAGAAGTCAGCGCCGACGACGATCGATGGCCGTCCAAACCTTTGGAATCGGCTGTCAGAGGCTATGATTGCTGCACAGCGAAATACGCAAATGCCGGTCACCAGTTCTTCCCAACAGTCTGCTGGTCGATACCGTTCGTCAGCCTCATCTTCAGTACGCCCGCAGAAGCCCGGAAACACCTCCGATACGAATTTGAGCGTAACCAGCGCTTTTAAGGTTGATGGGGGATCGTCGTCGTCCAGCTCCGCGCGTGCCAATTGATCGAGTCTCTACGGCCGTGACCCCAACGCCACTTCAGCAAGCAGTGCCAACCAAGTCGAAGGGGGCGCATCTTATCCGAACCATGATCTACGTTGTTTGTTTGACTCTTCCCTTATCGTCCTTATGCTTTGACTTGCAAGTGCTGAAGTAGATTATCGGCTGCTCATGTACATGGCTCTCAATGCGCATTCGTCAATGTATCTCATCACGGACATATTTGAACTCATGCCTGTGTCTGAGCGGTAGTATGCCAATCCTTCCAGCCGTCAGCGACGTGGCATGCGCGAAAGCGGCGAGTGAAGAGGGGCCCCACAAGCCCTTGAGGCTTGACAAGCGGGGGGCCCCACCGAGGCCGTTGCCAGAATCGCAATCGCAGGACCGCTCAGATGGAGATGCGTGCAATAACCTTGGCGACCAGGTCATCGCAACGTTCGAGAATGTGTAGATCATTGCCATATCTAAGTATGCGTGCGAGCAGACCACCCAGAAGCCGACGCGGCACCGATGTCGCGCGAGCGAACAGAAACGAGCGTGAGGTTAGAGACGCCACCCCGGCGCGCGATACCGTATACCCGGACTTCTCGCGAGAATCGATGCGCCAGAACTGGCACGTCGTTGTGAGACTGGGAAGCCTCCCGGGCGCGCATGGGACGCGGAAGCCGTGCGGGCGGAACGTCGAGCCGTCGAGGAACATCTCGCGCATGTCACTGTTCATCGCAGGATAATCTTACAGGTGTGAGTTATCATGGTTCATATGCAGATGATAGTTCTGCCAGCGTTCGATGAACAAGTTGCCGTAGCATGCTCGGAAGCGGCACTCGACCGAGATGAGTGCAACTTCGGACAAGGTCCTTGTGAACCCTTTGTGCAGAAGACGCGAGAGTAGCTCGGCGCAGTGAGCGTAGAAGAGCGGTTTCACGTCTGGAGCTATATAGAAGCCACTCCAGTCCACTAAGCATCCAGCTAGCAGATCGTAGAGTCGGGCAATGGTCTTAGAAGGGAAAATACAACAGTTCGCCGGTATGTACGGAGACGCTCGGGCACATCCGGTTACATGCCGAAGCAACTGTGGCGCCGCGCCTGAGAGGTCCCCGGTAAGAGCACGCGGTATCCCTCTTATCGCTCAATCGCAGCATCCGGGGTCGGGTACGTACTGCGAACCATGTATCGCAACGGAGTACGAGGACGGTCCTAGGATGAAGCTCCGCCTCCATGAGGGTACATTGCGTAGCCTCGTCGGACACGGTGCCGCGGGGAAAGGTGTAGACGCGGGAGGAGCATCTGCTGTGGACCGTGGACCTACTGTGGTCGTGTGAGTATCCGAGAGAAGCAGGCCTTGTTCTTTGCCACAGATCAGTTGATGTCGTCGGCGCGGAGACGCTGTACGCCGACGTCAATGGTCCGATCTGTAGATTCTGCGCCCACTGGTCGACCAGCGACACAGCCGCAGTCCACCAAACAGACGAACAGAGGAGCAGAGTGAAGCCCAGCGCGCAGTGTGTACACGCCTAGACTCACACTCGATAATCCGATGCACACGCGGATACGTTCGTTGTGGCCCTCCGAGCCTCCGAGAGATGTAGTCGTTGTACTTTGTCCAAATCAGACCCAGCTGATGTCGTCGGCGCGGGTACACCGTGCGGCGACGTCGATGCCCCGATCTGTGAAGTCTACATCTTGACGAGTAGTGGTCGACACAGCCGGCGGTCGACCAACCGACGACAACTGAGCAGACCCAGCGTATACGCTCAGACTCACAGACTCACACCCGGTAATCCGATGCATGTACACGGATACGTTCTCCGCGGGCATCGCACATGCTTTGCTATGAGTATGCAACCAAAGCATTGAGTAATCATGGAGCGCCCTGAGTAACGTGTACACAGAATCACAGTTGTGGCACAACCTCCGAGAGGCACAATACGAGCCCACACTCATCTCCATTTGCATCTCCTGCATCTCCCGCCGACACAGGCACGATCTCAGTACTGTGCATAGGGTTGGGTCCACCCCTCGACGTATCTCCGTATTGAGTACAGAGGTACCTGCAACATGACCCGTTTCTGACATGCATGTGCGGGACCTGGTGGGCGTGCGAGGCGCGGGCCTGGCACGGAGGTCGAGGTACGGCGCAGATACGCGTACGAAGCCACAGGTTTTGACAGCTCGCTCATGCGCGGGAGGTCTTCTCCTCCTTCTCAAGAGCAGCGCGGACTGTCGAAAAGGAATAACACATGTCAGTGGATACAGAAAGAAGATAAGGATATAGATACGCACGCGTGTCAAAGTCGCGCTCTTCGTGCGCATCGCGCGCGGCGCGCTCCTCCTTCGTCACCTTGCGTCCGAATATGGCCTCCCACCAGTTGACGGTGCTGCCGGCCTCGTACGCGCCGCGTTCGTGCTTCTGCTCCGCCTCGAGCGCCAAACGGCGTAACTGTGTGATCTCCTGCTCCGGTACGCGTTCGCCTGCGCGTAAGCGAGTCGCCAGGGAATCAAGGATGGATGTCCGTGCGCCTAAGCGCGCAATGTCATCCGCTGCGGCGGTACGTGCGTTGTGTAAGTGCACAGACAGGGACGAGAGCGCTAAAGAGGCTACGAGCTCTGGAGCGTAGCGTCGTATCGAGCTCGACATCCTGGACTATTCGGTACCGCGGCCAAAAGTAAAGTAAGCTCAGAGACAGAGGCGAGGGCCGAGGCCGAGTTCGTCAAGGGACGAAGTGAGACAGGGTGGCGGCGAGCGGGATTCGCCGGGGACGCGTAGCTGATGGCCGCCTAAGCGCCCTCGTAATTCCAAATGGGGTCTGGGCCGTGGACAGCCGGATATGGGCAAGTTCAAGTGCTTCGGAGGATGTGGCGAGGTGGCGTGCTGGGTGTGTTCGAGGCTGGCGGGTGTTGCAGCGATGGTCAAGGGGAGCCTTTTGTTGAAGGCGCGGGGTGTTTTGAGTGAAGGTTTGAATGGTGCGTGGGTCGTCGAGGGAAGTGCGCTCGCGCCGGGGGAAAGGATGATGGGACTTGGGTGAACGGCGTTCTATGATGGAAGCCAATAATATATTCGTCCTTATAAACCCGAAGCGCGAACATCCTCGCCACGCGCTCCCTTCCCCTCTCGCACGCTACCCGAATTCTCAACTCAACCATGGCCCTCTCCAACCCTGACGCTCTCGAAAAGGTACTGTGCGCTGTATGCTAGGCGCTCGACAACTTGTACTGATACACACTTATAGATCTTCGAAAAGCTGGAGGCAGAAAGCGAACGTCGTGCAGCCATTGAACAGCAAGAACAACTGGCGCATGACCCCGCTGCCGTCGCCGCGAACCGGGCAGCAGCTCGCCAACGCAGGCGCACGTCCGTCTCCATCTCGCGATTTGGCCAGGTAAGCTGTCCACCCGCACGCCGCTGCTGTACATGTTCTGACGATGACAACAGGCAGCATCACCTGACCCGCAGACACCTGCCGTCGCACAAGCACCGCCCACACCCGTATACAGCTCGGTGCACCCGACAGCCTCCGCATCAACGGACAGCCTCGACTCGCTGAACAGTGACTCTGAGCTGCACGCGTACTCGCAACAAGAAAGCGACCATGTCACCCAGGTCCAGCGCATCGCAGCACGGGCATCAATAGGCCGCTCTGTCGGCAACGTGCTTGGTCGCACATTATCCCGCAACCGTACGCGCTCTAAACCGCAACTCATCGTCAACGAAGTCGACGTTGTGATTGGTGTCGTTGTCGAGGAGGCTGCAACTGTCGAGACGGTCGAGGACCCTACCGTTCGGCCGGAAAGCCGAGCGATGGTCTACACCACTGGCCCGCCCGAGCGTGAGCTCCGCACACAACCCAGCCGATTCACCATCGGCGCACGAGTGTCGCCAACTCGAGAAGAGAACAGGCTCGTCGCACGAGCGAAGGAGCTCACCCGCAAGTTGCGCAGGCGCTCTCAGACAGTATCTTTCGCATAGTCGATACCCGCTACCTGAACCCTTTCTCATACCGGTCTCTGTCTCCCGTTCACCCTGCTGTATCATCCTTTTTGTCTTTGTCGCTCTGCCGTCGTGCTTCGCTCGCTCGTCTAGTCTATCGCATCTTTCATCCCATCCGCATCAACATCACAATCATCCCGAGTACACCTTCTCGCCCCTCGTCCCCATCCACTTCCCGCGCACCGCCCGCATCTCTCACCCTCCCGTGCGTCCATTCAAATCCATGCGTCCATCCCTCTCATTCGCCCATCGTCGTTTTTCGGTCCTCTTCTCGGTTCAAACGTCCATACTTATCTCATGTGTTCTCGCACGGAAAGTGCCGCTTCTCAAATGGAAATGCCCACATCGCTTCACATCTCTTTCACTGCCCGAACAGGCATCGCTGATCAAGACCACGCCGCGAGACCAAGCCTCATGCACCTGTCAATTGCCATCCGCAGGGTCTCTTCCACAAGTTCTTCAAGCGCTTTCTCGACAAACGGGCGGGCTTCTCTTCTCGCAACGGCATCGCGTACGCGAAACATGGCGATCGGGCATCCCGACGTTGCCCGTCCGTTATTTGCAAAACAAACCGACATCCCCGCTTCTTCTTCTCGTCACCGTCCAGACCACGGAAACTTCCAAGCCCAATATCCATCTGAAAGGCTTCTTCGCAACCTGCACACACCCGGCCGCGCACTTCGCAACTCGCGTACATCCGGGTGGTCCCCATGGCCGAAGTCCTTCTCCAATCCAGTCCAACTCTCCAACTCTCCATGGCCCTTCGCATTGGTAATCGCTACTTATGTAAGTACTTATTTCCTATCCGGGCGACACCGGTCATGTTCTGATATATCCGACCCCGCGCAGTCAGCCGTCCGTCTGCTCGAAGCTCGCGTAGACGCTAAAAGCTTGATATGAATATATCTCGCTCGCGGCCCTGCTTCCGCCGAATCTGCGAACGCGCTTTGGACCTTCCTGATCAGGACAGGCCTTTATGCTTCTTGGGACCCGCTCTTCCCCGCCGTCCTTCCAATCTACCCCGCCTTCTTCCTTATACGGCGCCGCAGGACACCCTTCTCGAGCTCGCCGTGCTTCCAGGATCGAACGCCCTTTGTGCGATCTGCGGGTTTCGTGACTTTCGTCTGTTCCGTTCGAATTGCGATCCCTTCAAGTTCGTCATGACCGGCAGCAGGACAGGCGATCTCAGTTGGGCTGTTCTAACGGATACAGCGCGGATGCGCAGGCGCGTGTTTACGGACGTACTTGCGACGTAGGTGTGACCAGCTGCTCACTGGCATGACGCTCGCGCAGGCGCGCGGACGGTATTCTAGCGTGGACGGAGGCGCGTGTATGACTCGTCACTATTCCCGCAGACGAGGCGCGTGGGCGAGAGAACGTCGAGGGTGCGTCTTTGAGCATGGTCGTACGTGGGCGTAGGTCTCAGCTCACAAAGCGTTTAGGTATTGAGTATAGACCTGTGCGCTACGAAGACTGGGAGAGCCGTTGTCGTACATGCGCGGCCGGGCCGGCCCGTGGCTTCTTTGGCTTCCTTCCAGCTGGAATATGCGTGTTTTACATGGACTGGAAGTGGCGTCTTCTTTGCGGTCGGGCGGCGTGGTATACGAATATACAAACGAAGCCTTTCTATATCATTGGTCGTCAAGACACATGTTCTTCCCCGTGCCGAGCTGCGTCCCGTTCTACTCTCAAATCCAACAAGAGCTGGGCGCAAGTGTTGACCTGGGACAAAGCATATAGCTTACAAGCGTCGGGCCTAGTTCCGAGGCTAACTCAAGACAGGCGCTCGCACATAGAAGAAGAGTCGTACGCGTCCAGGCTCGTGATACTTCCCAGTATCTTCGACTCCGTTTTCGTCGCGCACGGGCAGGCCGGCGACGTACTCTCTTCTCCAGCACGCCGCCTCGGATGCAGATATCGACCACTGTGGGCGTATCGATGCCTTTTCTACAGTACGCGGTCACACGAGACCAAAGCCACGCCCTGCGCTGGCAGTCACCTCTCGGAGACACGCACGCCGGTGCCGATACAGCCCCTTGCGCACCATCCACGCTCCAACTCGAACAACTCTCGCACATGCTGCCCACAGCTTCGAGAAGCCCCATCTGTATACAGGTCCACCGGTCTACAGCGGCCTACATCATCAGTCAATCAGGATCGCATCAAGTCGGTATCTCGACAGTTCACCGAGAGGCGCCCGGCCTCTTGCTCGCTGTTCGCTCCCAGGCCGTTCCTCCGCGAACCGCGGAGGGTCGTCCGTCCACCGGCTCGACGCTCCCCCCTACATGGCTTCGAGGTCCCATGCCTAAGGGACGGCTTCGACGTCTCACAGCGACGTGGACGTGCTGGCCGAGATGGCGCCGTCGCTCTCGCGCGAAGCGCCCGGCTGCCCGGGATCGTGCGCCGTGGCGTCCTTTTGCTCACGCCCATGCCCCTGTTCTCGCGGGCTATCGGTACCACTGCCTTCGAGTAGTCGAGACCGCACATATCTAAATGTTCCTTGCTCGCTACGAATAAGATCGTGGAAGGGGACGACGTGGATGAGGTGATGCTCCTGTGTGAGGATGGAAGAGTGTGTACAACGACTGACAATCGCATCGCCGGGAGGGGTTGAAATACATTTCTTTCGAAAGCAAGAGCTGGAATCACCCCTAATTTTGCACGTATGGTGTCCGGGACGACACCAGGTGTAGCCTCGGTTGTCTTACTGCTCTGGAACGCGCGAACTCACCACACCGGCTATCATCTGTAGTGGCCCAAGGCGGCCAGTCGAAGGTGCCCCTGCGGAGACTGAGGACCATAATGTGCGGTGCCGCGATGGGGTGACTGCTTTATCAAGGGTCTCATGTTGAGTAAAGCATACGCATCGCCTAAACCCAACGATGCTTCTGCCACCATGACTGCTGAAAGGCTTTGTAGAGCTATAGTGTAGTCCCCAAGGCCCTTCTGAATGGTACCGTTTACCTATGCCTTACTGACAGGGTCACTTCCACGTGTGAGCTTGATCTGACGCCATCCTCTGATGAGGTAGGTAGCCCGCATGAGTCTTATACGACAGGTAAGACGTAGAGTGCTGCTCAGCTACCTGACGTGGAGAACTGGGCGCCGGTCAGACTTCGTCGGACGGCGGTCGCCGATCGCGTTTGGATTGAAGAGAGAGCGCGCGCGTCGTGTAACAAGTGTGACAGTTCGCGTTGAGGACCAAACTCTCGGATCAGGCACCTTGATTGCCAGCGTTTTGCTCCCGCCTCATCCTGTCTCTAACCTCCACGGGCAGTCGTCGACCTCGACTCCCGGAGCTCAACATCTACTGGAGAGGGGCTGAAACGATTAAGGTACCTTGCGCATCACGTCCGTCAGGTTAGCTTCGATCTCTACAACGAAAGCAGTGCGCAAGTGGTACGCTAACGATGCGATCGCTCAGGTATAGCACAGAATGCGCGTTACATCTGCATGTACGAGTACTAGCTTAATGCATTACCTGGTCTTCAATTGCGATGGCTATCGTTTCACGTTGCCAACCGCTTCGTCACGAGCCCAACGCTACCGCCGCGAAGGGCGAGCCAACTGCAGCCGTTTGAGACGACCCAGAGCTCCGCGACACGGCCCCAGCTCTGAAGATTCGGTATACCTCTATGCCATACCGTTGCCCACATCTCCCCCGAAATGTGGATTAGAGTATCTCCTAAGTGACAGAAGCCTCCGCTTGCGCCTCCGCCCAGCTGACGCCGCGACGTGCTCCGCTTCCTTATTGTTTGCGTTAGGATCTGAGACAGTCAACATGCATCTATACTAAAACCCGCGGCCCTCTGCGATTAGGAGTACGGGCCTCTCCTCCGTCATTCACCTCTGTGCGCACCATGTCCGCCGCCGCCATGGAGAATCCGATTATCCTCGACCTTACGCCGACGTACGGCGCGATGATTGTCGGGACATACCTGTCTTGCGCGATCTGGGGGATTTCGTCTCTTCAAACGTGAGCGTCATCGGAGTTATGAGCGATGACCCGTGCTGATCCTTGTGCTAGTTACCTGTACTTCTGGTGGTCAGTGACGCCTCGACTCGGACTTGAACACTGGCTCAACATGAGGTTCTTGCAGCTATGACGACGACGCTCTTTATGTGAAGCTCTTGGTGCGTTCGCTCGTTATCTTGATATATTTCCTACTTATACGAAACAGGTTGGCTTTCTATGGTACGCGTCCTGCTTCAGTCGTTCCAAGCGCATGCTCTCATAGGAGTAGGTGCATGGACACTGTGCATCAGATCTTCGTATGCAAAGCCAGTGCGTCCACACCATCCTCATCTCCGTCTCAATATACTAAGTTTCATCCACAGCATGGAAGACTCTCATCCAGACGTTCGGCGGTATCGCCAACCTGTCCCAATTGCCTCAGTATGATTCGCTTCTTCTGGCATGTTTTCATAGCTGACATGCTTCGCAGGGAGACTTTGGTGCGCTCGCTATCTGCGCGCCGCTCCTTTAATATACTGACCCCTGTCAAAGCACAACCTGTGGTCAGCGGTATGTACCTTGGCGTCATCTCTACTCTTGCGATCGTGTCGCTGATCTCCCTGAGCAGTACGTTGTCGTTGGGATAGTCCAGATATACTACTTCAGGCGCATCGTCAACTGTGAGAAAGCTCCTGTATCCGCTCATCATGCCCCGCTGATCAGAGTAGTCGCTTCGCGGACAACCTACGGTCGGCGATGGTGGATCTGGCCGCTCTATGTGTTCATGGTACGCCCCTTATGCCCGCACCCGTTCTCTCACGTAATCAACTCCTTCGGTAGACCTTGGTCTTCTTGGCGCAATATGGTATGTGGTCGGTTCTTTCACGGCCGTTTGCCTTGGGTTGACGCTGTGCTCGCTCCCAGCTTCCCTCTTTGGTCAGTGAGAACCCCGGTCCTTACTCCGACACAGCTCACGTTCACTTCAGGCTTCCTCGCAGAGACTTTCGGTCGCCCCGTCGCTTCTCTCAGCATGCCAATCGCTATGGTTCGCACATCTCCCCTCGTCTCTTCGACCATTGACTGACGTTGGAAGTAGGACTTCGCGACTACTCTCCTATCCTGCACAGCCGCGATCGATATCTTCATTGGTGCTGGCATGTTCGCTCTGTTGCACACGCAACGTTCTCAGTTCCGCGCGTACGTTCCCGAGCAACCGCTTTCCGCCGTTCCTTGTTTGATTAGGCTCTCAGGACATCCACCATGCTTGGGCGTCTGTCGTTCATCGTCGTCAATACTGGCCTTATCACCGCCATCCTAGCCATCGCCACGCTCACATTGGTCAGCGCGACGATCCTGCGAGCGTCTTCCTTAGCTGACCAGTCCGCTTCTAGGATGTCGCCTATGACTCTTCTACAAATCTATGGTACACCGTCGGCCAGATCCCAGCGTGCTCGCTCTACTTCTCGGGCCTGCTCGCCAACCTGAACTCGCGGCACTACGTGCGCGGCCATGGCGGTATCAAGACCATCTCGAACTTCGAAGACCTCACGCCACCGGTTCTGGATTCGAACATCAGCGCTTCTTTCTCATATGGTGGCAGCAGCAGGCAGACAAGAGTCAACCGCCTTCCCACGAGCACCTTCGGGCTCAGCAGCGTACGTGTCAGCTATTCTTCCTTCGGTTCTATTAGCTGACCATGACCGGAATGTGTAGGGAGCTGTCGTAGTCGACGTTCATAGGCACCAAACTGTCGATCACGACGAGTTCAATGACAACAAGTCGGTGGATCTCGAGATGGGACACGTTGATACTAAGTCAACTGATCTCGAGATGGGAAGAGCTCATTGAATGCTTTCATGTTTTCCCTGGCAAGCTACAATATGCACTATACGGTCTCATATGTTTTGAATGGAATGAACGACGTGTAACTGTACCCCCTCTTTTATCTTGCCTGTTGTTTATGTGCTGCACCCCTCGTTTATTATGCGCATGTTCATTGTTTGAAGTTGTACATGCGTAAACTAAGGAGTGAACGCCCGTTGCGGCAGAACTTGCAATTGTGGGAAGAGGATTGGCTCGGCTACTTCTCAGGTTGAGTTGCCCTGAATGTGGCCAGACCGAGTCGTATGTCCGCGCGCGAATGTTTGGGCCCGCTGTCTCAACTTCCTCCGTCATGATACGAATGAACACTCGGACCTTGACGAATGATATGCGGTCAGGTAGACTCGTACATTCTCTTAGCTTTCATATACTCTCTCCAACATAAGTTCAACCGGTCTTCACGATTTGAAGCCGGGCCGATCTCGAAAGGAAACGCCCAGTAGTACTGGCGAGAGACGAGGCTCGTCGGCTAGAGTTATGCGTGAACGGAATCACACCGGAAGCACAGTACAACGACCCGGGGATGATTTCACCGTAGGACATTCCCTGAATCACGGAGCCTTCACGAAGCCTGGTGTGCTCGTAAGTACTTGAAGATGGTGGCCGGAGGGAACCCGCCGCGCGTGAAAGTTGGCTTCGGCGCGTCGGGCGTTTGGCGCCGGAACGAGTTGCTGCACAAACCCCACAAAGGTCAAACAAGGCCCGTCGACTCTGGGCACAGACAGAACGGCCTGCGAGATTCGTTGATAGTCTCTGGCTCCGTCATTCAGCACATACAATAACACACAATAAGGGCCCGTGTACATATACTCCTCGTGCAACTGCTGCTGGCTTAGTACTCAGCGCAGCGCCCCAGTCGCGTCTCCCCGGACCCCGGACCCCACATCCTACTCACCCTACTCACCATCCTAACCATGGCCGACACCCAGCTCTATACTGAATCCTTTGTAGATGGGCCTGCTACCAATCCGCCAGTCAAACTATATACGCGCACTTATGCGCCCGCGCATGCACAACCGAAGGCGGCCATAGTCCATGTCCACGGCTTTCTCGAACATAGCGGACGTTATACGCGCCCACACTCGCGCTGGGCGGCAGCTGGATTCGGCCTCTTCTCCTATGATCAGCGTGGCTTTGGTTTGACGGCGCTCGAGAAGGACGGGAAGCACAAGAAGGGTCCCGGTGCCAGTCTGTATGGCCACGCGAGCGACGCCGAGCAGGTCCGCGACGTGCTTTGGGCAGTTGAGCACGTCGAGAAGTTGTGGCCCGGAACGCCCATATATCTTATGGGGCACTCCATGGTGCGCAGATCTACCCCATGCGGTTACAGCTGTAATTGACCGGGCGCTTAGGGAGGCGGCCTGGTGTTGGCCGCGTTGACGCGCGCAGGGACACAGGAGCAACTTACATCGAAGATTCGCGGCGTCATCGCTAGTTCTCCATGCATTGCGCTCACGCATCCTCCCTCGTCCATTCTACGTCGCGCGGGAGGTTGGGCGTCGAAGCTTTCTCCGAACATGCCGCTCAACGCCCCGGTGGACGGCTCCGCCCTCAGTCATGATCTGTCCGTTGGCGAGGCCTTCAAGGCGGATCCCCTCATTCAGGCCAAGGTCACGGTTGGAATAGTTGAGGCGATGCTCTCTCGCGTGAGTACTTCTTGTTTCCCATGTAGACTGCTACTGAGTATACTGCTCAGGGCGAAGAACTCAGTCGTCAGCGCAAGATATCCTGGCCTAGCACGCTTCCTGTACGTGTCTCTGACATTGCCTCTACTTGACCGCTCATAGACTGTTCAGCTCCTCGTGGTCCATGGCGACAAGGATGAGGTGTGCTCTATCCAGGCAACTCGCAAGTTCTTCGACAAGGTCGAGGCGAAGGACAAGATGTTATCTGTTTACCCTGGCGGCTATCACGAACTGCACAACGAGCCAGATGGCGTCGCGGAGAAGTTCGTCGACGAACTCATTGCTTGGGTCCAGAAGCACGTCGATTCTTCACAGGCTCCCGCTTTTGAGCGCACCTCTTCACGCCTATAGGCCTATAGTCTCGTTAACTTGTACTCCTGTGTACTGATGTTCTTCGCTCTGCTTTGCGAATATGCTGTATATGATATTTATCGCGGTCCTTGTTGCCAGTGTTTGTGTAACTCCAGCTAAGCCCTGATCAAGTGTCCGGGAGATGTTAAGCTCAAGGGTACCCAATCTCACGTATGCCCGGAAGTGTTGAAAGCACCCTGGACGAAGTCGGAGATTGTGACATCAACACGCCCACGTGCGTTCGGCGTTCACCGTGCGGCGGGCACTCAACTCGAGGAAATCTCTGAGCGAGGTCTTCCTGAACACCCATCTCTTCAACTGCGTCTACTCCCGTACAGAGGTCTCCGCATGGAGATCCAATCTATGCCTGACGATATACTATGCGACGTATTCATGGCTTTAAAGGATGCGTACCCTCCGCATAATGCCGCGCAACGCGTTGGCTGGCTGGTGGTCACCTTCATCGATCGGCGATGGCGCTCCCTAGCGCTTACGTACGCCAATCTTTGGACAGATCTGCCAGTCGATCTTGGCCCAGAGTGGTTGCGACTGTTCGTATCGCGAAGCAGGGATGCTTCGTTGGCATATGATGATGTAGGAATGGTGAGCAGCGACAAAGCACTGCTCGCACGCGAGGAAGCTTGCACTTCGATACTACCGGCGCACATGCATCGCTTGTACAAGATACGGATGTATAACCCCCCGCAACACCGTTTGCAAGTGGCGTTATCACGCCCTGCACCCGTGCTCGAAGACTTGACTCTGTTTGGATACATACATGTGGATGCGCAGCTCTTTCTTGGACAGGCTCCTCGCCTGCGGTCCTTGGCCTTGGTATTCTACCCCACCCAAACAACGTTAATTTCGGCGTTCGATGCGCAGCCTACTGTTCTGCAAGGGCTCACGTCGCTCACGCTCGAACTACTGCATGACCAGGTCTTGTCAGTTCACCGTATTACGGAAATTCTGCTTCGTACGCCGAAGCTCGAAAAGCTCAGCTTGGCGATTTCAAGCGGTCCGTCGTTCACCCTCATATCCGACATAACATGCCATTCTTCTACGAATCTGGCCGAGCTGGACAGCCTCAAAACATGCACGCTCGGCGGACGCGTCGATATCATGGCCCATGTGTTTTCGCACTTGAGATTTCCGCCATCCGTCACGATGGCTATGACCTGCAACTGTAGCGCGCTAAGACCGCAACCGGGTCCACGTATACTCCTCCAGTTGGCGGAGGCCCTCACCCGGTGGCGTGCTGGATACGGGAAGCATCCTAGCGCACCATTCGTAGTAGCACACCTACAGGGTGGCACTGAGAGGAGTACCACCTTGAAGTTCGCATCTGGACGTGTCGTCGAAGCACCATACCCCTGCTCATTACCGTCAGACAATGTCTTCACCTTGGTTATCAAGGGTCAAGGATCATCAAGCACCGCTTCATTGGAGGACCCGGGAGCGACTATCTACTCCGACATACTCCCTACCGTCTTCAGTCACGGGGAGGCGCTGCGCTTTCCAAATAGTCTTCGTCACTATTTCGGGCGTACGTTGCCGAACTTGCGAGAGATATGCTATCCACCCTACTGTGACCAATCCAAACTCGTTCCGAGCTTAGAGCTCCTACCCTCTCTGCGAGTCATGCACTTGATCGGTCCTACGGCAATCGGCGAAAGGGACGATAGCTATGAGGACCGCCATGATCCCAACTCTGAGGCTTCAACTCGGAGATGGGATCGACTACGTTCAGTCCTGCGCGCGAGGCGCGAAGCAGGCATGCCTTTGGAACGCATCGTTATCCATGAAGATATCAGTGCCCCTGTAAGACGGCGGGATAGCGATCGATATGATACTGTGAAGAAGTTCATGGAGGGCGTCGTTGACATTGTCGTGTACCGGACCACGGAGCCATTTTGGGAGGAAGGCCGTACTCAGCTACCATCCGGCATCCGGGATCGCTCATCAAGAGCGACGCTCATTTCAATGTACAGGGACGATGATTTCTGAATTGGTATTTCGCGAGTAGGAGTAGAGTGTCAACATGCCAGCATGCAGGTTACTTCGCGCGCGGTACCGTGCCCTTCACGTACATATCCGCATGCGCCCGTATGAACTTGTCCATAGACCGCGTGTCCACAGCCCGTGTCTTCATCTGCGCTCTCTGTACGCATCATCAGTAAAACGAGGGATGAAAGTGATAAGACCAAGACTTGCCATAGCGAACTCGGCGCCGCGATACACGAAGTTGAAGAGATCCTTGAACTCAGGATTGTCCTTCGTAAGGCCAAGACTCGCGAGACATTCAATCGTAGCGCGCTTGATCGTCTGAACCAAGGATCAATCAGCCATGCCCGAAGGAAAACATGAATGAAAAGAGCGTACAGCTTTATTTGCCTTCTCGAGTTCCTTCGCTATATCCGGCACCTTCTCGACCTTCTCCGCTTTCTCGACTTTCTCCGCGACACGGCGTACAGGCACACTCGGCACCTTGAACACATCCTCATCCGCAACTGACACGGAGCGTCTCAACGCCGAACCCGAGCCTAAACTCGCATTCGACTTTGAGCGCTCGACCATCGTCTTCGACCGGCCCAGCGCAGGAGGACCCGTCATAATCTCTCGTGCTTTCGATAACATCGGGTCTTCCTCGATCGCGCTGGTCGAATCGGTCCTTGTCAGTGGGCGGGCGCTCTTCTGGCGTTTGTGAGAGGGAGTGTCGTGGACGGGGTCGGCGGCGGCGGGGCGCTTCTTGCCGAATGAGACTAGGGGTGGGACGCGGGGTGAAGGATCGTCTGGGCGCGGGAGGCGGACGGGTTTGGGGGGTGGTGCAGGTAGGATGCGGGCTACGAGTAGTTTGAGCGTAGGTTGAGATGGAGGTTGGGGTGTTGAGGTTGGGTTTGTAGGGTGTGGTTCGTCAGGGAGTTTGCCGTAGACGAGGATGTCGGATGTGCCGTCGTTGCCTATGAATGTGCATTAGCTCTCAGGTACAATGCCTAGAAGAACGAAGCAGAGCTATACCTGCAATTCCTGTGGAAATGCGTATGCCAACATCCGTACATCTGTCACGAGATGTGATGGGGTCTGTGCACAGCTGATTCTCGAAGTAAAGACGCGTGAGGGATGCAGCTGGATGTATATCCCTGAAAGTAGTGAGTACAAGATGCCGAAAACTTATTGTAGAGAAGCTTACAAGTTGACCTCCGTCGACTTGTCGAGGTACACCGCGTCCAACCGCGTGATCCCAGACAACGCCAGCGTCCTCCCACGCATACTCTCCAACGCCAAAGCTAACGGGTTCTCCAACAACTTGGCAGGGCTCGACTTGAGCGGGACCGTAAACGTGAGACCTTCCAGCAGGAGTCGGGAGTCGGGGACCGAGAGCGAGCCTCTGAAGAGTAGGCGGTGGCTCGGCGGCGTGTAGACATAGCTCGTCTCGCGTTTAAGGCCAGAGTTGGTGAATGGGAGAGGCTTCTGCGTGGCTACGGCCATATAACAGTGCAGGTTTCGGAGTATACAGGCTAGACTCAAGGTAGTAGCAGTTCGTGCGGGGTCGTGAGAGGGGTGTTGTAGTGTGTGTGGAAGCGCTGGCTGATTGGTGGTCGCCGCGAGAGGCGCGCGCGATCAACAGACCGCGACGCGTTGTTGTGCCTTGTTTGCGGCACACGTGTAGTTCGTTGATTTGTGGTTTTGCCTCGTGCCGCCATGTTTGCTCGTCGTCCTCGGTCCTGGGCCTCTTGTCAATGAATGCTGGGATGAGACCCATACGCAGGGACGATCTTGAATTTTATTGTGCGGCTGGTGAGAGTGATGAGACGCTGGACAGACCCAGAATTATGCACGCAACTGATGCGCGGGCGCGAGAGCCAGCATGGAAGGTTATGATCGTCTCTCATCCGCGAGCTTTGTGGCGGATGGACAGTTCATATGACGTCCCAGTCTACGCTGCATTGACTTTATATGTCTAGCAACTCTTCAGAGCGAGTACAAGAGCGGGCTCAAAAGGTAGCCGACTTTGATCCGCGGCCAGATCTTAACGAAGTCCTGCAACTACATCCTCTGCGTCTACCTTAGACGCACCTGATCTCACTTCATATGAATAGACCACTCTGATCTAAAGCATACGAGCCCATCACGTCTGCATTAGTCATAATGTGCGGCCCACTATTGTCCGCTTCGTCCGGCATACGCCGGCGTGGTTGAGTGGTTAGATCTGCGATGAGTATATATCAGTCACTCGCTCCACTTGCCTGTGGCGTCTATCTCCCACCAACCCTTCCTTTCTATCAAAATATCAGCGTATCCGACATGCTCTGCGTCGATTGGACTACCGCCATGCCTCTCCACGCCACCGTAAGTCTCCTCTTCATGCTCCATTCTCCATTCCTACTCACTGAGAACGATGTCCAACTCCAGAGCCACCCCTACAAATTCACCCACCCCTCTTCCCGCCGGCACTACCGCATCGACCTAACAAAACCTAACCCCAACCCCCCGCCACCAATGAAACTCGACATCGACCCCTCAGACGGCTACGTCCTCTTCGCGCACGGCGACCTCGCCAAGATCGACGAGACGTTCCTCCCTGCACCGCCGAGCGAGATCGAGGTGGACAAGTGGGAGCGACCGATACGGTTTTCGGCGCGCAGGCCGATTCAGGCTAGGAGGTGCAGTCTGGGGAAGAGCAGGAATTATAAGTTGGGGAGTATTAGTCCGACCGTGCGTCTCCTTCTCCTTCATCTCTGGACTTCGAAGATGTTGACAAGGTATGTGGTTTGTAGTGCTCCGGGACGCGCTTCCCCGATATCCCCGGCCCCGACTCGCCCGCCAGCGCCCGTCGCGAATTCGAAAAGTTCGTCAAGCAGATCGAGAAGCGTAACGCGGAAGTTACGCCGTCGAGGAAGAACGACGTCGCCGCCGCATTGTCTGCGAGGCCCGAGGGCTCTCGCTATCCTACGACGATCGCGAAGGGCCGTCCGCCTGCTGCGGTGAAGCCTGTTGCGCCGAAGCTCACGATGCCGGAGCCTGTGCGCGCGAAATACCTCCACTCTGCTGTCGAGGCTGTGGACGAGGACGAGGACGAGGAGGACCTGCAGTCCGAGGCGCCGTCCTCTGGGCCCTCTACGCCGAACAATGTGACTGAATTCATCCCGGATCTGGGTCCAAGCGAGAAAGCGGCCCCCGATCTTTCGGTCGAGCTCGACATGGAGGCCTCTCACCACGACACGGTGGTCTTTGCTGCCCCAGCATTGCAACTGACGAGCGTCTGACGACTCTCCTCGCAATCTCGCTTCCAACAGGCCGCGATGAGTAGTCTACTGATTAGCATTAGTGTGACTTCGACATACCGGGCAGCGCCCATCTTGTATACGTACAGTCCATCTGCGCAACCTTCCTTCCCCTCGCTCACGTAGTGCAGCGTGTCCACAGCCTTCCCGTACTCCTCGCCGTGTTGCGTTCTCTACAGACTCTTGCCCTGGGATGTGTGTCACTGTACCACCGAAGTATTGCTGTTGTCACACATAAAATAAGAATTGACGACATTCGGTTCGTTACTCCAAGACATGTGAACGACATAATCTCGGAACAGGGCTCAGCCTATATAAGTCATTTCTTACTACTGAACTTCACCGTCAAATACGGATGGGTAAGTGTGATGAGATCAGATAGAGATCTACAGCGCGCACAATGAGACTGGAGTAGCAAAAATAGATAATCGAGCTCATTACGAGTCGCCTCAGTCCAGGCTAGGGTTGTAAACAAAAAGAAACAAAAAATACCATCAAATAACGCCATTGCATTAAGGGGGAATCGAACCCCCGGCGGGTCGATGGCAACGACCCAGGTTACCACTACCCCATTAATGCTTGTAGATATAGTTAGCGTATATTAAGTATAGATGATTAAGACGTGCTTGAGCCACGTAGTTGCAACGCGTCGCGTCGCGTGTGCATACAAACGCGGTTCACACATGGCCGACGTACTTGAACAGTACCACTTCGCCGTGGACAAACCCCCGCGATGCGCGTCCACGGCCTATCCCTCACAGCGCTACTGCTGCTGGTCAGCCAGCCAACATTCGCAGTGAAGAAGGAAGACTTCAAAACATGCTCCCAGTCCGGCTTCTGCCGCCGCGGCCGCGCCTTAGCCTCCCGCGCGCGCGAAACAGCCGACTGGAGCTCGCCCTACTCGCTCGATCCATCCTCGATCCGGCTGAACGAGAACGACGCATCATTTACCGCTGCGATTAAATCTGCTTTATATCCGGATGTCAAGTTTGGGCTTGACGTGAGGATCCAGGATGATGGGGTCGTGCGCGTGAGAATGGACGAGGTGGACGGGCTGAGGAAGCGGTACGACGAGGCTGCCAGGTGGGCGCTTGTCGAGGAGCCGAGCGTGAGCAAGGAGATCAGGTGGTGGACGGGCCAGAACGATCTCAAGGCGCAGTACGAGGATGGGAACGTCGAGGTCGTCGTCGAGTACGCGCCGCTCAGGGTCGTCTTGCACCGCGGAGGCGTCGAGCAGGTCGTCGTCAATGGCCGCGGCTTGTTGCATATGGAGCATTTCCGCAACAAGGAGCCCGTCATTGATCAGGAGGGCGACGATCAGGAAGTCTTGGCCGTCAGTCCGACCGCCTGGTTCGAAGGCGACGTCCAGGATGCTTTCTGGGAAGAGTCTTTCTCCAAATGGACAGACTCAAAGCCCAAGGGTAGGCCCATCATACTCACAGTGTGAATGCCGTATTGATTTATGTACAGGTCCCGAGTCTCTATCCCTCGACATCGACTTCCCCAATCACGGTCATGTATACGGCATCCCTCAACACGCCACATCGCTCTCCCTGCCGACAACCGTAGGCGAAGATGCAAAATACGACGAGCCCTACCGGCTCTACAACGCCGACGTCTTTGAGTACCTCGCAGACTCTACAATGTCACTCTACGGCTCCATCCCCGTCATGCATGCCCACTCCGCCCAATCGACCGTAGGCGTCTTCCACGTCGTAGGCTCCGAGACCTGGATCGATGTCGGCCACCCATCCGACGAAAGCACACAAACGCACTGGATCTCCGAGTCCGGTATCCTCGACCTCTTCATCCTCCCCGGTCCAACGCCCGCGGACGTATTCAAGCAGTACGCCCGTCTGACGGGTACAGCGGCGATGCCGGCCGAATGGGCTCTCGCGTACCACCAGTGCCGCTGGAACTACGTCTCGAGCGACGATGTGCGCGGTGTGCAGAAGAGGTTCGACGAAGAGGATATTCCCGTCGATGTATTCTGGTTGGACATTGAGTACGCGGAGGAACATAAGTATATGATTTGGGACCAGAAGACGTTCCCTGATCCTGTCGAGATGACGAACGATGTTGCTGCTGTCGGCCGCAAGGTACATGGCTCTTCTTTGCTTTCAGCGTACAACCAAGATGCTGATCTCCTCGATAGATGGTCGTGATCGTCGACCCCCACCTCAAGCGCACAGACTCCTACCCCCTCTACACCCAAGCCCGCGACCTCGGCGCCCTCGTCAAGCGCCCAGACGGCAAAGAAGACTTCGAAGGCTGGTGCTGGTCCGGCTCCGCCGCCTGGGTCGACTTCTTCAACCCCCTGTCCTGGGAGTACTGGAAGAAGCTCTTCAACTATAAGCAGAGTCCCGACGGGAGCTGGAGCTGGACGCAGAGCACGGACGACGTGCATATTTGGAACGATATGAACGAGCCGAGTATTTTCAATGGGCCGGAGATTACGATGCAGAAGGATGCGGTTCATTATGGGGGGTGGGAGCACCGCGATGTGCATAATATCAACGGCATGCCTTTGGTACGAACCTCTCTCCATATCTATCTTGTTCATTTGATACTTACATGCTGATATGTAGGTCAACCTCACAGCGGCGGGCCTCATCGAGCGCGGCGACAAGCGTCTCCGTCCCTTCGTCCTCACCCGCTCCTTCTACGCCGGCACACAGCGCTACGGCGCAATGTGGACGGGCGATAACCTCGGCACCTGGGAGCATATGGCCGTAGGCATCAAAATGTGTCTGGCGAACAACATCGCAGGCATGGTCTTTGCCGGCTGTACGCCCCTCTTCCCTCCGCCCTCCTACGCAAAATACTGACTGAGAATGATTTGCAGCCGACGTCGGAGGCTTCTTCGGCAACCCCGAACCAGAGATGCTCGTGCGGTGGTACCAAGTAGGCGCCTTCATGCCCTTCTTCCGCGCCCACGCCCACATCGACACCAAACGCCGCGAACCGTACCTCCTCCCCGAGCCCTACAAGTCCCAGCTCCGCGACATCATCCGCCTGCGCTACTCCCTCCTCCCGGTCTGGTACACGTCCTTCCACGCGAACATCCTCACCGGTCTGCCCGTCCTGCGCCCGCACTACGTCGTGTTCCCGCACGACCCGCAGGGATTCGGCATCGACGACCAGTTTTTCGTCGGCGGGAGCGGGCTGCTTGTTAAGCCCGTTACGACTCCGGGCGTTACGGAGACGACGGTGTATCTGGCGGAGGACGAGACGTACTACGATTACTTCAATTGCCGCGTGTACCGCGGTGCGGTCGGTGGGAAGAACGTGCCCGTTTCGGCGCAGCTGGACGAGCTGCCGCTGTTCATTCGTGGGGGACATATCGTGCCGTCGCGCGACCGGCCTAGGCGTTCGAGTACGCTCATGAAGCACGATCCGTTCACGCTTAGGATCGCGCTGAGCAACGCTGGGTCGGCACGTGGGGAGCTGTACCTCGACGATGGTGTGACGTTCGAGCATCAGGAGGGCAATTTCGTGTGGAGGGAGTTCAAAGCTGCGAAGGGCGACGACAAATGGAAAACGTTCGCCATCTCCTCATCCGACCTCGCCTCGTCCACCCCCTCCTCTTCCTCGTCCGCTCTCACATCCTACTCCCCCTCAAACGCCTACGCCACCTCGATCGCCGACGTCAAGATCGAGAAGATCGTCGTGCTCGGTCTGCCCGGGTTCCCGCCGCACAGCGTCAAGATCGGCGAGCGGGAGCTGGAGTTTGCGTTCAAGATGGGCGTGGACGTCGAGGGGACGAATAAGGGTGTTGCGAGTGTGCTTACGGTTAAGAATCCTGGGGTCGGGGTAGGGGAGGATTGGAGGATTGATGTTGTGCCGTTTTATCCGGAGAAGTAGAGTGCCGAGGGGAGGAGGGCTGGAACGCGCGGCGGCGCAGATCGTGCTGAAGGCAGTGTAGACGACGATGTAGGCTGCGAGTGGTTGTAGGAGACAAAGGAACGACTCGGCTACTTGTCGGGCATAGGACGCTATAGAACGCCCGAGAACGCTTATGCTCTCATCAAATAACCACACCCACTGTCCATACCATGATAAAGGAATGATACTCATACACCATGTGCTTCTCAACCCAATGTCCAATTCGCGATATTCGGGTCTCTTTGTTCGCGTAGACCATGTCTCGGCCACACGTGTCTTCTACGCAAATTGCACAATGGGCTCGCATCAACGCCGAGTGTGTGGTTTGTTGCTGTGGACTGCTTGGTGAGGTATATAGCTAGACGGGTTTCGGCGCTTATGGTTCTTCAGCAGGTCTCTCCCCCCTCCTCCCACTCGTTTCCACCATCCACATCGCTATCATCCTCGCTACTAGGTCTCGCTCCGATCTGAATCCTTACTCGTGTATACGATGCAGACACCCTCGCGCAACTCGTGGTCATTCGTACCACAGCGGTTGGACTACCGCGATGAGTTGCAGGAGTATACTGCGCTGGGATGGAGCATGGTGCGCCTCCCCCTACCCTCTATACACTGATTTGTATACTTACATCGGACTACAGGCGAACGGTACGTCGAGGACCACGTTCCCTCAAGCCGCATCCGTCGCAGGCGACAACATGCGCCACACGCCAACTGTCGCCACTCCTTCATACCACGTGCACATTCGCAACCACGATCGCTCTCACGGACATGAACATGATGATGATCCCCGCGAGCAGAGGCGCTCGTATGCTACGACTACTGCTCCCCGTTCGACGAGGCCGCGTCCTGGGACTGTACATGTCGGTCATGAAAACAATGCTACGACGACGATTGCTTCTGCTCCTCGTTCTCGCCCGCGTTCCGGTACTGTCGACGGTCGCACGAGTCGTTCCCAGGCGCGCTCCACAAAGCCCAGTTCAGCGCCGCGCTCGAGCTCGTTCAACAGCGTACACCGTATCGCACGCAAACCTGTTCGAATCACATCAACGGAACGGATCGAGCTCGAGAACTTACCCGTTCCTTCGCGTACGGAAGATAACTCGCTCGATGCTCTCGCTGCGCTCTTGGGATCGAAGGGTGTAGCGGACGAGCATATGCTCAGCAAGCCTGTACCGCTGGGCAACCACAATTTCAACCATCCTCTTAGCCAGGCTCCGCCTCGCTCGAGGAAGCAAAGTTTCACTGAGGAGGCGAAGAACTGGGCTGTGGCGCCGGTCAAGCGCGTCAAGAAACTCTCGGATGCTGCGCGTGGACGTCGTGTTTCGCGCGCTGTTGTCCCACCCGTGCCTTCTCTCCCGTCTTATGCGGCTGGTCGTCGAGGTTCGCTTCAGCCTCAGACTCTCGTGCACGCTGCACCGAGAACAAGCGAGCGCCCTCGCCGCAACCGGTCTACGACTCCCGCGCCACAGGGTCCGCGCCCACGCATACATGCGCCTGGTGTGTACGACGCAGCAGCGGAGTGGGCCGTCGTCGTACCCAGCTCAGCCGCTCCTTCCTTCCGCGCAAGCCGTCGCCAAGGCATGGTCTTCGAGAACACATTCGACGTCCAAGCCGTTGCGCCTCGCGAACAAGCCTACCTCCAACTCGAAGGCTGGAACGTCGTCGACCACTACGATCATGGCGCGGCTATGCAGTCTGTGAGGCAGCATCGTATGAGGAAGCAGTCTATGGGCACTATCAGGACTATGGGCACTGTTGCGAGTTGGAATGCGTTAAATGGGTTTGGGAATGGAAATGGTGGTGGGCAGGGCCAGGGGTATACACCGGGCCAGGTGGGTATACTTGGGAAGTTTCAGGCTGTGAAGAGCTTCAATAAGAAGCTCGCTGGACTGTTCAAATAGTGGACTAGGCGGATTGGACATTGTAATGACTTCCGCCACCCTCAGGTAAGATAAGGACTTCTGGACTCATGGACTCAGTTATGCGCATACATTCACCTCTCGGCTTATCCACGGACACATACCACTCATATAGCATATACACATCCATATACACTCAGCATCGGCATCCCCACATATGGACCACGCGCATCCTGACTCGTTCGTTGTTATTCATAGCATACATTTCTTGACTAGTCTGAATACATTTTGGGCATTCGCACTTCCAAACAAGACACGTCCGTCATCTCTGATCTCATACCTCCCGCCATGCAATAGCCCGTACCGGCGAGCCGTCGCACTTCTCCAACCGCAAAGGCAAGAAACTGCCCATCCACGACGCGCCTCGGTCTTCATGATCCAGCATCTTCTCCAGTCCCGCGCTAATAAGATTCTCCACGATCATCCCTCCCTTCCCCAGCCAGAACAAGTGAAAGCGATGCCAATTGTCGTGACTCTCCCCGCGTTCGGTATCCGGCGCGCCGTCCGGGCTCAGCGCATCGATGCATAACAGGCGCACTCCGGCTTCGAAAAGCCGAGCGGCGGCAGCTGGTGCCACACGTGGGTTCCGCGCATACATCGGGGTCCCCCAGTGCTGCGACCAGCCAGTGCAGATCGCTACTGCGATACCAGGCGCAAACGCCTTCGCGTACGGCGCGAACGTGTCGTCCCAATCGAGCGTCGCGTCGGGTTCTCGGCCCCGCGCGTCCACGACAAGCACGGGCCCGATCAAAGCCGAAAGATCGAGTTCGTCAACTGTCGCGCCCCCTTCGATGAAGTGCGCGGGCGCATCAAGATGTGTTCCGGTGTGAGAGCTCAGGGATAGTAGCGAGACTGCGGAGCCGTCGCGCTCGAGCGTGCAGCATTGGGATAGGGTGAAGGGTGGATGGCCTTCGCAGACGGTCATGCCTTCGTGCAGAGGCTGCGAAAGGTCGATAATTGCGCGCATGATGTCACAGTATGCAGGTTCGGATGAGCTCTGAAGCGTGCAGTGTGGTGGGTGGGTCGATGGTGGGCGATTGAAAAGAGGAGGACGTTCCAGAAGTTATTCGTATATAGGGATCGAGGAAGCGGAACTCGGCGGACCGGTCAGATAGGTACTCGGCCACGTGTGTGCGGAAGCATCGATGCCCGAGGGCGAGACGAGTACGAGGAGCGTTGAGGGTTGTAGTGATTGAGAATGTATCCTGCATTGGCAGGGTTCCGAATTGATGCGTTGAAGAGGAGTCAAGGCCAGGTTCGAGCTGCGCTTCCATCTCACACTAACTCGCAGAGAGTGACGTGTGAGGCCATGGTATGCAGACGAACGGCGTAGTGGACCCTTCGCGGCTCACGAAGAAGCTTTGTTCAAGCGGATAGGGTGAGCGTCGGGGGCCGAAGGAAAGGCGCACGGCTACTTACATCGCTCTGTCCAGGCGAACGCTCGAACCGGTGACCCGTCGCATCCTACAAGCCTCAACGGGGCCAAGCTGACCATAATCACCGCACTCGAATCGCCTTCCTGTATACGGTGCAGAGCGCCCAGGTTTGTCAGGTTCTCGGCGATAATCCGTCCTGCGCCCAATACAACGTCGTGGACCGGAAGATCAGCGCCTTCTTCCATCGAGTCGGGAGACATCGAGTCTACGCCGACGACCGATACACCAAGCTCCATTAGTCGATCTGCAACCTCGCGCGCGATGAATGGGTGCTTGAAGTAGACACCGCTCTTATCACTCCAGTACTTGTCCCATCCTGTATGGAAAAGCACGGCGACGCCCTCTTGAATACGTGTTTCGTAGGGTTCCAAGTCAGACAGTATGACAGAAGAACCTTCTGACTTTCCGCTGACATCGACGATCACAGCCCGGCGTACAAAGTAGTCCACTGGAAAGACGTCTATAGCCGCAGCGCCTTCGACGCGATGGGAAGGTGCATCGATGTGTGTTCCAAGATGCGAGGATAGGGACAGTTCTGATACAGCAAAGCCTCCTTCGGGTACACCGCATACTTGCTTGCAACAGAAGGCGGGGTCTCCCGGGTAGACGTGAACGTTCTCGTCGAGCGGATGTGAAAGGTCTATGAAAGGACCCGGCATGACGCAAGGGGTGCGTGCAAAGCTTCGTACTGGTTGAGACGCCTCGAACGCTTGCAGGTAATATCGGTATTGGTTTCTCACAGAGTGCGTACGGATAGCGGAGCGGTATAGTGATTGTGCGCAGTAGTCGAGATGACCGTATGGGAGCGACGCGCGCAGAGACCGCCGCGCGCACGATATCCTTTTTCCTGCTCTCACGGCGGGGGAGCTTCCTCAAGCTGCAAACACACTACAACCTTTACGCCCATCGCCATCGCGCGGCTACTTGCACTCTCACAGCCATCATACCAGTCTACTCAGTGGGAACGTCGCGAGGCCCCGAGTCCCTCGCACCTTGGCTACTGCCTCGAGTCTACCGTGACTCTTTCTGAGAAAATATATAGCATCCAGCGCCCAGCCTTCATCCCTTGGGGTATGGGTCTTAGTATGGCCAGAGACGCTTATGCGACGTCACGTTGCCCTACAATGGGTGAAGAGCGCCGCCTGTCAAGGTCCGGAAGTTGTGCGCTGTCCATTGTTATCCCCTTTAGTCCTCTCGGATGGACCCGTGCTCAAACAAAATACTTTGACGTCCGGTTTGGGCGGCGAAAGCTGTAACATTGGACCCACTGTCAAGACTAGTATTACCTAATTGTCGTGGCCCGGAGGCAAACTGATGTTCCTGGCCGGACAATAAAAATGGCTAATGGGAGGACGTTTAGCGCCCACGATGCAGCTTGGACAATGCCACTGCCAGGTCTCATTCAGGGCGCTATAAAGACCGTGCGTAGGCGCCCAAGATGCACTTCACCCGCCCCTGCAGCACCGTGTTGATCACGGAACATCCAGCTCTACGTTTCTTTCTTCACATTTCTTCAAAGGATCCCTTTCTCTCCCTTCGCCTCCAATCTCTCGCTGGTCGATTTCATCATGGTCAAGACCTACTCTTCAAAGAAGTCTGCTATCGTCACCGGCCGGCCGCGGCGTAAGCAGACCACTTCTGCTGCTGCTAAGGGGGCAAGGGCAGCCCAGCCCCAATCGTCCAGCGATTCTCCTCCGAGTCGCCTACCCATAAGCCAGGATCTTCTCAATCTAACCGAGGAGGAAGGTCGCGAGATCGCGATGACTTTCGCCGATGACTTGACATCTGAGGGCGTACTCGCTGCTTTTGTACGTTGCCACGTTCATCTGGTCTGTGCTGTGGCTGACCTCGTTCTTGAACAGAGCGACAAGTTGCGCTCCGAAATTCTTCGGCGCTCGCCGCGGGATGCAAAGGGCAATATCATCAAGACCCGGGAGTGCGGACGCCCTGAGGACCTGAAGCACCTCACTTTCAACGAGATACGACACCTGCCGCTGAAGAGGTGTCTCCTGTGCGGTTACATGTATGTTGACTAGCTCATCCGTGCGAACTTCATCACTGATAGACAACGATAGCGGCTCTCGTGGAAATACGACTGCTCGACACAGCGCGACCCATGGCGACCACGACAACACGCTGATCGACGTGCCGTGGCAAGTCTGTCTGGTCAAAGACGCCGTCCCCTCCGGGTCGATGGAGGAGTTCCGCCGGCTATTATCGGATCACTCCGGTCACACTCCAATGCGTAGGTTCAAGCAGGCGGGCTCCCCTGCGGCGTCTTCCCCATGTCCTGGGAGCGCTACCTGCCTCATCTCTGCGACTGGCAAGTGCCCGAGCGTGCCTACCGGCCGGGCTACCCCGGCGGCCTCGGCGACTCCCTCCCTCGAGTCCTCGCCGGCGCCTGCTGTCTGGGCTCCTCCGCCTCTTGACTGGACCCCTGCACTACGATCTCCTTCCCCGCTCTTCACTGCGATACCGGAACTACAGATACCCCTACCCACGTACCCGAACGACATGGTGATCGACCCTCTACTCCTCGGCCCCTTCGGTCACCCTGACTTCTCGCAGGCGACTTACTATCCTGCAATGAACGACTACTTCATGAACGCCTCTCAGGAGATCAACATGGCGATTAACCAGAACATGCACTTCGCGGCATTCGAGCCGTACGCGCTCGATGACGACAACCAAGGCATGCGCGAAAAGCGGGCTTGGGATCACCTGCAGCATGGCGGGGAGGTGGACTACACGCCTCTCATCACGGTTTACTAGTCTCCCTCTCCGGACGCTGCTGTACTCCTACTTGACGACCTATAACGACCTTATAATCATCGTACATACCGGATACCCCACCAACAGTGGTTGGTCTCACACTCTTTGTAATCGTTGTTGTTTTGAGTTCATGCACTGTACAATACTCGCATCATGATGTGTATTCATAGAAGCCCTTGCCGTTCTTCTTCCCGTACCATCCTGCATCGACCATGCGCTCGAGAAGAACCGATGGACGATACTTGGAGTCCCCAGTACCCTCGTACAACGTTTGCTGGATCGCGAGGCAAGTGTCGAGACCAATACTGGATATGCGTGAGTGGAGAAGGTGACATCATAGTGAGCACTCGACGTACAAGTCTGCGAGCTGTAGAGGTCCCATAGGATGCGCCATGCCAAGCTTTAGCGTCGTATCGATGTCATCTCGTGTTGCGATGCCCTTCTCAAGGTGCATGATAGCCTGGCGCGGCGGTATAAGGACACGACAAAGAACACAAGGAGTCATGAAAACGTACCTCATTGATGAAGGGCATGAGGAGCGCGTTGCTCACGAAACCGGGAACATCCTTCGATTCTGTGACCGTCTTGCCACATGCGACGGCGAATGCGCGGGCGCGCTCAAGCGTCTCTGGTGCAGTTTGCAAGCCAGAGATGAGCTCTACAAGTTTCTGTGCGACGTTAGCCGATGTCGCGCCTATAGACCCGTGATGAACGTACCATGACTGGTACAGGGTTGAAGTAGTGAAGACCGACAACGCGAGATGCAGTTTGCAATCCTTCCGCGCTTGTTGGTGATACGCCTTTGGGAATAGCTGCCGAAGCTATCTTAGTGATAGATATGGAGGACGTGTTGCTGGCCAAGATGGTATTGGGCGATACTTCGTTGGGAAGCGCCGAGAAGATGGCCTGCTTGACAGGGAACGCTTCCGAAACTGCCTAACACAGCTTTAACGCCTGGCCCCGCAGATCGCTCCAATCCGCGCACCTCAACCACCATATCTACGTCCCTAAATCCTTTCAATCCCACATCAGGCCCTACAACCGTGACAAGATCACGGGCCTCCGACGCGTCTGCCTGTGAGATCTTGCCCTTGGAAACGTCCTTCGCAAGCAGTTTGTCCATCAAGGCCAGACCACTGTCTATTTGCGTCTGGGAGCGGTCATGCAAGAGTACGGGGACCTTGGCTCTAAGAGCAGAGACGAAAGCAATCCCGAGGCCTGTCGCGTAACAAGTCAGTTTCGACCGTTTCTCTGACCGGAGGCGAAAGCCCGTACCCATTTGACCGGCGCCAATGACGCCTAGCGTCTTGATTCCATGCGAAATAGCCATGTTGAAGGATGGTCCAGCCAGTTGTCGTGACAGTTCGAGACGACCCCGAGTCCCCGACGCCGTCCGCACGGAACCGTGAATGCGGGGTTGGTATCACATGGGCGCGTTGCCCCGGTCGCAGTGATGGTGACGTCGGAGTACGCGCCGGTTTGCTCAGAACCGCGATGTGGAGGTCGCACCCATTCATGGACTTGAGCGCCAACAGGACTCTTCTCATACCATCATGACCTCGCAGCTGTCCCCTCTGACTCAAGCTGTTACCGGTGCTATTGGCTCGGCATCAGCGAACGCGCTAGCGTACCCTCTGGATCTTGTCACTACTCGACTACAAACAACTAGGTCTCGCAAGCTCCAAGGTATCATTGGCATACCTGTCCGATATAAGCTTTTGTATTAATATGTGAGCTTGCGCTCAGGACCAAGAGGAGTCGTTGCCGTTCTGCGACATGTCGTGGACAAATACGGCGCTGGTGCATTGTACGATGGGCTTGGTTCAGACACGGCTTCTACCATTGTATCCAAGTGGACGGTCCTGGCTTCCTGTTCAATTGAGGCTGTACTGACTATCTTTTGCAGCTTTCTGTACTTCTATGCATATACTCTCCTGAGAGCCCTCGTGCTACGTAGGGCATCCCACGCTGCTTCTCCCAAATCCGCTACCCGCCCTCCCGTATTGTCCATGGCTCAAGAACTTGTACTCGGCTACGTTGCTGGCGTCACTTCCAAGATGATTGCGAGCCCTTTGAGCGTCGTGACTGTCCGCCTGCAGACTGCGCGAGAAGACGACGAGGAGTTACCTGGAAGTACAGTCAAGGACATCGCCGCCACGGTGCAGTCGATCTATAAGGACGAGGGGTGGAAAGGGTTCTGGAGAGGTGCCGCTTGTCTTCTTCCTCATCTTCGCCTTGACTGACGTGTGAACCTTTGTAGGCTACGAGAGTACCATACTCCTTTCAATGAACCCGTCCATCGCCTTCGCCTGCTTGCAATTCATCCGAAAGCTTCTGCATTTCCGCCATCGTTCAAGTGCAGTCCCCGCCAAGATTCTACAACCCGGGCCGTTGGAGTCCTTCCTCACCGCTGCAATAGCGAATACGGCCGCCGTCACCCTTCTGTACCCGTTGATACTAGCCAAGACACGATTACAAGTCGCGAGGAAGACCGCACCATCGCCTCCTGGGCCTTCTGACACGACTTCGCAATTCAACGCATCTCGTGCATCCGCATCATCTCCTACCAAATCAGTTCGCTTCTCCGTACCTGTAAGTACATCAGAGACGCGGGTCGTTATCGGAAACTGACGAGCAGAAGGAACCCACGATGCTCACTACGCTCACCGATGCGTATACTGGCGAAGACGGCTATCCAGGCGGACTGTATCAGGGTCTATCCGCGCAGATTGCTAAAGGCATCATCAGCATGGGCGTAACGATCATGGTCAAGGAGAGGTATGCCATTCACGATGGAGAAACACCTCTCACGTACTGATCAAGGCATCAGGATCGAACAGGGCCTTGTCCGTGCTGTCCGCAGATGGAGGCAATAACTTTCCTTGTGTAAGCTCTTCCCTGGGCTATTCCATTGTAGGTCATCTGTATGTGATGTTCGGTATAGGCTCTGGATACTTGATGGCATATACGTGTGACGTCACGCGTCGGCGATGATGCATTTGCCCGGCGTCGTACGGGTCGCTCTGAGTGGCACTCCTGTCAGTATGAGGCCTGTAGCATCACTAACCTTTCTGTCAATCCATCTCTGGACGTCTCCATCGAAACCAAACGAACAAAGATATAACGAGGAAAGCGAAAGCAACAATAATATAATTCACGACATGATAGATGGAATCAATGGTGTATGTATATATAAATGGATAGTCGTCCGAGTCTCTGAGGTCAAGGGAATGGGCTAAGGAAACCATCACACCCGAGCTCGCGGCGGGTTTGTCGAAAGCGGTGTTGGACTGCGGAAGTCTTTGAGGTTCACCTTCTGCCCACGCGCCTCAGGGGAAGGGGTCTTGTCATGCGAATATACTGGTTCACGTTGTCGACCTTCACGTTGTCAACTTTCTCCGGCGACGGTGCTACTGTGTCGAAGATGTAGACGGACTGGATGAAGGCCGCGTCGTCAAAACCTTGCGTGCTTTCGGGCCACCGATATGTGGCAGCCGGCGCAGAATCAATCTCCGGTGTAGTTTCAGGGGTCGGAAGAGAGGAAACATCGTCGTCTGAAGAGTCGCCGGGTGAAGCGGTTTCGTTGTCCAGAGCAGCAATCGCATCGTGCTGTCCCGGATCCTGGGGTGCAATGCAACTGGTAGCGGATATATCACTTATACGCTTCGCGATATCCGCGCTCTCTGGGGTGATTGTGGCATTGAGACCTCGTGCCCGCTCACGAACCTGTGTGACTAGCGCAATATCCTCAGGTGCCATCTGGAGTATGTCGTCTAGAGAAAGAGGTTCCGGCCGTTCGCAGATATCCACTAGCGCTCTAGGAAGCCAGCCTTTAACATCAAAGCTACGCGCAAGTGCAAGGCGCTGCATGGGTCTGACGACCTCGTCTAAGCGGTTGAGCACAAGATGGCGGACCGAAGCTAGGTCCCAACGCGTAGATAGCTTCAAGGCGGCGGTGAGACCATCGTATGGAAGCACATCCAATCCAGAGTCAGTAAATCTGGTGCTTGTAAGCGATCACGTCTCTGCGCCTGTAGGAAGAACCACCTACGAGCGAGTCAAAATGGATAAAAGGGCATCGAGCTCGGTAGATGTCACATCCTCTAGAACGTGATATACAACGCCGTCGACTTCGACTGTGTATAGTTGAGGGAGAGGGCCACCCCTCAATGAGTTGGGTTTGCAGGTACGCGTCAATGCCGCAAGGTATGCTGATTGCGGGAAGAGGAAGAGAGGTAACTTGTATAGTAGATGGTCTGAAGTCTAGACGAGTCTCAGGTCACATCAACAGCGATTGTAAGATGCGAACGTACCGCGATATATGTTATATCATCATCGTACCAGAAGCGATTGTGCTTCCTGTAATCTTTGCCATCTGAAGCTAACTTGTCAAGACTGCCATGCGACAAGGGGCTCGAGTCTTCGCCGAGAGAAATGGACTCGTTCATGTCGTGTACTCCGTCGGCGTCGCGTAGAATGTCACCGAGAGTTTGGGTGGAGGTCTGAGTTCAAGCAGGTTCAAGCGCGCGAAGGGTGCGGCGCCTTTTGAATACTTTCAATCTCGAACCACAATCACGACGCCGAAGTCGGTCCGGTGCCACAAAGCGACATCGCAGCAAGATCGAGCGCCTTGATGACGCTCCCACGACCTACTGTGCCACGTCAAGTCTCGTCTTGCAGTCGCTGCAGAACGCAAACGCAAGTGTCAGGCCCGCAAGAGTATCACATTCGAGACATACGGTCACTATCGCGTGACGTCACGCGAGAGTCACTTTCGCACAGGGCGTAAAGGAGGCAGCACCGTCAATGAGATCCTCGTCTACAGCGAAGCTGACTTGGTTGTGTCATAAGTACATTCATAAGTACATCCTGACTCTCTGGTGAGAGTTTGAGAAGGTTAGAAGGGAATGATGGAATGGCGATGCCGAGACCACATGTGAGAATAGCGATGCATGATATCCAGACAAGTGTGCAGAAACAACGGGCATAATGGTCTAAGTAATGTGACGGTATGGGACTGGGAGACCATGCAGGATACAGCATTATGCTAAGGACGTGTGGCAGACGTTGATGCTGAGGCTCCACTATCCACATCATCGCTGGCGAGCTTCCTGAGCTTGAACGGGGTGTTTTTGCTCGCACGGGATTTCCCTTTCTCCGTCTTAACTCTTTCGAAGACTGCCTTCTCCTCGTTACCAGAGTCAGATCCAGATACAGGCGTTGGGAGATGGGGTAGCTCCGGGGTGAACGGGCGTTCGCCGGGGCTTGTGGGACGCGGCTGTCCAAACACGAACGTAGGCTGACCGTCGGAGCTTGCAGATCCCTTGAGTGCCGAGCCAAATCCAGGAATTGGGACGTTATCGTGTGCAAGTTCAGATGGCCCTGCATCGTCTGAAGCGCTGCTGGGCACCTCGCTTCTTGCGGCCGACGACCTCAATCCCAACTTCTTGCTGCGTAGACCTACGCTCAGCGAGACCTCCTCTATGAAGCGAGTGATATCTGCGCTTTTGGGCGCAACAGGAGAGGCTGGCGTCCGCGCCTGTTCGCGAACTTGGGTCACAAGTGCGATATCCTCAGGTGTCATTTGCAAGATGTCATCCAGCGATAACGGCTCCGGTCGTTCGCACATGGATATCAACGCGCGCGAGACCCATTTATCGATGTTGCAACTGCGTGCTAAAGCCAGGCGCTGGACAGGCTGGATGGTCTCGTCGAGACGCCGAAGCGCAAATCGACGAACAGCCGAAAGACCCCAGCGAGTGGATAGCTTCAAGACTGCGGCCAGTCCTTCGTAGGAAGATACTTCAGGTCGTGACTCGATATATCTGTGGTATCATGAGATGTCATGTGGACGCTCATGAAGATGCCACATACGAAGGGGTCAAAATCGACATGAGGGCGTCAAGTTCAGTGGAGGTGACGTCGTCCAAGACATGGTATACGGCCCCCTCAACGCTGATTTGAGAGAGGCGCGGAAGTGGGTCATCCTTCCGGGGATCGGGCGTGTAGTTGCGAGTTAACGACGCGAGGTAGGTTGACTCTGGGAAGAGGAAAAGCGGAAGTTTGTAGAGGATATGGTTTGCAGTCTACTTCTTTGTAAGCTATATTGAAAGCCAAGCTAACACATTTGGACGTACCGCAAGGTAAACCATCCTGTCGTCATACCAAAAGCGGTCATGTTGCTTGTACCCCTTTCCGACGGCTGGGATCTGCCAGGCGCCCCCATTCACAGAAGGTAATCGAGAACCTGCGTCGTTCGACGCGTCAAGAGGTGTTGCTGTACCAGCTGTTTCACGATCCGGTCAGCATGTCAAGGTAAGCCCAGAGCGCGACCAGCGAGCGTACCTTGTGTGAGCATGACAGATTGTGTTCAAGTGCGTGTCGGAACGCGACGCGTCGCGTCGATCTGAACTTGAACCAGCCGTGACCCGGAGATCGGGCCGAAGCGCCCAGCCGCTCGACTCAACTTGTGAAGGCTCTGGAACAATGGTAGAGACTTCTGCTAACGGCAAGGCGATATGTATTTGAGCCGGGTACGCTACCGTGCGCTTCAACGAGGCCTCCCCCACCATACTGGTAGGGTGCCTGCATTTATTGAATGTGATTACATAGTCCGAACTAAAGTGGCAAGCTCCATTTGCGAGGATTTCGCGACATGATTACTTCGGAAGTGAATATTGTATCTAGAGACACACTGCCGAGCAACACACTACGTATCAGCGACATTCGATGTAGTCTTATACAAAAGTCCCATGCCAATCCCACTATTACAGAGAGCACTTCTCCATTGAGACTATGCAATCTTGCTACCGTGTCGATAGAATCATGTCGACGACGTGCCAGCGGGCGTAGGAGCCACGGTAACAGGAGGGGAGGAGGGGTGTCCAGCTTGGGCTTCACTTGTGAGAGGAGAGCTGGCTGGTGTGGGGCTTGACGAGCGGTCTGCTCCTAACTTCGCAGAGAAAGTGCCTCCGACTCGACCTTGAGAGCTCGACGGCCCAGGCGATGGATCTTGCGTGGACGCCTGCGTAGTATCAGATGAGGATGCGGTTTTCGTGGTCGATGCGGGCGTCGCAGGCCTTGATGTGGCCCGCGCTTTGTCCGGAAGAGGTTGGGTTGAAGGGAATGGGGAGGGCGTCTGGGTGCAGACGGCATTAGCGGTCTGAGAAACGACGCAATCTCCAAACAAACGTACATCAGAGGTGGTACCAGCCGCATTCTGAGATGGCAATCGCGTGGGGCCCAAAGCATCTACATTACCCGCAGTATTGGCACCCGCTTCGATAGCGAGGACCCGAGTTGCATGCTTACTGGTAGAACCGCCCAGTTTCTCCCAGACAAAGCGCCTGACCGCGATGGAACCCACGACTTCGACGGGTCGCGGACACCTCACGTCCTCTCTCACTTGCGTGACAAGAGCTATATCCTGCGGCGACATCTGCAAGATCTCGTCGAGCGATAGCGGTTGAGAACGTTCGCAAAGTCCTGTAAGTGCTGGGAGCACCCATGAATCGATGCCACACGACCGGCCGAGTAGGAGCCGGTCGAAATCGTTCACTGTGTCATCCAGTTGGTCGATCGCAAGGCGCCGGATGGAAGCAAAGTCCCAAATTGAGGCGAGTTTCAGCACGACGGCCCAGTCCGCTGCTGTGAGCATCGCAGGTTTGTCGAAGTCGCTGTGGCGTGTGGTCAGACATACGAACATAGGAATTAAGAGCATAGAGAAAGCTCACACAGGATAGAGGATGGAGAGAAACGCATCAAATGCCAAGCTCGTGATGCCATCCAATAGAAATACGTCGCCGGAAGGTAGCTCGCCGCCCATATTTGCTTTGAGGTCTGACCCTGGCGACTTGAATAGGTCGCGGAACCACTGCGAATCGCGTTGGAAGAAGTAGCGATGTACGCAGTAAAGCACATCTTCTACCTGAATTGAAGGTTAGGAAAATATTTTTCACATACAAGTGAGCTTACGCACCAAAAAGCACACATTTCCGTCGTCAAAATAATATACAGGATGCTTCGCCACACTTGTTTCCTCGTCCTTGAGATCGGATGCGGTGGCGAGTGGTGTCGTGACATCCGGTGCGGAAGATTCATCTGTATCAGATACAGACGGTGAGCTCTCGCGCGAGTCTGCATCCTCTACTCGTGAAGAGCTTGCTTCCGCGTTCGGCTCAGCAGGGGAAGCAGGTTGAGAGTCGGACACAGAGGTTACAGAACTCGCAGAGGAGGAAGTTCTGTTCAAGCTGACGGTCTCCCACTGTTCCATGATACAGATTTCGCGAAGTTAAGACTGAGCCTGGATGGGTAAGGGTTGTGAGGATGAGTGTTTGGGATGAGTTACCCTTGCCACTCGCGCGCGGCACCGAACGCGACTCGATGTTGCATCATAGAACACGGTCACCTGATAAACGCGCTTTGTGGACACAGAAGTTCTCACGCTAGTGTAGCCTGCCCTTTGTGGACGCAGGCTGGTCAAAACGGAATCGGTCAGGTCGCAAGGTGGAACAAGACAGGTAGATATGCATTACGCTTCGCAAAGACACATGACTAGATACAATACACAAGTGGTGAAGCCGTGAATGAAAGCGTATGGGACATATGAGACAACAAGAACGTGAGTCGACATCAATGGCATTCCGACTCGATCATTCCCACCAACGTCGCCTGGATAGCGCTCGCAAGTTGGACGCTCGCCGCACGAAGTCCATCTCCATCCTCGATGTGGAACGCCGTCATGGTAATGTAGTTCAAGCGCCTGAAGCTGGCGAAAAAGCCGTTTAACGCTTTCGGCAGCGCATCTCCTGCCAGCGAATCCTCGAGAAAGGCGGTGAGCTCTGAGTCGAGTCCGGCTTCAGATCCTTCGACGGCTTCGGCTTCTTCGACGGCTTCGGAGTGAATGGACTCGGCACGCGGAGGATCTGGGAGGAAAGGGTCGTCGAGATCACCCTGCTCGGATTCGGGCACGTGTTGGGAAGCTTGCGCAGATACGGGACGAGACTGAGTGGGAGAGTCGCTCGGAGAGCGGGGTAGCCTGACGGAAGCAGGCGTACTCGCGCGAGGCTGCAGCTCGGGCGTTGGTGTGCGCGACTTTGCTTGTAGTAGGATGGAAGGAAGGTAGTAGCGCTCGCGAGCTTCCATGATGGTGGCGATATCGCCGGCTTCCATCTCGTTGATCTCTGAGCGTGAGAGGGGCCGGTCGCGTCGTACGAGGCCTTCCAAAGCAGGAAGTACCCATGATTGGAAGCCGTAGATTCGTGCAAGGATGAGGCGGTCATAGGGCTCAATCAAAGGGTCCAGCTGGTCCAACGCGAGCCTGCGAAGAGCATCAAACTTCCATGCTGACGATAAACGCAAGACTGCGGCCCAGTCGTTGAAAGACCCGAGGTCGATGTCAACGCCGTTGCTGTTAGAAGAGAGTATCAGGATCACTGCGGTTGGAAAGATCGTCATGGGAAGACGCACCTCGGATACAGGACCGATAGGAAAGCTTCAAACTCGCGTACTGTAACGTGATTCAGTTGGTAGTATTCCAGCGCCATGGCGGGGCGCTTCTTCGGTGGTGGCGTAGTCCTCGTTTGGCGCAGCTGATAGTTGACGTAGATGACGGACCCGTCGCTGCAGGAGATGCTCTCCCACTCAGGCTCCTCTGGGCGTGCTTCGTTCATCTCGTGAAACTTGGAGGAGAACCACGACGTATTGCGAGTGAAGAGGTAGCGGTGCAGGACGAAGAGGTTGTTTTCAACCTAACTGGCTGGTTAACGCTTGTGTATCGGTCAAGAACTAGCCGACATACCCTGAATACGATGTTGCCATCGGGAAAGCAGTAGCGAGGGTGCTCGTAGAGGTTGAGCTCTTCAGGCAGCTCCGCAAACGAGTCGTCCTCGGGGGCCTGCACTAGCCGTCAGCGTTGTGAGATTGGAAGAAAAAGGGAAGTAAACTTACAGGATGCGCCACTCGCGCCACTTCGGGTGAAGACGCTCGTGAAGACGGCTGAGAAGATTCGTACAGGCCATCTTCGAGGGTGGTACTATCGCCAGCTACGCTCGATAAGTTCGGCATCGGGTATGGCAGAGAACAGGTGGGGAGAGAGCAGGTGGAGGGTATTGAGTGCCATTGCTCCATTTCAATGCCCGTCTTTATATCCACCCTTTGGCCACAACCACACTGCAAGGTGACTCGGCGTGTTTGAACAATGGACAAGGGGAGCGGCGGGCCTTTGTGTTGTCAAGGTGACCGAAGTCATGGACAAAACATAAAGCGCGTTTCATCGAGAGTGAGTATACATTACAAGAGTGTCTTACGACAGATCAGCGCGCACAACGCGAGTTGAAGAGTATAAGCCGCCGCGACTGGGTTGAGGCCCCGAATATCTAATCACAGACGCAGGATAGATAGCGTAGGTCACGTCAGCAATGCAACTGGAATATACAGGCAATACGGAAACGAGTGGACTTGCGTCCTGGTCCGAGGGTACGGACGGTCGATGACACTGGAGATATTCTGTGGACAAATGTCGTGAAAGGGAGCCACATTCAATAATCGTCGACGTCAAGTTTTTCCAGCCCTGTGGATGAAAGGAGCTACTTAGGTATTCAGCCAAGTCCTTGGACGATGTCACCATGGTGGAGGACGGCAAGAGGTCCAACGTCAACTGGAGGGAAGCGTGGTAATGATCACGATGGACACGGCCACGCGAGCGCGCGCGGAGACGTCGACACCGTTGCTCTCGACCTCGACGCTCATCCCATTCGGCCCACTCTCAAACTCACTTATCTTACATCATGGGCGACTTACTAGGAGGTGGTGCTGACGATATTGACTTTGACGCTGCCGCCTCGGCATTTCCCGACATCTCACTCGACGGTACTGGTGACATTCCGCTGTCAACGAGCGGCGGCGGTGGCGGATTCGACATTGACTCGTTCGATCCTGAGCCTATTTCACACGATGTTGCTGTGACTGGAGACGAGGACGGCGTGATTGAGAAATTCGAGAGCGAGTTCCCGGAGCTCGAGGTGCGTTGCGATCACATATGTCTAGGAATATAGACATAACTCTATTGCGTCCCGTACAGGAAACTCCCGCTCTCCCGCCCGTTATTCAGCAGCAGTCATCGTTTGGTGCACCCTCGACGCCGTTTGCGCCCAGGCCACAGGCATCAGCGAACCCAACGCCCTTCTTAGCTCAAGCGGTTCAAGAGGAGGAGCCTGAGGTTATCAGGTGCGTATATGTCCCTAGTAACTCGTCTGTAGATTGTGATTGCACTCAACGATATTGGATGTTGTTAGGGAGTGGAGGGAGCGTCAGCAGGAGGAGATAGCGAAGCGGGATGAGGAATCGAAGGCTCGCCGCCAGGAAACGATCTCCAAAGCCGAGCGTGCTCTCGACAACTTCTACGAGGAGTATACGGCAAAGCGCAAGGCACAGATTGCTCAAAACAAGTGCGTGCAATATCTTTCTGCGTCCCTTTTACCGATACTACGGTTCTCGTGCCGATGGGTATGACTGCTCTGCGTACCTGAACCCGAACATGACCATATGCATACGCTAGCCATTTCGTGCTTCTTGAGAGGCGGATCTATCAGCCTGTACATCGAACTGTCGAGTTCAACTGGCTGCGCAACACGCTGCGGATGGGCGGGCCCTGTGTCTTCTCCAGATTCTCTGGCATTGAGAGACCAGCTGCTAATCATCTTCAACTTCCAGGGACGACGAAGCTGCCTTCATCTCTGATCTCACCGAATCGCTTGCTCAGGGCACGACCTGGGATCGTATCTGCAAGCTGATTGAGCTGAAGGACTCGCAGTCGAAGACTCTCGCGCGCGCCGGTCCTGGAACGACCGAGCTCCTTCGCTTCCGTGAGGTCCTCCTCCGCCTTCGGCGGGAGGGTGAGAGCGCCCCTGGTGCTGCTGGATATTAATCTACCTCTACATGTACTTCGTGTACCGCGCCGGGGAACGGAGTCAAGCACACTCCGGACACAATTGATGCATGTCTATACCTTTCGCGTTCTACTATGAAATGCGCTGAGCGCGTAGCATACTGGGTGTCATAACGCAGCGGTGACGCTCCGAAAAATGCCTCTTGACGCATGTCTTTCTGCTAATGCTATGAGCGCCAATTGGTCCATCAAGTCCTCGGCATAAAAGCCGCAAGAACACCGAGTCCTCCCCCGACGAGGCAATTACCCAATCGGGACAAGCAAGGATGTTCGCCGAACCCTGCCCGTGCCTTCGCCTGGCTGATGACCGGCTGTCACTGCCCCTCAGGTGGAAGATGGAGCTCACATGTTTGTTCAAGGCCATCCGACGTATCGCGCTGGCAGGGGCAGTATGTTCTCTACAATCTCGCGGACTTCGGCGGTCACGTACATTTCCGAATTGTGCTTGTATTGAACTGCGCGCGCACTGCGCGGCTCACTCACCTGATTATCTCACAGTACGGTACCATCAAGAAGAGGCAAAAAGAGCAGAACTTCGTCAAGGGGAGACCCTACAACAGACAGAGCGACTGGAGATTACAGCTCAGCTTCTTGCCTTGCCGTAACTGTATGCGCTATATTTGGTGTCGAGATAGTATAGCAATTCGATGCTGTGGCCATATACTCTACGATATATGTGCGCTACGCGCGCTTAGTGCTGCGATCAGTTATTGGTAGGTCCTACAGTACTGACTCTGTATGCTAACACCGCCCAATGTGTTCGAGATGCAGCCAGTGTGTGTCGCTGAACGCATGGCCCTGGATGAATACAGTACGCATGAGAGACGACAGGCAGGCAGAAGGATCGCATGGGACTGCGCGCCGCAGTCCAAGCAGGAGAGCAGCCCCGTTGCCATCTTTTCAGGCTCTCAATATCTATCCGAAGACTTCACACATACTGATCCCCTGCAGTATGTCTTGATAGCTACTAGTGGTACGATGTACTTGGACATGGAGCATCCTCTGCGTTGGTCGGGCTTGAGACGAAAGTTGAACATACAACAGGACGCGTTCAAGGAAGGCAATCCGGAACTGCCGTTCGCGGCAACTGCCGCCGGGGCGTAAACCCGTAACGCCGTTCATCTGGGACCCACACCTTCTTCCTAACCGTCATGAGGCCATGCTCCCGACTTGTCCGCTCTGAACGAATGCGATCAGCGGCCAGATATTCTCGCACAGCATGCTTTCTACCACGGCGAGTGTGGCGAGTGACGGCCGCCGCCGAAGCTGGGGGTATCCGCAGCAATAGCTTTTACGCGATGCGTTGAAGACGAGAGCTTCTGAGGACGAGGTCTTTGTTGACATGGTCTGTTGTACGATGCGCGCAGTAAACGAAGATGGTTACTGGCCCCGCCTTCTGTGACGCAGATATCGGAACTGTAGGGCGAAGCTGGCGGAAACCTAAATCCCCATTCCCAATATCTGATAACTTCGCCGAAGCCTCGACGACGCGGGGATACGGGCATGCCGACGATGTGCGCGGGCTCCATCGGGAGCCAGCTTAGATGGGCGCTCGAGAGTAAAGTTGCTCTCGGCAAACAAGCCCGATAGGACATGATAGCATACTGCTTGCTGGTGACTTCCGAGCAAGGGACGGGCAGGGGTAACAGGCGTTTCAACGTCTACTCAACATGTTGAGTTCACAGCTTCGCGAGACTCGCTGGAGTTCCCACTGCGCCGCGCTTCGCTCCCAGAGCGGCTCGAGTCCGTTGGTCGCGCTTCCGAAGCAAGTTTGTTCCTACCATCAAAGCAGCCTGTTCATTCCGTCAAGCCGGCTCGCCTGCGTATCAGCGAAATATGCGGCTCAGTGACCTGGTATAAGTAGTCCGCGGTGGCGCAGTTGACCACCAGGCTCTGTCTTCCTTCCTTTCCAAACTCTTGGGCATTCGGTTGTTTCTGTCTACTCCGGTGCCGCTCACAAAGCCATGTCATCTCCCTCCCGTTCGTTGGCCTACCTTGCGCTCTTTGGCGTCGAGGCTCTGGCAGCCACCGTCAGCCAGACGCTAACCATCTCCAACGCGGATATCTCGCCAGATGGTTTCACTCGCTCGTATGTTTTTTGTCTTTCTGTGAATGCCGATCACCTAACCTAATGCGCCTATCACAGTGCTTCCCTCGTAAATGGAGCGTTCCCTGGTCCCCTCATCACGGGTAACACGGTGAGCAGCGATCGCATCCGAGTCAGATGTGATTGAAGCTAATAACTGTATAGGGCGACAACTTCCAGCTGAATGTTGTCAACAACCTTGATGACAGCACCATGGACCTCGTCACCACCGTTCACTGGCACGGTCTCTTCCAGAAGGGTAGCAACGAGATGGACGGCGTAGACTCTGTGACGCAGTGCCCCATCATTCCGGACAACTCCTAGTCAGTAGGATCTACTTTTTGATACTTCCTTTGCTCATCAGTTGTAGTCTATACAACTTCAATGTTCCCGACCAGGCTGGTGGGTGATTACAACATCTGCGTGTCTGTCCGTTGTTGATCGCAGTCCTATAGGCACCTACTGGTACCACAGTCATTACCATAACCAGTACTGCGATGGTGTTCGTGGCGCCTTCGTCGTATACGGTATGTTCGTCTGAGTTGATGTATCAACGAACACACGCTCAACGTGTTTTAGACCCTTCTGATCCGAATGCGGACTTGTACGACGTTGACGATGAGTCGACTGTCATTACTCTGGCGGTTGGTACAATAGCATCTCTTGACTATTGCATGCTAAACCGCCTTCACAGGACTGGTACCACTTCTCCAGTACCCAGGCTGCGATCGTTAACACGGCGAACTCCACACTCATCAACGGAAAGGGCCGTTACACCGACGACGTCGGCAGCGACCTGACGGCAGATCTCGCGGTCATTTCTGTCACCGCCGGCACCAAGTACCGTATGCGTTTGGTCTCATTGTCCTGGTAAGACGATCGTAGAATGGCGATCTTCCATCAGAGACTCATCATGGCCCTCAGCGATCCTAACTACTTGTTCTCGATTGACGGACACACGATGACCATCATCGAGGTGGACGGCGTGAACGTGCAGCCGCACGAAGTTGACCAGATCCAGATCTTTGCGGCGCAGCGCTACTCCTTCGTTCTTAGCGCTGACCAAACGCCTGACAACTACTGGATTCGCGCGATCCCAAACACCGGCACGACGTCGACCGACAGCGGCTTGAACAGCGCTATTCTTCGCTACGATACCGCCGACGAGACCGATCCCACCACCTCGTCCTCGACTTCCAACCTGCTCGTTGAGACTGACCTGCATCCGTTGGTTTCCTCGCCCGTGCCGGGCACTGCTGGCGCCGGTAACGCCGACATCAACCTCGAGCTCGACATTGCCTTCGTGAGTCTCTGTAAAAGTTTCTGCGGCCCATCCCTGATATTTTTTCTTCAGACTGGTACCGCGTTCACCATCAACGGCGCGGAGTTCATCGCACCTTCCGTTCCCGTTCTTCTCCAGATCCTCAGCGGCAACACCACCGCCACCAGCCTTCTCCCGTCCGGCAGTGTTTACTATCTCGAGAGGAATAAGACCGTCGAGATCACTATCCCCGGTGGTGCCGCTGGCTCTCCCCATCCGTAGATATAATTGATTTTCCATTCGACAACTGGCTAAAGATTGTCCAGCTTCCACTTGCACGGGCATACTTTCTGGGTCGTCCGCAGTGCTGGCAACGACACGTACAAGTGCGTCTTTCGCAACTTTACCTCATCTTATCGAATGCTAATCGAGCATTTAGCTACGTCGACCCCGTGGTTCGCGACGTCGTCAGCACCGGCGCCACTGGCGACGATGTGACTATCCGCTTCACCACGGATAACCCGGGCCCTTGGTTCCTCCACTGCCACATCGGTGCGTTTATCTGACATTAGAAGGCATAGCTGCGGACTGACGGGACTTATAGACTTCCATCTCAACTTCGGTCTTGCTGGTACGTCAGGCTTCCCGATCCGGCTGTGCCGCAGTACTGACTTTATCTTGCAGTCGTCATGGCAGAGGCGCCGACCGATGTGGCTTCGAACGAAGAGGGCGGCTCCGTCACCTGTACGTCCTTTCGCAATGCTGTTCCTCGCTCTGCGGCTGATCAGATTCTCCAGCTGCTTGGGAGGCGTTGTGCCCGGCTTACAACGACTACATCGGCGCATAGGCGCAGTAGTCTGCGGTTTCGTTGCATCATAAGGGCTTTTTGTGGATCTCGTGTTTCTCCTGTGCATTTCTTCTTGGGGCTTATTCGCGCGGACTTCTCTTCTCGCTTAGACGCTAACAACCCCACATTCCTTCTTCCCTGTCATCGTACCATCCTCACTCACTTGTGCCATCCTCCACACCAATCGGACATTTTGCTTATATCTGCTCGGATCGTCTCTAAGGATATGGCAACATCAACAGAGCTATATGCGCTATGGCGTCTTGCAATACTCCTTGGGTGACTTACATATGCAAGGCTGCAAGTGCCCATCTTACTGTGAGCGGGCCAAAGTCATGATGATTCACAGCGAAAAGAGGAAAGAGGAAATTTGATGAGTAGGCGCGTATAGTACCTATCCTGGCTCCAGTACGTGGTTTACAATTCGAATCGTCACGCCTACCAAAACGGTTCTGTAGTCTGTACTGTAACGACCTCGACCACATCTTCCATAAACTCCTTCACCGTCTCGTAACGATCTGGCCAATTCGACCTCATCGTATGCCTGTGGATCCTCATGTCCTCGTGGATTACGATGCGCTCCAGAGTCCACCCGTCGGAGCGTCTTTCACGTAGAGTGGCCCGCAAACGGGTCCATCTGTGGTAGGGAGAGGTTGGCTCATCAGCCTGCACGGCAAACCATTCCAGCGCTACTTCGCTGAGTGGCGGTGGATTGATTAAGTGTAACACTCGGAGCGAGGGAAGTAGGTTCAGATTTGGACCGATCATCTCGTAGTCGGCGAGCATCTCCGAAGCGCAGAATTGCTGTAAGCACGGAAGTGGGCAACGCAAGTGCTGATGGAGGTTATTCACGCGACTCAACACAAGCAGCGTCTCGCCATGACTGAAAAGTGTCGGGAGTATGTGCGAGTATATCGTCGGCCGCGACCCCATTGTGTCATAGCGGGATGTATGAGTTTCTTTGAGAACTAGAGTGAACACGCCGTCGGAAGGGAGGGTGAAAGGCGATGACGTGTCGAGAGGCAGAGACGATGCAAACAGCAACGTGGCCGTAGATTGTTTTGCGCCTTGCTGCAAACGAGCGATGCGGAAGGGTGCCCCGGGGCCATCTTCATAGCCGAAGCGCCATGCGGCGAGGCTTTCGACCAACTGGCGAAGTACGGGAGAATGTGAGGGGTGTACCAGCGGGCTACAATCGCATTGCACGGCCATCACGACAGAGAGAGGGAGTCGCAGATGTGACACTAAGTGCGCGATGCCGTCAACACGACCGTTGAGGTGGCATGTTTTGAGAGCGGGCAAAAGAGCTGACGGCGCATCATGGCACGCAATAGCCTGTCTAAAAGCGTGGGTGTCCCCGCTTTTGATCTTGAGACTTTCGAGCCTCCGAGCACGCCGAAGTATTTCGACGATAGTGTGCACGGGTAGGGCGTCGCCATCGAAGTCGAGTTGAATGAAGGTCAGTCCTTCCAATATATCATCCTGCGTATCGAGTCTCATGAGTAGACCCGCGTGTTCAGGATACGACCCCAGGGTCAAAGATCGCAAGGCAGGGGCCTTCCCCGCGAAGAGAGCGATATCCGCGCTCAGGTCTCCATACACCGCCAAACTCTCCAGAATGGGTGCGGGACGCGAGAGCGCCGCTTGTATCAGGTGCTGAGACGCTGAGTACAACCTTATTCTACGCATACGGTACATTTGTGTTGGGATAACCGATGTGCATGCCGCATCACGCGCCCGTAGCGCCTCGGCCTTGTTTCCCGCTCCGATATCGTCGTAGGTCAAGACAGCATCCTTGCTTCTTGATAGGAAGGTGTGGAGCCATTCAATTCCGAGATGTATCGGTAGATTCGACCAAAGAGCGGCGTAATCCAGAGAGACCGAGCGCCATCGTCTATCAACGAATGTGACTACCAGCCAGCCGAGGCGCTGGAGAGTAGCACTGGTGCGGTCGACCTCCGTCTGAGAGTATGCGAGACGTCGTGAGGGGTATATGTCCTTCAGTGCGATGAAGATGTCACACAGAACGTCAGTCGGTATGGTGTTCATGTTATATCTGAGGGTGCAGAGAGCGAGCCCAAGCAATCGAGATGGCCGTCAGAAAAAACACTCTCGGCGTCGCGCCGATTTGGCGCCGATAGCGGATGCAAGCGTGAGAATGCGGCTTCCCGGCGTGGCGACGTGCTGAGCCTGAGCGCGACCCTCTTCTCCCGCTCACGACGATAGTATCTGGATTTGCCATATCGTGCTCGTCTTCGAGACGCGTTTGAGCAGGTTTGAGCTCTGGAGCCATATCGATGATCCGGGCTTCTTGCTCCGCCGAGAGGCGAGAGTTAGGTAGCCGGCCAACATCCGTGCTTGGACGCCGCCCCTTCATCTAGACGTCCTCGCCCTTTCTTCGGCACTAGTACTCTCGCCAAATACAACTCCAATTGACATGCCGGCATCCTTCATACGACCTACAGCTCCCGTCTCCAAGCTCCATGGGCCATACAAATGCACTACCGTGGACGTTGTCACCTGAATATCGACGAAAGGTGCTGCGGCCCGCGCGCGGTACACCGCGATGCATGAATTCTTTCCGCAAACCTGACGCTAAGTACGTCACGATGGATGTTCAAGAATGCAGCATCGTGTAAAGGGAAGTATACCAGCAGGGCTGAGCTGATTGGTGCCTCACAGCGTTATACTGAACTGCGTGTGCTGGTCCTGAGAACTCAGCGGATCGTTGATCAAGAACGAACGCATTCTCCTCCCGAACGCACACCGGTTTGCAAACTTGGAACCACATCTTTTGTGAATCCGGTGACCTTTCAAAGCCCTTGGGTCGATCATTGGACGCCGTTACAAGCTTCATAATTGCGGCACTAGAGCAGCTTTAGGCCTCGAATTCATTCCTGTTGTAGTTGGTTGTGTGACAACTAACCCTAGTAAGCGACATGGGCGGGGCGCCAAGGCAGCTCGACAGTTTCCGGTGAGGGAAAAGCCGCTCACCACACGAGGGTTTACAGACAGTGGGCCTTACTCCACATTGCGCGGCCCATGGGCGCTTTCCCACTACCTGCACAACAACGAGCGCCCATCCCAAATCCGTCGCTAGGTCGACCACAAGAGTCTGCCAAAGCGTTCTCTTAATGTAGATTGAGGCTTATCCGTACTGGCAAAACCAGAAATGGACATAACTTCGCATATCAAGGTGACTCTTCGGCCCTACTTAAGGATGCGCGCGCTTAACTAAAGTTGCACAACAGTACAGCTGGAGAGAACCCAAGCCGGCAACTCAAGATGTCGTATGCGATGCGCAGAACAGGCTCCCGCGCGCGTCTGGCCTTCAACGCCTGCTTCTCGAGAAGCCCACCGCTTGAATAGGTATGTAGCTTGCGCTACATAGTACCCGGTGTGATATCTGAAACTCTGCCCTTTATAGTTCTTGATCACAAGCAGCGTACCTCGTATCTCCATCGTAGAGATCGGATATGTAACTGAGATACCCACACGTACCCTCGTGCATGGCGTATGACAGGCTCTGGAGGCTCCCATGCCTCATTTCCGCGTGACGCCCGCAGAGGCGGCGATAGCTAAATGCTGTCTTTTAAGGTAAGCGCAGAGCGTTATAAGGCTCGCACCTCTTGGCGCAGCTGTAGCAGGTTCGTAGTCCTTGATCTGCCTCGACATCATCCATTTCCCGCCATGTCTTCGTCAGATGTCTCAACCAAGTTCGAGGACGAAGACGAACTAGCGCGACTGGGCTACAGGCAGGAGCTTAGGCGCGACTTCGGATTTCTCGAGGTCTTCGGGCTAGCACTCAGCTGCGTAGGTGAGTAGATACCTGGGTTTGTCCGGGACGCCCTGGTTGATACCGTTGTGCTTCAGGAATCATACCATCCGTTGTGTGAGCCACTCTCTTTTATCCTCAAACATTCACTTCCTGATTGTATAGCACGCTCTTGGTCTACGCAATCCCCAATGGCGGCCCCGTGGCAATGGTGTGGGGGGTGAGTCGCTACTGTTGAGACCGAACAGCTCTACCATTGCTTCGACCTTCCTTAGTGGATGACGGCCTCCGTCTTCATCATATTCGTTTCGATATCCTTTGCAGAGCTTGGATCAGCGATGCCGACAGCGGGCAGTGTCTACTACTGGACGCATAGGCTGAGTTCTCCCAAGTGAGTCACTGTCTGTTTCTCTGTTCGCCTTGGTTGACGTCTATGCTTCTACAGATGTCGCAATCTTGCATCCTGGCTCGTGGGCTGTAAGCTATCATGCCTTCGTACTGCTCGTTTAGACGTTGACCCTCGTAGACATCGATGCTATTACGTATTTCTCCGGCGTTACCGGTGTGGCCTACAGCTGTTCTGTCGAGATCCTGGCCGCGGCAAGCATTGGCTCAGACCTTCGCTATGTACCCACGACAGGACACACATAGTGCGTGCAGTGTGGGGGACGCGCGCGCGCTGGGACTGATTGTTGTCCAGCGGACTGTTCATAGCAGTGCTGCTCACACAGTGCATACTCCTGGGAACGAAGACCAGCTTCATTGCGAAGTCGCAGCTTGTCGCTGTCGTTATCAATCTCGCGTGAGCTTCAACAGCATAGGTCTCACGGCGACCATTCAAGCTGATACCACACCACCCAGCCTATGCCTCGTCTTCTTCGTGGGATTCCCTACCGCGACTCCGCCTGAATTCAAGAACACGGCATCCTATGCCCTAGGTAGCTTCGAGAACTGTACGTCCTGACTCGCGATCAGGTTAGGAGTGTGATTCTGACCCGCTTTCCTAGTGTACACCTGGCCAAACGGTTTCGCCTTCATTCTTAGCTTCTTGGCTCCAACATGGACCATCAGTGTGTCGTCACAAATACCGCTCTCGATGCCCATTGAACTGTGCTAGGTGGATTCGATGTCTCTGTGCACGTCAGCGAAGAAGCACGCAATGCGAAAATAGTGGTTCCTTGGGCGCTCGTCTGTTGCACCGTCCTTTCTGCCGTACTTGGCTGGGGTACGTTCCCACCACCTTCTCCCTCGAGTCTGTACGACTGACCAGGCGATTGACATGGGATCTAGCTCTCAACGTCGTCATCACCTTCAACATGGGAACGGATCTTGCCGTGATCCTAGATAACCCGTACGGGCAGCCCATGGCCACGGTATGTCTGCTCATCATCCCATCCGCCACATGAGGCTGATCGTTTCAGATTCTTCTGAATGCCTTTGGAAAACGAGGCGCACTCGCCATCTGGTCATTCGTCATCATCGCACAGTCAGTATAACCGGTCTTTTGTCCAATCTACAAGTACGATTGTTGACCATCGAACGTATGGACAGGTACATCAACGGCCTTGGCGTAGTAAGTTCTGACGTTCTGGTTGTTTAAGTTCAATGTGTTAAGTAGATGCACTCAGCTCACGGTGTCTTCGCGCCAAAACTTTGCGCTCTCTCGCGACGGAGCCTTCCCATTCTCCCGCTACATCTACGCACTCAACATGCGTTCGGGATCGCCCATATACAGCGTGTGGGTGTCAGGCGGCATGGCTGCGCTCGTGGGACTGCTATCATTCGCTGGCCCTGCGGCTTTGGGCGCTATATTCTCCGTCGGGGTCATCGGGCAGTATGTGGCCGACTCGGTCCCGATCGTCGCACGCTTCTGGGGCGGGCAGCCCTTCACGCCGGGGCCGTTCAATCTAGGACGCATGGTGCGTTCATGCCTTACATCACATCCAACTATGTGCTGAGCTCACCTCTAACACCAGAGCGGCCCCGTTGCGGTGGTGGCCGTATCCTGGATGTGGTTCATGACGATCATCCTCCTCTTCCCTACGACAACACCGACCAACGCTCAAGATATGAACTACGCGATCGTTGTCTTCGGAGGAGTCATCGCCCTTGCGCTGGTGTACTACTACTTCCCAAAGTACGGAGGGGTGTACTGGTTCAAGGGGCCACTTTCCAACCTGGATAAAAACGACGCAGGATCGCTGGCGTCTGCTCGGCGATCCGTCGGTTTAGTCGGCGAGAAAGCGACGGACGAGGATAGAAAGGAGGGTTGAATCCGCAGGCAGTATATCCTTCTCAACAACATGCGTGCATGAATGGCTATAGCATGACGTCCCAGAGGCCGGACCTAGCGTAGGCTCTGTATTGATCTTAGACCAGGCCGCCGTAGTAGATCGTAGATGATCTGAATATGATGATGATTTATACATCAAGCTAAACCCAGTCATCACTTCAGGCATGATGCTTATGCATCAGTGCACGAAGGGACTATACAAGTCCTGTTGAACACGAACATCATGCGTTTGGTGGGATGCATCACGACGGTCAGAGGCAAGCAACACGGCGACTGTGCTGGCTTAGATGCCCGGATCATTCGGCCCGAATTGATAACTCGCCGCCACGTTGCTCTCAGTCGTCGGGAGGTGTCTTTGTCTTCTTCGGCCAGCTTCGTTACCTCTATATTCTCCCGGAAGTTTGCTATTCCTGCCATGAAGACACGCGGCTTGAACTCAACCTCCCCCAGCGCGGCAAACTCTCGCCCCACCGGTATTGGCAAATGCACGTATCCTGAATCGGTGCCAAGTATACTTGAATAAGATATGTCTGGCGTTCCTTGTACACAGTCGATGGCAAGCGGCCCGCCATTGAGCGGACACCATCTTGTGGCTCAAGAGAACTGGTATCAGTGCTGTCTGTTTACGTACGCAGCAACGGTCCATAGCTGGAGTTTCAAGTTCAGCTGGACGTCAACCTATACTTACGTCTATTAGCTTCGTACTAAACTATACAGCGCAATCCTCGCTATCTCCATGTCATCTCGAAGATACAATGACTGCTGACTGCGCAGTCCTTTCAATCAGGTCTTACTCTCGTTCTCGCCGCCTTATATCGTTGACTACCGATACACGCCAAGGCAGACGGCAGACGGCAGAAACAGGCATATATCCAGCTATCGCGTCAATTGCTTGCGGATACCATGCGCTAATCTATGAAGATAATTGCAATCGTCGATCATCGGTCGCGTCGGCAATCTAGGTGGTTGTTCTCCAGAATTTTCCCTGTGGTTGTCCTCCCGGAATATAACCAATCGCCCCGCCTCGTAGTCTCCTACGTCCACCACCACCAGACTCCTGCAACGCTCACCACCCACCCCACACCCCAAAAGTAAACCGCCACCACCATAACTGCTCGCCATGTCTGTCATCGCTACTGTAAGTGTCCTCTCCAATGCGGTGGTTGGCGCTCCCAGACTGACATGTATCCACAGGAGCTCTTCGCCCTCCGTCTCACCCTCGCTGCCTGCGCTGCTACTCGCACCCACCACCGCCGCTATGCGATCCAGCTCACACAGCCCAACCCCAACCCGCCGCCGGCCATGGAGCTCGACATCAACCCCGAGGACGGCTACGAGCTCATCGCGCGCGGCGAACTCGCGAAGGGCGACGAGACGATGCTCCCTGCGCCACCCTCTGAGCACGAGCTCGAGCGCCCTGAGCGCTCCGCGCGTGGTCTGCCTATCAAGCGCCCCCTCGCGCCTCGCCGCTGCTCTGTGTCCAAGACCCAGCCCAAAAACCACCGCCTTGGTAGCATCAGCCCCACCGTACGCGTATTTCATCTATCTACTCCGAGCATAGCTGACCAATTATGATAGTGCTCTGGTACTCGCTTCCCCGACTACCCCAAGCCCGACTCGCCCCCAAGCGTCAAGAAGGCATACGACGACTTCGTGAAGAGCATCGAAGAACAAAAGGCCGAGCGCGCGAAGCAGAGCGAGGAGGCTGCTGCTCTTCCTGTTCGTCTGGAGGGCCCGCGGCATCCGTCTGCGGTGGTTACGCCTGCACGCCAGCGCGCGTCGCAGGTGAAGCCTCGGGTGGTTAACAGCGAGCCCGTCGTGCCGGCGCTCGCTATGCCCGCTCGTCACCGCGTCGAACACTTCGCGCCTGTTGCTTGCGCCGTTAACGCCTGAGCTTCGCCCATGGAGCTCACATTTATCCTTGCTCTGTTTGATCAGAGCGCCGTCCACTGCGTCGCATAGTGCACGCACATCGACCACTATAAGCTGCCAAGCATCCGACGAACGTCGCCCAGCAACCACCTGACTAGTGGTTCGAAAAGAGGACACTACGGCGCCTACGACCTAGCCAATGTACTTGCTCTTATGTACTTTGTAGCTAGAGTGTTGTCACAAGTACTGTATCTGTAGAACCTCGGCCAGCTGCAATATAGCTGCGTCTCTTTCTTCTTTGAAATGCAGTCGTCTTGGTGATGCTGTGGTACACGACCTGTGCGCGTCCCAAGCCCATCGTACGAAGACGTCTGCCGCCTCTCCTGCCTTCTAAACTCCGAATTGTGTGTATCATATGTCTCTCTTACTATCACGGGAGCCATTGAGCGCGACGTAAAGTAATGAGCAAGACCATGAGAGAGAAAAGAAAACCTCCATAGGAGGTACCTATGCATTAAGAGGGAATCGAACCCCCGGCGGGTCGATGGCAACGACCCAGGTTACCACTACCCCATTAATGCTTACAATGCTAATTTTTTTTCCATTTATATATTGTCAAAAGCCAAGGATTGTCAAGGATTTCTTACCTTGCTTCTGACTTCGCCTCTCCGATATCGACCACCATGGGCCAGAAGAAATCGAATCCGGCACGATTCTCTGGCCTCGGGCGCTTTCTGCAAGCTCTTCAATCTACTACTCCTCATGACTGTATCCTGGCAGCGGGTCCTTCGTCTGCGTCTACTTCTCAGGTAAATCGCGACGAACACGGCGAACCTCCCGCAAAACGGCCGCGCTCGAGCTCTCCAACTCGAAATACGGTTCCAAACCCTGTGGACTCGGTCCCTCGATACACCGAAGAATCTGAAGTTCCCGAGCATCTACGAAAATGTGCGTTTATCATACCTCTGCCAATCCGCTGGTACTGAAACATTCGCAGCTGACGCCATCTTCCTCTGTCCTTAGACTTCGGCCAACGAACGCGTCTGTTCTCTCGATATGACGAGGGATGTCTTTTGGATGAAGAGGGCTGGTATAGCGTGACTCCCGAAGCTATCGCGGACCAGATAGCCGAGCGCTGTAGATGCGGCACAGTTCTCGACGCCTTCTGTGGAGTCGGAGGGAACGCGATTGCATTCGCGAAGACTTGTGAGCGAGGTGCGTGTGTTTCTCAAAGTCTCACTCGTATCGTGGTACTCATTGCGCTCTCAGTGATTGCTTTAGACATCTCGCCCACACGTCTGGCACTTGCGCGCCACAACGCTGAGATATACGGCGTGGCGGACCGCATCGAGTTCATACTTGCCGACTTCCTGTCCTTTGCGCGTACATTGCGACCCACTGGCACTGGATCACTATGTACGGACTACCCGGACCCTGCAACCCGCAAAATCGACGTTGTATTCCTGAGTCCGCCGTGGGGAGGTCCCTCATATCTGGCCGGGTCAGCTCTTCCCGGCTCTACCGCGGAAGAAGACGAAGCGACGGCGGAAGTCAAGCACCCGGAGTTTACACTCGACTCTGTTGCACCTATACATGGTCGCGAGCTATTCGATGTGGCGCGACAGATCTCACGGAACGTCGCATACTTCTTACCGCGCAATACGCGCCTCGAAGAGATAGCCGCGCTTTTGCCTCCTCCGAGTTCACTCTCGAGTGACTCGACTCAACCGGTCAAGGCTGGGAAGAAGCGCAAGCATGCCGAGACTGCGGAGGATGATTATGTTGGTGAGAGGGTAGAGGTTGAAGAGGAGTGGATGGGGACGAAGTTGAAGGCGTTGACATGCTATTTTGGTGGTTTGGTCGCTGGTCAGGAGGAGTTGTGGTAGGATGTACGCTGGCCTGGGCTTGTGACATAGGTGTCGCACTATACTGTCAATAGCTACTTAAGTACTGTACATAATCGACGTTTGTGTCAATCTTGTTCATGTCTAAATATGATGGGTTCCCACGGCATCTTTACGCTCTGCGGCCATCCAACGTCCTGACCACCATCTCCCCACTCGCCTGCGCCGTTATTCAATTGATCCGCCAGGCTCGCTCGCACTTCGCCCATCTATATTGAACATGCTCCTCGCTATGACTCCCAATCGCGCGGCACCGGCAAAGCCGACATCTTGACATGCACTGCCCGCCGCGGCGACAGGCGCTGACCCGCCTTGCTCTTGACTCCGACTACCTCCCATATCTACGCCATGTCTAAACGACCTAGCTCACCATCTGGCTCGCGATCCGACCCCGCAAAGAAGACCACGCGGACACTGCTGGATTTCTTTGGCAAAGCTCCCGCCACTGCAGTAACATCATCGACGCCAAATAAACTCGACGCGACGAAGTCCATGTCTTCAACACCTCCAAAGCCGAAGGAGTCGAAGGGAGCAGCAAATCCTACGCGGAGGAGCGAATCTATGCCCGAGGTCGCACTTCGTGAGCCTAGGCCTGAACGTGATGACCCGCGCTCGCGTCGTAAACGCATCGCGGAGGAGACACTCGCCGCCATCGACGCCGGTGTTGTGGAATTGCCTGGTGGCGCGACACATCCACTCGGTCCACAGCTCGCGAAATGCATACAACATACCCGATATTACCCGCCCGACTCTTCCCTCGCGGACTGGAATGAATCTAGACCGACAACCCAATCAACCTCAACGCCGACCATAATCGAGTTGACAACTCTAGAGGGCGCACGTCTATTGCTATCCGAAGGCTGCCCCCGCGTCGGAATCCTCAACTTCGCATCTGCGACCAAAGTCGGCGGAGGCTTCCGTTCAGGCGCGCAAGCCCAAGAAGAGTCCATCGCGCGATCATCCACGCTCTCGTGCTCATTAGAGTGCTCGGAAGCCGAACGTTTCTACAAGTTACACTCGCGGGACAAACGTGGCGGGTACTACACGCACGCCATGATCTTCTCACCTGGCGTCACCGTCTTCCGTGACGACAGCGGCGGCTGGATCGATCCGTACGACGTGGACGTGCTCACGAGTCCTGCGGTCAACGCGGGAGATGTTCATACGAAGCTGCAGAAGAAGGGCTGGAGTGCTGCGTTGGAGGCTGAGACGCAGAAGGAGATTGAACGCGTCATGCGAGAAGTGAGTTTGCACAGTACGGATGCGAATGCGACGCTGACGATCTCTCCAGCGTATGGCTCGCATACTCTATCTCTTCGAGCGCCAAGGCGTGAAGAACATCGTGCTGGGCAGCTTCGGAACAGGGGTGTTCCGCAACGACGTAGGTTTCGTTGCTCGCACATGGCGTGCGTTGTTAGTTGGCGATGACGCGCCGTTACGAGCGTCGTTCGATCGTGTACTGTTCGCGATTGTGGGCACAGGGACGTATAACACGTTTGTTGATGTTCTCGACGAGAAATGACATGTTGCGGGGTTGAACGTGGGGATTCCGTATGCTGCTTCTAACGTCTACGGGGCAAATGACAGCTGCGTAGAGGACCCGAACAACAGTATACTCCCTCTGCATTTGCCCATAACGAGGTCACTGGAAGTACGGCCGATTCATTGTCAAATATTGACCTTGACTAGCACTTCATACTCAAGCCCCACTCAGGCATCCGAACAAGCAAGAGACGCCAGATACGTTGGCTTCGTGCTCCGCACACCGCCGGTATAGATTATCTAAGTGTTCATCACGGAACTTACGGCTGCGACCCAGGGTCTAGGACGTTTCGTCTACGTCTACGATGCGTTCTATGAACTCCTCGTGTCGCTTTGCTCCCATCTGTTTGCTCCAGCGTCCTCTTTGGCAACTTCAGTTGGCCCGATTGTCAACATTGTAGGACGGCGGTAAGGGCTACACCATGCTGCGGCAACGTGTTGCCAGTAGCGCTGGGACTCACAATAGCCTTTGAGGTGCAAACATCCGAGCCCTACAACTCCAGACGCGCACACGTGTTGTTCTCGGTGCTATACACCGTACACGCGACGCGCTTGCCCTTCGCACACGAGCTCCTCATGTCGGCGGCCACACCGCCTTGCCCCTCCGATTCTGACGCAATCTCCCCGAACCCAGCTGCTAGATATCCCGTATCTCAAGCGCCTGTTGAACTAGCGTACCCTTTCTCCATCTTCCCCCGCTCCCGCAGCTGTGCGCTATATAGCGTCCTTTCGCGTCTGACCGCGCATGGCTACTCATACTCAAGTTTCCGCTTTCAAAAGTCCTTGGCCTTCGCCTGACGGGTTACCTCCGTATCCTCGATATAGCCTTGACGATTGGCTAGAGGAGATGTCCTCTACCGCACCTATCCACCACTCAAAACTCTACCTTGACGGCGGAGATGTCGTCTTTCAGGTACGCATGCCCCACTCCGCTCAGCGTTGTGTGTCTAACCACGGCAATTCCTGCTACAGGTAGAGAACCTGCTCTTCCGACTACACTCGTACTTCTTTGTACGCGAGTCTGCGTACTTCCGCGAGCTCCTGCAAGAGCCCCACGGCACGTACGGCGAGCTCAGAGTTCGCCCGAACTCAGACCGGCAGCCCTTTCATCTCGAGGGTATCACGGTACCAGAGTTCGCCGCTCTATGCTGGATCTTCTACAACCCGTGAGTCCAACAGATATCGATTGCGCCCTCCACTCTATCTTATCTGACGTACAATCTTAGCAAGTACTCCGTCTACGAAGCAAGCGCGGACAAATGGGCGATGATCTTGCATCTCGGACAAGGATGGGGGTTCGCCGAGGTGACCGCCCTCGCCGTCCGCGAACTCGAGAAGCTCGACGTTCCGCCTGTGCAGAAGATCGCGCTGTATCAGCGACACGGGATCGACGGATCGCTTCTCCAGGCTGCGTTCGAAGCGCTCGCCCGCCGCCCCGAACCGCTGTCTCCCGCAGAGGGTATGCTTCTCGGTATCGAGACTTTCGCTCGTATCGCCCACGCGCGTGAAATGGCCCGTGCACCGGAGACGCCCAGTCCTACGTTGCTCAATATCACTACGGATGGCCTGCGTGGGATCTTGGAGAAGGTCGGGCTCAGCCCGTCGATCAAGCTTAGGACGGATGGGCAAAGCGGGTTGGGTCCACTCACTGCCCCTGCTCTCGGACAGCAGAGCCGTCGTCCATTCGATACTGTTCCGCCTACACCACTCGAGTCGATCCCGGAGACGCCTACGACCAACTCGTCCGAGGCGCCTCCGTCGTACGACAAGACGCACTCAAAAGGATCGTACCAAGGTACGACCGGTATGCGCCGAACCAACAGCCTAGGGTTCGGCTTCGGACATACTCCAACGGCGCCTTGGACCGGCAGAGTCGGTGGTGAGCAGCTTCCCGCTTCTGACGGGCAGCGTGCTGACCTCACCGTCGGTCAGAGAGGAGGACGTGAGCTCGAACCTATCGCCTCAGCAAGCGCGTCGCGGACATCTTCGCCTGCCCCACGGCAGCAGCTAGGCGCTCTGATTCGCAATCTGAACGATAACTCCGCCTCTCGCAGGCGGTGGTACATGTCCGCTATGTCTTCTGTCTATCTCGGCGCCCTCTGGCTCTGGATTACGTGGTAGTCCTATCTATTCTCTCGGACGGTCTGACCCCTATTCGCTATTATGTAGTCGTGTGCACCCCAGTTTGTCTGTACCAGTACGGTTCCGCAGCCTGTGACTTGTTGTACTGTATCGTGTTGTAGCACTTCGCTTCCAGGCTCTCATCTGTTGTAGTTCTAGCCTTCCTGTCCGTATCCTCCGTATCTCAATCGTTACCTAGTTCGTTCTGGACCCCGGTCAATGGGTGTAGATATTGCTCGTGTGAGCGGCTGACGTGTCTGACCCCTGATCGATAGGCGCGCATAGTAGTAGTACTGTTCTCGTACAAGTTTGAACGATCTCAACTGCGATGTCATGGTGGACTGAAGTGAGGCTTTCGCGTGTCGCGAACAACCGCGCGCGCAGCCTCAAATGGGACCTATACTCACCCACGATGGCGAACAGTCGGAGAGGATCGAGCGCGCGATGCGCTCATCGTTCGGCCACGCCTTTTACACGCCGTGGACATCCAGACCCAGAAGAAATAGATGACAGGAAGACCTCGTTGTTGATAGTTTGTACGTCGACGGTGTGCCCCGATTGGTGGAGATTAGACAGAAACGCCTCGAGGACGTTCTTCGAAGGGCTCTGGTTCCAACACGTGTTGATATTTCACTCGGGCTGACCCTGCGCGTTTGCCCTCTCCCCTCATCCCCCCTTCCTCCCCCCATTTCTCTCGGCCTGTAGGACGACCGGACACGCTACTTCACGCCTTACGACTCTGTTTCATTTCTGTTGTCTCATTCTTGGAATACACTCTAGCTGGACATGAACGGCACTCTTGTTGGCGCGTCCCCGGTGGGCTCCGAGAAGGTCCTCCGTCACCACGAATACTACATCTCTGGCGGAGATGTCGTCTTCCGCGTGCGTCGCATATACTTTTGAGACACTGGCATTCACTGACGCGCCCATTGGCATTCACATTCAGGTTGGCAACTTCCTGTTCCGCGTCCATCGCTACTTTTTCACACGGGAATCGGCATACTTCCGTGAACGTCTGCCGCAAGCATCGTCGCCAGGGGACTTCACGAAGGGATCCAATGACAGCCACCCCTACGTTCTTGAGGATGCTACATCTGAGGACTTCGCTCGCTTCCTCTGGATCTTCTACAACCCGTGAGTTATTCATGCCATCGATATCGATATCCGTGTGGCGTTTGCTCTTGCTATGACTTGTTCTGTGCCATGCATAGTAGCGTCCGTTGCGTATCGGGCAACCAGCAGTCTGCTTCGCCTACTTATTCGGCGTCGCTGGATGCTGAAACGGATATATCAAAACGCGTGACCATGTTCATTTTTGCTGACGCGGGCGCTTTTACTCAGGAAATACTCCGTCTACAAGGCCAACGTCGAAGTATGGCTCTCTATCTTGAAGCTCGCGCACATCTGGCAGTTCCCTGAGGTTAGGCAACTGGCCCTCCGTTCCGTCGAGGAGCACGAGATCGACCCCATCAAGAAGGTACGCGTTGAACCACACGTGGTATTCACGCGGATACTGACTGAAAGGTCATAGATCGTCTTTTACCACACATACGAGGTCGACCGTGACTTGCTTACGCCTTCTTACCTTGCGCTCGTTATGCGCGAGGAGCCTATCACGCTGGAGGAGGGTCTTGAGCTTGGTATCGAGACCGCCCTCATGATCGCCCGCGCTCGCGAGATCGCTCGCGGCCCCAGTGGTGCCAAGAAGGGACATGCGCGCATGGCCTCTTCGCCCGTCACCGTCCCCCAGTCCGACCTCGAGAGCATCATCAAGGAGCTCTTCCGTACACTCAGCGCCAACCCCGCTACCGCCATCCCCTCGTCGGCTGAGCTGCCCTCAGGTCGCAGCACGCCCACCAAGCCCACCACTACATCCACTTTTCGCTCTGGCGGTGAGGTTTGCATGAGCCCCTCGCGTTCCCCCTCCGCTGACTTACTTACTCAATCACAGGGCCAACGACGCCCGGCGCCGGCCCCCAGTCCCCTGGCCCGAACGGAAACGCGACCACCACCACCACCAACGGCAACGGCATCCTCGGCTCCGCAAACGGCAGCGTCTTCGGCACGCCCAAGAACGGAACCGCCGCCGGTCGCGGGGCCAAGTGAGCGCCCGCGCGTACGCTCGCCACCGCCGGTGTCGCTGCCCGTGCCGGCACCATTCTCAGGCGAGGCGAGCGTCAACGCGGAAGCACGGGGTGGGAGGTGGATAGGCGAGGGCGGAAGTATGGTGTGGAGCGGCGTGGATCATACCCAGGACGTCGGCAGGCCCGACAATCTGCGCGTCGATACGATGGCGCGCGCGGCTTCGAGCGGCGCGACGACGGGGCTGTTCGGACTGAGCAGCATTCTCGGTTCGGCAGCTGCTGGCGCGGCAGGATTCTTCGCGAATGCTGGCGGCGACGACACGGAGTTGACCAGCGACGCGGAGAGCGAGGTTCCCATCGTTGGCGGCTTTCCCGGACGGCGTACGAAGAAGGAGGAAAAGTCTGCGGACGATGTCGAAGCCGAGGCCGCGCAGGCGCGCGCTGTGGCAGAGGCACAGGCGGAAGAGGCAAAACGCGCGGAGGAAGAGGCGTTGAAGCAAAAGCAGGAGGAAGAGGCGGCAAAGGCGCGCGCGGAAGCCGAGGAACGCGAGAAGGCTGAAGCTGCTGCGAAAGCGGAAGCCGATACGAAGGCGAAGGAGGAGGCCGATGCAAAGACTCGGGCCGAGGCTGAAGCTGCTGCCGCTAAAGCTAAGGCTGAAGCTGACGCTGTGGCCGCGAAAGCTGCTGAGCAAGCTGCCAAGGTACAGGCGAAGGCGGACCTGGCGGCTCAAAAGAAGAAGGAGCGCGAGGAAAAGATCGCCGCGCGGAAGCGCGCCATCGAGGAGGAGAAGCGGGCGAAGGAGGAGGCCGAGCGCAAGCGGAAGGAGGAGGCCGAGGCCAAGGCTAAGGAGGAAACTGAACGCAAGGCGCAGGAGGACCAGGAGCGCAAAGAGAAAGCTGAGGCCGAACGCAAAGCGGAGGCTGAACGCAAGGCGGAGGCGGCGAAGAAGGAGGCTGAGCGCAAGGCGGCGGAGGCTGCGGAGCGCAAGGCGGCGGAGGCTGCGGAGCGCAAGGCGAAGCTCGAACGCGAGGCCGCGGAGCGCAAAACCGAAGCTGAGCGCAAGGCGGAGGAAGCTCGTAAAGCCAAGGAGGAGGCTGATCGGAAGGCGAAGGAAGAGGCCGAGCGCAAGGCGAAGGAGGAAGAGGTCCGCAAGGCAAAGGAGGACGCGCGTCTGGCGAAGGAGAAGGCGGAGCGCGAGGCTAAAGAGGCAGAAGAGCGCAAGAAGCACGAAGAGGAAGAGGCCGCACGTCTCGCTGAGGAGGCGCGGAAGGAGACTGAACGTGTCGAGGCTGAACGCAAAGCCGAAGAGGAGCGCATCGCCAAGGAGAAGGCCGACCGTGAAGCCGAAGAGGAACGTGCGCGTCTTGCCGCTGCTGAGGCTGCCAAAGCGGAAGAGGAACGTCTCGCTAAGGAGGCCGAGGAAGCTCGTCAGGCAAAGGAGAAGGCCGAACGTGAGGCTGAAGAGGAACTCGTCCGTGTTGCCGCCGCGAAAGCTGAGGAGGAGCGTCTCGCGAAGGAGCGTGAAGCTGAGGCTGAGCGCGTCCGTATCGCCGCCGAGAAAGCCGAGGCTGAGCGTGTTGCCAAAGAAAAGGCTGAAGAGGAGGAGCGTGTACGTGCCGCTGCCGCAAAGGCGGAGGAGGAACGTCTGGCGAAGGAGAAGGCGGATCAAGATGCTGAGGCTGCACGCAAGAGGGCTGAGCAAGAGGTACGCGGTGTCGATGCGCGCAATGATCGACAGGCGCAACTCACAAGAGCCAAGGAGATTCAAGCCCGTAAGGCTCAAGAAGCGGAAGACGCTATCGCTCGACAGCGCGCGCTCGACAAAGCCGCGCGGGCAGGCCAGCAACCGCCGCCCTCACCGTCGAAAAGAACCAGCAGCAGCAATGTCAAGCAACCTCTGGCAAGGCCATCTCCCGCGCACAGCAGCAGCTCTTCCGGCAGAAACGGTACGATCCGCCAGTCGGCCCAGACCTCTGCGCCGAGCCCTCAACATGCAGCGTTTGCCGGCGTCCCCACTGGTCGACCCCCGCCGTTGCAGACGCAGAAACCCGCATCGTCACCGGCGACCACTGGCCGTCCCAGCCTGTGGAATCGTCTCTCTGCTGTGGCCGGTGGTGTGCTCTCCCCGAGCCCTGAGCCCCAGACACCCACTGGTCCCGCACACCAATCTCCAGGCCGCCATCGCCCCGCCCCCTTACCTTCAGCGCGTCCTCTGATGCCCGGCAACATCTTCGATCCGAGTTCGAGCGAGGCCAGCGTCAGCGAGTCCGACGGAGGTCCACCATCACCCAACCTCTCGCGCACCGGTCAAACGACGGTGTCCGGGACCACGACATTAACTGGTGCACCTTCTGAGGTCTCCGCGACGACCACGCTTGCGCCGACCCTACAAGCCGCCCAGGCAAAGAGTATGAGTCTTGCTATCGCTGACCTGCAATATCGCTAACTTATTGTATAGGTCCCGGCAACACTCGCAAGCCACTCGACGCAGATGCCGAGTTTAACACTCCTCGCGCCAGCGCTCGTCAGCTCGAGGATCCTGACACCAAGCCTGCGCCTGCTGCTCAGCCCATCAAGACCGATGTCGACCCCGCTTCGGAAATATCGCCGCCTACGGCTGCTACGCGTATGTCTATGTGACCATCTCGCGACTGCGAAATACTGACGAAAATCCAGAGGCCAACCTGAAGGAAGCTCAGCTCTTGAATAGCGGGATGCCAGTACCGACCGACGCGTCTTCCGTCGTGTCCTTCAAGACTGCAGGCACGGATGAGGCAGGGTCTGTAAGCGCTGGTCTCCCTCAAGAAGACCCTTGGGAGGTTGTTACCGGGTCGACTACAGATGCGACGTCACCGTCAGCTCCCAACGCCAAAGAGCAGACTAAGGACGTCCCGCCACCTGTCGAGAAGGCAGCCGACGCCACTCCTGAGCTCGAACCTTCGACAGCAGCGGCCGGTGTACAGCCGCCCAAGGAGAGTGCCGCTCAGGCCACCACATCCGTCGAGACGAAACCTACCAAGCTCGCTGCTCCGGAACCGCTGTCGTCGACCATCTCTCAAGATACCATTCGCGATATGAACGACAAGTCCGAGGAACCGGTTGCCTCTTCTGCGCCCGCGCCTGCAGACGAGGTCGCGGCTGTAGCTTCTGAAAGCGATGTACCGCCTGCACCGCCTGCGAAGGACGCGTCTCCCAAGCCTGATCCCGCCACAACCAAGGCCGAGGCCGACGCGAAAGGCGAACAGGTCGAGCCCGTAACCGCGAAGGACAGTGTCGAGGTGAAGCCCGATCCCGTCGACGCTGCTGTCGCAACTGTGGCTCCCGATACACCGAAGGTTGACACCGCGTCCAAAGACAAAGCGGGAAAGGCGAAGGACGAGTCTAGCGCGGACGCGGAGCCTGCGGGTAAGGAGGAATCCAAGGCCGCCGCCGCTGTCGACGACGGGAAGACTGTCATTGCAGACGACGCTGCGAAGAAGTTAGACGAAGCTGCTGTCTCCAAGGGTACCGATGTCGGCGACGACTCGAAGACTGTCATCGCCACCGACGAGGCTAAGGACAAGCCCGAGGACAAGAAAGACAACACAGAGGCATCGAATGACACTGAGGGTGCTTCGACGCCAGCAGCTGCTGGTACCGACGACGCCACACGACCAGAGAGCCCGACCAGCGAACGTCCAGTGACGCCCACGATGAGCAAGAGCGCCGCTAAGAAGGCGCGTCAGGCTTTGCGCAAAGCCGCTGTGCTCGCTTCGGCAACGAACGTTGCTGGTCCGGGTGATGAGAGTGCTGCGCCGTCCGCACCTGGTACACCGACTACCGAGCAACCTCCTGGCGACGACGGTATGACTTCTGCAAGTGAAGCTACGGGCGCCATCTCCCAAAGCGACATGTCCGAGATGGAATCCTCCACGCCCCCCAGCCCTGTGGTCGAGAAGTCTGCTTTCGACCTGGCGGCTCCACCTCCGCCCGTATCCCAAGCCGCCCCGCAACAACCGCAGCAGACACCAACCTCTCAGAAGACGTCTGGTACTAGTGGTGGACAGAAGAAAAAGAAGAAGAAGACAAGCGGCAAGTAGATTGCCCCGTCGTTCTCGATTCTGTGCACTTCCTAGTTCCTTATGACTCTTTATTGCTTGATCTCTGCTTATTTGTTGTACTTGTCCTCGTCTTCACTCTCGTCCTCCATGTACTGTGTACAACGCCTCTCGCTTCTTGTTGTGCTTTCTCACCGTCTCCTCTTGCTTTTTTGTACTATACGCTCGTGCCACCTTGCACGATCTTACGCCCTTTGCCACGTTTGTACATAAATGTTCATAGATGCATCGATATGATTGCCTTGACGTTTTACTGACCCAAGGCCTCCGCCGATCGTAGACACCCGCAAAAACCCGAAAGCGCTCCAGTCGATTACTCGGATTTGCCTGCAAGTGAAATATCCCGGAATTAGCCCGGGCCAAATGATTATAAAGCGTGTCCATCAATTCGAGTGACCGGCAACGCCGAGCTTGACAAAGAACTGCCACCAGGTGCTCTTCGAAATCGTGTCCGCCCATCAGGCCTCCGCACTCAGGATGGAAGACTCTGACACTTATCAATGCCAGTGGTCCGCGGTAGCGGCTCCGCGCTCATGCTATATATAACTGTATATCTCACCCCAGATGCGCTAATCGGGCGATTCAAGTTCGACTTCAAGGATTCGTTATCGTGCGCGCTCAAAGACATCGTCAGCTGGTCCATCGTGATCGAAGCTCGACGCCAACGCACAGCGTATAAGAAGGAGCTTCTTCCTACAACTCGTGGTGTTCGACCACCACAAACCCATTTCTCTGGATGTTCAGCCCTTGGAAGAACGTCCCACTTAATCCTACGCCCTCGCCCTCCACTGTAGAGTCTCCCTCGTCTATTTCGTCTTACGACTCGGGTACGGAGGACTTTGCACCTGACATGGCGAGCGACCGTTCTGCGTCGGTATCGCTGACGAGTAGATGTATCCGACCCCACGAGCGTTACTACTTCCATGAACCGAATGTACAGTTGGTGGTACATATTCAATCGCCCTTGTCACTGATGACTTCATACCTGACAAGTTATATTCGTCTAGGTAGAGGATGCTGTCTATAACCTGCCCCGCACCTTACTCAGTCGTCTCTCAGCGCGGTTCCGGGAGTGCTTCAACCGGGGAGCGGATGTACTCCCGCCTGGATGGCTTGTGCATAAAACCGATCTTGGGGAGCACATATACATAAACTGCACTGCCGGTCTCGCGCAGAAGACTCGACCCAGCGTCGTTGGTTCTTTCGCAGACGCGTATCCTATTTTTGGCGTGACTGCCCAGGAGTTCGATGCTTTCTTGTCCGTTATCATTCGCGAGCAAGAGTGAGTCCGGCTCCTGATGAAGCGTACCACATCGCTAAATCCTTCTCAGGGAAGACGATAGATACAACAACAAGGGCAAATGGCTTTCGGTTCTTAAAGTCGCTACGCTCTTCGACATCTTGTTCATCCGCACCATCGCTCTCCGCCATCTCGACTCGCCGGCAGTTGCTCTGACTCCCTTGGAACGACTCCAAATTGGGCGTACGCACGACGTCAGCGACTGGGCCGATAATGCCCTTCGAGCATTGATCCAGCGCGCAGAGTCACTTCGTGAAGACGAAGTGACGTCCATGAGGGCTAAGGACGTTGTGTTTGTGACTTCATCCCGCGAACAAGCTGCGAGAAAAGCTCAGTGCGACGAATCTAATCCCTACCTTCAGCGTGCGACTACTCCTACCAACCCCATGACACACGTACACTCGCCCATCCCTCGTCTGGCGAATTCGTCCAATGCATCACCTCTCACGCCGCCTTTGGGTAGCCCTGCCCCAATATTTATGGCCTCGGCTGCCGCAGATGCTCTACCCGCGACCTCGCGAGGCTCACTCTGGGGTTCAAAGGTCCCATCGCCCATGCCTGCTGAGAAGCAGGCCCTCGAGTCCATCAAGGGGGCACCGCCTGCGCCCCCTGAGGCTAAACGTGTAGACGAAGTTCCCGCCGTCGAAGTGCCCATCGGCCACGGCGGCATTCCTGGTGGCTTCGGCGATGAGGATGACGACCCGCCGCCGCCACTGCCACCACCTGCACTTGAACCATCGCCTGACGTCGCTGTCGAGCCAGAAGTACAGCAGCAACCTCCCGCACCTCCCGCGGCGGCATGGGATTCTGTTGCGTCTAGGGCGCCCGCGAGCAAGCGGGGATCGGCGGCGCCGAGCGTGCGCGCCGCATCTCCCATCTCGCCCCCATCCGAGAAGTCATCGTCGCCCCAGCTCAATTCAGATGCCGAGATCGGTCTCCCGTCATCCATGAATGCCTCTCCAGGCGATGAAAGCGGCGGTGGCGGTGGAGACCTGGAAGAGGAGAAGGGGGACGATGGATGGGGCTTCGGCAGCGGGAATAAGAGGAAGGGCAAGGGCAGCGCATGGGGTGCAATGACAAACAACAACAACTACGGGTGGAACGACGGCACCAGCTTCTTTGATACACTCGGTTCTGACCCTACCCCCGTTGCTGATGGCCTGCTCCATGACACAGCCGCGGGATCGGTGATAGACAAAAAGGCGTCTACGACCGCTATTCCATCGTACCCGCTGACGGAGAACTCGTCGGGTCTTACCACACCTCCGAGTGAACGAGTTGATATAGGCGAAAAAGCACCTACGGTGGAGTTCAAAGCCGAGGACGAGGATGATTGGTGGAACGAAGACTCGAAGAAAAAGAAGAAGAAGAAGGGTAGCAAGGGACCAGCGGGCACCAGTGCACTCAGTGGCGCACCTGCCGGCGCAGCGACGCGCGGCGGTAAGGGCAAGGGCAAGTGCTGAACGTGGTGGGATGGTCCTGTCTGAGATGTGTATTTCTTGAACATAGCGACTCAGGAAGATTGTTATGATGTAATGCATAGTACGTACAGGAGTGAATAGCATTTCACCTGATCCTAAAACTGCCACTTCAGCCTCGCAAGACATGCACTGTACCCGTCTCATTACCAACTGGAGTGGTGCATACTCGTACCTCCACTCTCTGCCTGGTCATCTTAACCTCGAACCGACGGAACCGAATGCATGCTTGATTCTGAAGCGAAAGGAGTGACATTCAAGTTCGCTATGATAACGTTGACAGACAGACATGAAGGAGTGTGTACTATGCGACCAGGCATAGGAGATAAACGTAGATGATGCAGACGTTGAGGTGTATAGACAAAGTGTGTGGGGAGAGAAAACGAAAACGATCCGAAGTGCCGACGAGCTCACGAGCTCGGTGGCGTCAAGCGCGAAGAGTCCTTTCGGCCTCTGAACCGCTCAAGAAGCTTGCCGGACTTGCTCGACTTGATGCTTGGGGCGGAGCTGAGGTTCACAGTAGAACTAGACGCCAAGGGACCCTATAGAACGCTTCAGTCGAAGTCTGAATTTCAGCAAAAGATATTACGTACCACGGTTGAAGCGAGCGTCTCAGGAAGACAATTCTCCTCGCGCATCTTCTGGATGTCCTTAATCGAGTAAAGGTTGAAATGCTCGACGCTCTGCTTCTGCCTCTTGAGAGCTTCGTACTGTGAAGGTTTGATCAGTAAGAATACAACTTAATCAGGAGTCAATCTACGCACCGCGTAGACCTCGCGCTGATCAGGAGTCAAAGGCAAATCCTTCCCCTGCTTGCGCTGCAGAGACTCCTTCAAGCTGGCCTCGGACTCAGGCCCCAAGTCGATCCACGAGTCCCGTATATCGCCCTTCGTAGACTTGGGGCTCGACTTCTTGAGAGAGGGAAAGCGGCGTATGGAACCAGACCGAGTTTGCTCGTTGGACTCGACAGTCTTGTACGACGGTGCACGGGACAGCGCCGACCTTGCCGAGGGCGTGCGAGAGAGAACAGTTTGAGCGGAGTGGGGGGGTGAAGGCGGAGGTGGGATGTAAACCGGAGTTGGCACATGGCGACGGGTTTGGGTTTGAGGCACGGCGGGCGCGCTGTGGCTGCCTGCCACAGACGGAGCAGGGCGCGATGAGGCGCCCGAACTAGATGGGATAACGGTCTGCGTCGAATAGACTGACGCCTCTGTGCGATAAGAGAACGTGCTGATCCTCGGCGTCTCTACCTCGAGGTCGTCGACGGTAGACACCCGAGATACATGGCGTTCGTGTACAGACTTGGCCGACCAGTTCTCGCTCGCTTGCCTGGTCAGGGTCGATAAAGCCGCGGCACGAGAATTGCCATGACCATCATCAGGGAGACCGCGGCCAGGAAGAGGCGGCGGGGCGAGATCCCCGACGTATGGCGTCTGCCTGCGACGGTCAGGGTGATGGCGACCACGAGAGGTGGTGCGAGAACGAGGTGGAGTCTCCCAGCCGCGGTCTTTACCGGGCGCGGCGGGGTTCTGCTTGGGGTGGCGCTCATGTGCCGTTGCATCGTAGTGAGGGCGCTGGGCCTCAGCCTTGCGCGCGTGACTCCTGTCCCGTCGATGCACGCGCTCGCGACCACGGTCGAATGACTTCTGACGGGTGACTTCGGGGACCTCCGAATCAAACGGCACGATGACGGGGATGTCGACAACGTCAACGATCACATCCGTGGGGACTGGAGGAACGTTTTCGACAGTGTGCGTACGAAGTGGGGAGACTTCGCTCTTGACGCGTCTCATTTGCGGAGGTGCCTCGAGGAAGCGATTGGGGCCACGCTGAGGCTTCTCCGTCGGATACGCGCCTAGATGGCCATAGATGTCTGCCATGAGGGCAACTTGCGACATATTCGTCGTATAACTGGAGTCGGAGGTAGTTGACGAATTGGTGGTGACCGAGATCTCGGTGTCCGCCGCAGAGGGACGGCGCGAGTAGTCGTCGGGTATGGAGAGAGGAATACGGCCCGTAACAGGAGTACGGGCGCGCTCATCGAGCTGCCGCCCGAGGATGCCAGCGTTCTCATAAGGAGCCTGCCACGCAAGAGGGGCGGTGAGATCGGAAGAGACGGTGTAGTTTGAGAAGACAGTCTCGGTAGGTGAAGTAGGGCTACCAGAGATGGAGGAGGTGTATCCGCGGGAGAATTGAGGTGGATTGTACTCGTCCCTTGGCGAATAGCTCGGCGGCGACGAGAACTCCTCGTCCGAGTCGCCGACGGAATATGGGACGCTCGGTCGCCGGGATGGCGAGTACTGGGTGGCTGTGTGCATGACGGTATCGCAAGAAGTCGCAGGACACAGTGGAGGAAGCTCGTGTGCCGCAAAGAGCGTCTGAGCGAAAGACCGCAAAGAGATTGATGTCCTCTTTATACCGACCTGCGGTGGCAAAACCCGGTGTGGTGTGGACAAAACCATCCAACAAGCGATTCATGATTGTCCATTGTCCTCAGTGATACGTAGTGTAGAGTCCAAGTTTGGCATAGCACCTACGCCCACCGACCACACTCGCTTTAGTGAGGTGCCACGCGCGAAGGTTCCGTTGAGAACGATATGTGGTTCTGAACAAACGCCTCGAGGCTCGGATTGACCGCACGTCGACAATATGTGGGTGAAGGCGGCTGGTACAACCACAAATGCCACTGAACCACCCGGCGCGCGGTGCCGGAGGCCGTCATGCACGCCGGCGTCGATACTTGGGCTGTCCGAGCAAGACTCCCGCAGACCCTTCAGCCATGCGTACGACTTCTTCGAGCGCTCCCCATGCCTGTCGATTATATTCGGGGGATGCGCCCTTGCTCTGCCCTCGTTCTTGTTTAAGGCGATTCTTGAAAGCTGCTTCGAGATCGACATAATAGTCCGGTGACGATTTCCATTGTGGGCCCGCTTTGGGCGTATGGGTGTCCCTGATGTGATAGTTCAAGCTCGCGAGATTCCGGGTGAGCTTATGCGGGAGACCGCGAGACCCGCTCGAGTTCATCAGGAGAGCGAGTGTATTGTCGGCTAAAAGTACGAACGATAATTAGCCACCTCCAAAGGAGCGGACAAAGGGTTCGTACGCACCACGTTGTTCCCAGACGCGCAACGCCTCCTCGAGCCTTGCCCTCTCCGTCGGTACAGTATCTGCACGGTCAAGGTCGCGTATGATCCGAGCTGCTGATTCAAAGTTTGGTCTCCAAAGCCTTCGCAACTGCTTGCGCGCCGTGTGCTGGTCAAGAACAGAAGCAGAGGCCGCCCGCAGAAACAAGCGATACAGGCTAGTCAAGCTTGGAGGTAGTCTCGACTCAAGTGCCATATGTCCTCTAGGGTTTGTGATCAAGCGTGTCGTGCGGCCGCGTTACTGTACGCGTCGCGGTTGGCGGTCAAGTCACACTTCAACTTTCCAATGACTGCGCATCTCTGTTCTCACCCACCACGATCATCTCGGTGTCCTTCAACGTCTAGGCCGTCACAAAATACCCGCTTCATAACCGTAGCACTTCTTGATACATAACACTATTGACGCACCGGTGCAAACGAAGCCTACTGATCTGGCTGCCGGCTCAAGACGCTACGTATCTCGCGCCCGCGTGCAGCGATGCAATCCCTGGGCCCAGCATCCCTGCGCGCTACATACACCCCAGAATTCGTGGACCACATTCTCTCTGAGTTGGAGCGTGAGGAGCTTGTCCTTCCTGCGCTCGTAAATCGGCTACGGGCCGATATTGCCCGCGATCGTATCTGGAGGGTCGTACATCATCCTTGCGAACTATTCCGATTACTGTCTCCGATACTAAGTCACGAACCGGCACATGTGCGTAATCCGCATTCGGAGGCACTCAAGAGCTCACGACTTCAATATATAGACATTTGCTCGCGCGCCCACATCATCGGACTGGCAACGGTTCCTCCCCATATGCCGTCGCGTCCGCGAATTGCAGATCGATCTCAAGGGCCAAGCCGACCCTGCTCCTTGTGAGGAATACACATGTATGGAGCTGGTTGATCAAATGGCTCGCACACGTCTCCTTGTAGATATATTTCCCAACCTGACGAGGCTCGGCTGGTGGGACCATGAAGAACCCCACCAACATTCGGACCGAGTTTTATTCTTCCTTTCGCCCAGCATTACAGGCCTCAATCTGTTTTGTCATACTGGCAGTCAATGGTACTCATCCGATGTTCTTTTTGACGACATGATATGCCGTTGTCCTCGTTTGAGGGAATTAGTCCTCACTGCTGGGACCGCGCCGTTTCCGGCGCCCTACGCCACTATCGAACGGGGAATCTGCAAGGTGCATCAGTGTCTGCCCATTACAGAACTCGAGCTGCCCCTTTACTATCTATCGAGCCTTATCCTCCAAGCGGCGTCCCAATGCCCCTCACTACAATCCCTGACGACGGAATGTGATACCTGGTTCCCCGAATTCGGGTCATGTGGAGACTACAACGATGCATTGACCATCGACTTTCCGAAGTTGGCCCCAGATGCCTTCCCGAAGTTAACCTGTCTGTTCCTTGCTGCCAGTCTCGATGCCTTGACACGCATGATCGACGACCCGAATTTTCCTGCTATCAACTTATGGGAATTACGCGTTCGTGCTGCACAAGCTGAGAGCAAGGTGGCGGTCGCAAATCTATTGTCTGCACTCGACGCTCGTTACTCAGGACTCAGGCACCTTCTGCTTCGCCTTGCAAGACCCCGTAGACCTAGGGATGTTAGCGACGACCGTGAACCTGGGATCCACCCTCGCGAAATGAGGCGCTGTTATGGAACTTCATTTCCCGAACCTCGTTCGGTTGGAAATCACACACGAATACGCACTCGGGATCACGGATGACGATGTCACACTCCTCGCCATAGGGTTACCAAGCTTGGTCTCCCTCGACCTTAACGGAGCGCCAGGCAATATCGAGCCTGGACCAACAAAACTCACAATACGCTGTCTTCGCTCCCTGGCCACATGGCTCCACGAGCTGATGGATCTATCACTTTTTCTTGATGCCAGGCAGGATATTGATCCCACTCTTCCTCCAGTCGCGTTTCAAAGCCTCGAGCAGCTCTTTCTCTGCACTTCGCCGATTGATGAGGCGGCTCGCGAACGCGTGACTTTGCATCTAGCGCGCACTCTTCCAACGTACGCCGTCATGACGTCGGAACGGGACTATGTTTCCGAATGGGATTATACGCCACCTCCCTTTGAACCTAGCCGTTTTGCCATATGGAAGCGCGTAGAGGCTGACCTGGAGTTGATCATGAGCGCGAAGCGCGACTGGTTGGCGGACGCTCAAGCTCAAGTGTCGAAAACACAGTGGTGAGTGCCGCTTTTCCTTGCGACCCCACGCCCGCCGACTGATCACCAATCGCAGATAACTCTCCCACCTGCCATGCGACACAATTGCGTACCGTAGTCCCGGTATACTACCACAGTTCCTAGATTTTCATATCATAACCAGTATAAGTGTACTACATTACCGACCAGGATACGAGTCGAAGGCCCTTCCACGGCAGGTCGAGTAAACCGCTTCATACTGCATTTGAGCCTGATCTGCGTCGGCCGAACTTCGCCGACAGGGCGTCGGATTGATCGCTCCCACTGCGCTCTCTTGCAAGCTCGGGCAGTTGAGCCGTCTGCTCAAGCATCTCGCAGGCATTGCCGCTATCAGATGTTGCATGATGGGGTACAGCGATGCGGAATGTGGAGACGTCGGTGGGCCCTATGGTGCTCATCGTGCGAGGAGCTCGTGCCGCTTCTGAAAGAAGTTCAGTTTACGACCACACGCAGGGAAGAGCATGGGACGTACTACGAGTGTGGATGATCATGCCTTGTGATAAGATCTAGCGCTCAACGTGAGATAGTGATGAACATAGACTCAAACGTGCGGGCGTACCCAAGTAAATGTGATGCCAACAGTGATACTAGACGGATGTGAGCAGATGCAGACGAACAATGCGAAGTGACGGCGTACGCTCGAACTTGAAGATATTGCTTCGCAGAGAGGTAGAAGATGAGGTTTGTAAGATTGATGGCTGCGCCAGGTTGAGTATCAGAGCGACGAAGACGGGATGAAACGCACCGGTGAGAACGACGAGATAACCTAAGCCATCCAAAAGCATTTGACGAATGAGTAGACTGGGGCGACCGGTGAGATCATGAAGAGCGAACCAGGTTCGGGGAGGCACGTACCTCTTCGTCTCAAGATGCAGAGAGAACAGATAGTACGTAGCGATTGATATAGCGCACACGTCGTACCTATTCGCACGGAGTCAGTCAACCATGTGTCAAGCGCTGATCGAGGTACTTACACGACAGCCCAGATGTAGTAAGTGAAAGTGAACATTAGTCCCGGGAGGTTGCCAGTAGTACACAGGCGATCATGCCAGAGCAGAACGCGTCGGAAGTAGTTGCTGAAAGCTTCGAGGCCACAAGTGACGAGGAATATGACAATCAAGAAGTGCTTGACTCGAGTGGAATAGCGAGCGAGAGTGTATGTGCGTAGACCAATGATGATCTGGCTGACAATAGTTTGTATGACTGCAAAACAGGACGCGTGAGCAAGGGGTTGAAGCGGTAAATGCATGAGGCGTACGTTTTAAGGTCACGGGTATTGCATGCGTCCTAGCGCACATCTCCTCGGACATCCCCAGAAAGTACGTCGCGTTATAGTACCCTATAGTCGCCGCACTTACATAGCGGATGAGGACGAAAAGCGCGACACTGGCAGGTTGTCAGACTAAGGATCCGTATAAGCTGAGGAAGTACGCACTCGGGTGGGAAGAAGCAGCCCCTTTGCTTGCGCTTCCGCCAATAGTCGCCGTATATCGCGATCTCTTCGGGGAGTGTGCGTACGTAGCTGCCTTGACGCGTCAGATTTGCTCTTCTCAGAGAATGCAGAGAGAACGCACTCGTAGCATGCAATGCCTATCATAGCCATCCGGACATATGATTCCGCTAAGTGGTTTGCGTCGTAGCTAGCGCCGTTCATCGCGTAGACGGCTTGTGGAAAGGAGAGACGAGGGTGGGTGACAGGGAGGATGGCGTTCTGACGACAGACCTGCTAGCGTTATACGTACTCATTGGCTGCAGTTAGGGGCGAGCGGAGTGAGGCCCAGAGCTAAGCGCAAAGGCAAAGTTGTCTAGGGCACGCGGTCTTGTTACCGCCAAATCGGGCGTTATTGTGAACCACAACGGGACTTGAATGGGAGGCGAGGATTGGTGGCGGAATCACTTCTGCCGTCCACAGCGTAATGTCGAGCTATATGATTGGCTATATGTTCGTCCGAGGTCGACGTAGAAATGTTATGGGCGTCTGTTCCTCCGAAGGATTGCGAGCAGAGCGCACCGCCAGCTGCAAAGCTGACAACGATGATGTATTGGGTCGCTCAGGGCAGAGTAAACAAAGGGAAGAGGCACAGCTCATGAGTACTTTTGCGTTGCATAAGCCAAGGTGGTCGAAATAGGCTTTCATTGGGTGCCCTATGAGGCTTCCGTACACGGATCATGGCCGTTCGAGACAGGACGCGTTGCGCCTGCTCCCGAAGTCACAAGTGCGCGTCACGGTTTCCCGCGCTGAACGCGGCCTTCGCGAGGACGAGGACCTCTCGTCCTACCTTCAGTCTATAGAACATAGTTGACGACGTCAATCGCATACATGCGTGGCTGGGATGCAGCCTCAACACATGAGTGCCGTCAACTGGCTGAGGCATTGGATTGGAGGCCGAAAAGGGCGCAGAATGGCGTCTCGGCCTCCTACCCTTGAACTACTTTGAACCTGAGTCAGGTCCAATCTACAGTATCAGCATCTATCTTCCCTTCAGTACTCCGCTCGCCAGGGTGGCGTGCAGTCGACCATATACTTCTCCGCTTATGTGAGCTCGTAGCATCAAGACACTCGCCCCTGGCCGACTTCGCCGTAAGCCAGTCGTTAGCCTCTGAGTTCTCGATCGTAGAGCCAACGCTAAGTAGCCCCACGAATCGTTGCTCTCTACCTCGGTCTATACGCCGACTGAAGCTTCCGAGCCAATTGTGGCGAGACGGTCGACGCGCGCGTCGGCTCTTCACGGACACGCACATCACGCACCTCCTCCAGCACGCAGGCCCGCCCACCCTCGGGCCCACGGCGCGCCCCGACGCACCGGAGTGCGTGAACCCCAACTTTCGTGGGAGCCGATTTGGCTGGCACGCACTTTGCGCTCGGGCACGCGCGCGGTGCCCGGGCGCTGTGCAGGCGCGTGCGGGACCTATACGCGCCTATGTCTCCGCGCTCCTGGGCGGCGCGCGCTCAGTCCAGGACGCGGATTTTGGTGATCGTCGATCGACATGCGTTGGGAGTGAGGTATTAGTTCGGGATCCGCGCGCATGTCGCTCTAGGTATTGTTCTTGGAGAGGCGGTGGTAGAAGCTTATGGGCCTGTCAATTGTGCCGCGTGCGACCCGCTGTTCTTACCAGTACTTCACTTCCCTTAATCGGCCAATGAGAGTACGAGTACAGCTCGGGTGTAACATGAACATTGACTGTGTGGTATACATGTGCAGTATTGTACAGTGCGTGATCCGAAGCCAAGAGTGCGGGGTATATATGGGTAATATGGTTTCGATCCTGCATCCGCGCCGTCGTCGCATCGTGCGCATACAGGCGCTACATCCATGAGACTCAGAGTATCTCACATCGCCACGCCGCATCGCACCGCGACCGGTCTTCCTTGTGCATCAAACTTGACGATGGTTGCGACTGCAGGCTTCATCGTCTCGCGTACGGCCCTTTGCACGATAACAGTTTCTAAATACACTATCAGTTGAGCTATGGAAGACTGGATGGTCGCGAAGAAGCGCTTACTGTCATCGTCGGACGCCGCGGCGTTGTCGAAGATGGCGCTGGCCTTGCGCCTGAGGTCTTTGCATTGTTGCTGGGCGGGAGTCTGGGGCGAAAGGCGAGAGCTAGGTGAAGACATGACGATTGTGATGATAGGAAGTGTGGTAGTGAAGTAGTCGGGTTTAGAGATCGCGAGTAGAGGGTGCTGGTGTCGCAGACTGAGCCAGGAGTAGATAAAGTACAGAGACGGATACGAGATTGTCGAGCTTTATATACCGGTGAACCACGATTGTAGGCCACAGACCATCCATCGATGTCGACCCCAACCACGTCTGTGAAGGGGAAGCCTTTGTCGTGTGGGTGTGGTCCAGTACACACGGTTATATCACGTCCAAAAACCATTGAACGTGAGCATAGCTAGAATGGAAGGACAATGGTCGCTACGATAGAGCGAGGCGACAATGTCCTCGGCGTGCGCAGAACCACAGCGCATTCTGGAGGGCAATGGGCTGAGCTGAGAGCATCGGTGTGGTTCGTCCGGGATGAGAACCAGTAGCTCAGAGCATCGCGCAGCATGTTGGATGTGACGTTTGTCTGTGTTATTCAGTACTGTTTTCGAGGACACATTGCGAGAGAGAATAGGCGAGTCGATGCGAAGGTGGTAGCGAATTGTGCGTCGACGTCGATTGCTTGAGCCGGACGCGAGTTGTAACATGAGGGCGCAAGGTAACATCGCGATTGCTTCTGAGTTCCCGCGCCATTTCTGCATATTGGTGAGGAGATATCTTTGGCGTTAGAGTCACCGTGACCAGACTGTCATCGCTAGATGGGCAATCATCCGCAGCGAAGGCTCGGACAGGGAATCCGCGACGGAACTGACAATGCAGCCAGGAGCGCTACTATGTAAGCTACGGAATATCGCAGCCGAACGGAACGACAACGACAACGGAAAGCCCTCACAGCTGATCTGCACGGGTTCGCTCGCAGGGCCGAGTAGCCCATCTTCAAGTCCGTGAACTCAAGGCGCGGGATACATGAGGCCATCTTGAGCCTGCACAATGTCTTTCTCGTATCATTTCCAACACGTGAACCTTTGCCGCCGACATGAGGAGAGTGGGAGACAAAGGAGACAAAGGAGTTGGTGGATCATGGAAGCAGGAAGCAAGCCGAGAAGGCGCGAGGACGCTTGAAACGGAAACGGCGGAGTTGTTGGGGGAAGCGCGGGCCGGTTGCGCGAGCCCCGGGACTCGAGTCCAGCCACGCCACGCATCTCTTCCCGAACCACTGTCACGACCTCAAGCCCGTCCCGTCCCACAATAAACATCATTTCATTTCTTTCGTTCTTATAAGCACGCTTGCTCTCGTCTATTCATCTTCTTTCCCCTCCACTTCCTTTGTCATTTACTCTGCCTTCGACTTCTACCTTCCATTACTCCGAACTGTCTCGCTTTAGCATCTGGTTGACCTGTCAGAGCTGGAGATGAGCGGCGCCGACTCTGAGCGCTCTTGGGCGCAGGACTACTTGGACATCGACTGGAAGCCTACGCCGCCCTTAAACCGTGCTCGCGCCCCGCATATATCTCTGGCACCAGCACCACCGGATTCGCCAGCACATCCTGCACCAGAACTTGCAGCGACTCTGCCAGGTGTACGGGGTGCAGAGGATGCATTGGGCCCCTACGAGCGTCTAACGGGTGTGGTCGAACCACCACACCCGGGCGACGGTGTCTTAGAGCTTGTAACGCGCCTGGCACGTCTGCGCCGCACATCCCCCGTGGATCCCGCGCCCGTGTTCGCCGCGTGGCAGGCGGCCGTGACTTCGCTGTTGCCAGAGGTAACGGTGCGCGCGCACTCGCCGTCAGACGCGGTGTTTGCCGAGCCAACGGTCGTACCACTGCCATCGATGTTGGACGAGGTGGAGGCGCCCAAGAAGGAAGCGGGGAAGCGCCCGCATTTAGCGCCCGAACCAGCGCCCGGCCCTGCCACCCCCCGCGCTCGTCGGGCACGGGATATCGACGACCGCGTCGAGGATGTCTTGCGCCGTCTTGAGCGAGACGATGTCAGAGGTACATCTCACGCTGTCAACAGAGTCGGTAATATGACTCATAATTGTCCGACAGCCAAGCGCCCGCCTTCGGCTTCTTCAGTCTCGTCTTCGTCTTCACCAACCACTTCGGACGATGCCGATATCGCATCCCTTTCATCATTTACTTCGATTTCGTCACTTACGACCCCGCCGCCGTCAACCACCACCAAGCCAGCATTGTCGTACCGCGACTACTGCGTCCCAGTCCGCAGCCCGGGTTCGACATCGAATGGACCCTGCTCACCCAACGCGCCCGAAACACCACGGCGCCCGCCTGTGCAGCTCCGTATCGACGCCGACGGGTTCTACACGTTCGGTACACCCAGCCCGCCACCTCGGAAACTCCAAACACCGCGAAACAAGTCCAAGAGTCGAACCCGCGCGCTTGTTGATGCTCTTCGATCACAAACCACTGACGAAGACGACGATGGTTGGTTCGCGCGGAGCTCGAACCCGGCACCTGCAGCAGCAGAACGCAAGGACGGGTGGTTCGCGATGGAGCACAAAGACGGATGGGTCGGCGCGGACGTTCTCGCGCCGGCCTTCTCCCCGCCACGTGCGCCGACCACAAATGGACACGCGAAGCAGCGCCCCAGCCTGTCCGTGTCGCCAGACGGCTGGATCGGTCTCGACGCTTCGCCGCCGCCGAAGCTGCACCCGACACGACCCCCGCAAGGGCATCGCTCACGGGCGTCGCAGTCGATGTCGGGGCAGTTCGTGTTCCCACCGCCGCAGTCTATGCAGGTTCCGCCGCCACCACCGCCCGGATGGATCGTGTATGCGCCTCCGCCTCCGCCAACGTTCTTCGCGCCTCAGGGTGCGGGGATGGGGGTAGCGCCTATGCAAGTTCCCGTGGCATATGGCGCGAATACGGGGTTCCGTCCCGGGATGGGATGGCACTGAGCCGTTCCCAGACACATGTGGCTTGCGGGTTATGACTGGTCACGACCTATGCTCTTCTTCTTCCTTTCTCTTCGTTCTCCGCATATAAACTCTTATTCGACCTATGCCCCTATTCTCGCATCTTGCTATCTTGCCTCCGACTGAACGACTCGATGATCGATCCTGCTCTCTTGATCCCCTCCGTCTCGCATATATCCCATAAGCATAACCCCATTATCCATTATCCATACGCATAAACACCACGCATACATACGCATAAACTCGCTCCGATCCCGATCTTGATACTCGGACGCTCTTCTTGAATTACCCTCTTGTCCCTATCATCCCTCCTCACATCTCTCTTGATATTCTTGTACTATCAGTAACGTATCCTCCATCGTCTCGGCTTCATGATTCCCGCCTTATGCAGCCCTTCTTGGTCCCCGTTTTCGATCCTCGAGTTCGTCTACGTATTGTCAATAGCACGTGTGTGCGCCTTTCCTTCTCGTACACTCGGCCCGGTGGCCCGCTTCAGGAATGCCTCGTGAAGGCCTCATCAGAATCCCCCGCCCCCGCTTCACCAGGTACGCATATCCCTGGTTATGTGGAGCACCAAGTCTTCGCAAACACAGAACAATGCCTGCACCTCACGATATCGCGAAAGCTTCGAGATCTTTTGCAACTCGATCAGCTCCGGGAGACTTGACACAGATCCGTCTTCAGCCGCGCCCTCTTCATCCGCGACTGAGCTTAGGTCTGCAATTCCACCTAACAAGACAGCCGCCGCGTCATGTATCTGCGTGCAAAGCTCCTCCAACGCGGTGCGCCCAGATACATCCACAATATCCACTTCGAGTCCCCTGTCAAGCAGCTCGACACCGAGGGTGGCAATGGGATGTACGGATAATTCTGCGACAGGCAGACCAGCCAAGATGTGAAGCGCCGATCGTCCTATAGTATCTCGTGCATTGACTTCAGCTCCGTAGTGTAGCAAGGCTTGAAATCCGGCAGCTTCATTGCCGATGCGTTCGGCGGAGCCGAAGGCTCTCCATACCTCGCGGTGAAAGAGATTCGCAGCGGAACATGCTCTCATGAGAGGCGTGATCCCGCGTTTGTCTGGCGCCTCTACATCGGCACCGTGTTGAACTAAAAGTCCAATCTTCGAGGCCGTATTGCCATATACGCTTGATGCAGCTAAGTGCAGCGCGACCTGCCCATGGGCGTTCGCCGTGTTGACGTGCGCTGCTCCCCCATGTTCGAGCAACAATCGAAGAAGAATCGAATCGGAATGCTGAGCGGCGAGATGCAAGGCAGTCTGGCCATCTCTGTCTTGCATACCGACACAGGCGCCATGCTCCAGCAAAAGACGCGAGGTCGAGCAATCGTAGAGGTTCCATGGACTGCGACTCGGAGATGTAGGTACTGTGGCGAAAGCAGGTGCCATATCAGCGTCCTCGACCGCGGTGGCCGCAGATGCTTCCGATTCGTCAAACGGGTTGTAATTTCTGAAGGTGAATAGGTTACTCTCGGCAATCGCATCAGAGACCATTTCATGATGCTCAGTATGTTGTGAACCCCGATCAGCGAGTACCATTATCTCTTCGTCGAGCATAGCACACTCGTGCAAGCACGTGCGTCCAACGGATCCAGTCGCATTGACGTCGAGACCATGTTGTATGAGGAGGGGAAACACGGCGGCAATGTCTGCCTCTACAAAGCTGCACGATACCCTTAGTGCCGGGGACCACCCTTGGATGAGATAGTAGAGCGCCGTCCTGGGGCACCCTAAGACCGCGTTGGGTCTGGCACCGTTATCGAGAAGCAAACTCAGAATCCGAATCTGAGATATTGCCACTGGAGCACTCTGGCAGTACTGCGACCTATCACACGCGACTTGTAAAAGCGTTCTCGGAGAGTCGTCCTTGCCGTGCGGCGGCTTTCGCTCCGACGGTATCCGGCCCCATGGGGGAGTATGAAGCGTGCGTAAAGGCGCGTTGATATCACGCATCAACGATGATGAGGACAATAATTGTATCATGTCGTTGCTTCCGGATATGACTGCGACGTGGAGTGCTCTGAGAACATAGTCTTGCGAAAAGAGAGGGAGTTCGAGGAGCGATTTAGCCTGCGTCGGGAGATGGAAAGCGACAGCACAGCTGAGCGGATGTTCAGTTATTTCTGCGAGAAGCCTGCCCCTTTGTGGTGCGGTCCACACCCTAAACTCAGCTCCCAGTACGCGGTAGACACGCGCTAGAGATGACCAGTTGTAGAAGGCCTCGAGAGTATACAGCCCGGTGCTTCCATCCAGGTCCCTAGAAGGAATGAGAAACGAATTCAGCAATGATTGAATCCTCGTCGAAACTGTGGGGTATGTCGAGTATGTGGGCCAGTACCGACTGGCGTGGTCGTTCAGAGGTGAATATCCTTCCAAGGAGAGTAGGGTGGCCAAGCTGATTTGTGCCAAAGTCGTGTGCGCCATGGTAGCATCGATGCGATAGCGGTCCGGGGCGTCGCTTGAAAGGATGTAATCTTGTACTGACGCGTGGGAAAAATAGATGGGAGCCAGTCTGGCCTCCGGCTGGCCCGAGCCGAACGGATCATTGCTGCTATCGGTAGAAACCAGGCCCGAACACAATTTCAATATCTCCAACAAAGGCTCGCGAACACGGTATTCGGATCGCAGTACGGCGAAGTCCCCTTCGCCGCAGTCAAAATCAACGGCGAACATCTCTGCTAGCTCATTCACTGAAAGCGGGAGTGCAGCAAACGCAAGGCATTGGAGTATGCGCAAAACATCGGCAATGCATCTGCGATCGATGGCGTCCAGTACTCTGGTGTATGTGTCTCCCAGATTCTTCGGCAACGAGTGTAGTGCTGCCTGCACGTATTTCGGCAGACACGTGCGCAGACTTTCAAGTTGAAGAGACACCCAACGAAACCTAAGGAGACTGTCAATACGCATTCATAGACACTCAGGCAGCACAGCACTCACATTCCGTCAGCTTTGTCTCGTAAGGTTGCACCAGTCAGATCTACCAGATGCTTTGGCCATCTTCCAAACGCGGGATCCGAAGTCAGAGTATGCATAATGTAGGACTCTATGTCCTGAAGATGGGGCTTTTCGCGGAGTAGATCAAGCGCGCCGACACCTGCGTGATCGATGACAAGGCGGATATCAATCTCGGGTCGACTAGATAAAACAACATGTACGTGAGAGAAGCCGAGAGACAGCAGCTTCTCAAGGCAAGGCAGAACATCAGTGCGCCTTTGATCCAGCGGACACTCATCGACACCGTCGATGATGAAGTAAACACGGCAGGTGAGCGCTTGTAGCAGATCCCGTAGCTTATCCAGAAGCACAGTTACACTGGGCTTCCCGTATTCGACGCGACTAGTATGCCACTCTCGTACGAGTTGAGCACAATCGCGCGAAGCAATACTCAATTGAAGAACAAGAGAGCAGAGAAGACCGTATGAGCTCTGCCTTGATGTATCTCTGAAATCGAAGTAGTAATAGGCGACAATGTTTGTCGAGCCTGTCTTGAGTGTATCGACAATAGACGAACTAGCGGCACATTCGTGAGCGGTTTCATTCTCGGTTGCGACAAGCACGCACCAGATGACGCTCTTTCCCGAACCAGCTGGAGAGAACATGTTATTCACCATGATTAAACAAGAAGCGGCTTCGTCAAGCTCACATTGTCCATGAAGCCACAGAGTAGATGCGTCATCATCCCTCCACGCGAGGTAGGTAGGATTCTTCGAAAGCCAGGCCCCGGTGCCGGCGTGCCGAGTGTTTACGATGCGATGGTGGTTTTCCGATGGATCGGGAGGCGCTAGCCACGAGTATATGTCCGAGTCCACTAAGTATGTTCAGCCGTGCTACCTATCTTGCTCAGGTCAAACATACCCAGTGCAGATATCTGCGTCTCGATATGCTCAAGTTTGCGCAAGTGATCTTCGTGCTCTTCAACATAAGCCTTAGTCTCGAAATGATGCGTGCGTGCGGACTATGGCACGTACCAGTATGTAGGCCGCGCACCTCGTTCAGTATATGCTGCGACGCTGCATAGTTCTCCGCGATGGTCATACGGGTCTCGACAGTCGTGAGCCTGTCCAATTCTGCGAGGGCATCCTTCATGTCCTTATTCCCAGACAGAATTTGAACCCAGTGCACTGTTAAACGAGGTGACTCAAGATGATCGGAGAGGTCGATCGCTTGCAATCATACCGAATCTATTCTTCTTAAGGAGTTTTGTGGCAAGATTGAGGACGTGGAGAAGATGAACAAGCACATCCTGCGTATTCCTCTTCGAAGCGGGCCGAAGCTCAGTGCCGGCTTCAAGTCTAATGGCTAAGCGGTCTAGAAACCCCGCCAGATCCGATAACAGTTCCACAAGTGCATCGTAACGTTCGCTCAATCCTTTCGTGGCCTGTACAAGCGTACCGTGAGTCAGAGAAAGAGTTGAGGAGAGATATTGGATGTGAAACACACTGTAAGCAGCAGACCAAACCCAACAAGAATGGCCTTGCCGCCTGGAATTCCCTGTGGCGTTGTGAGTGAGGTGAGCGACCAGTTATGACGATACTTGTCCTACCGCCGAAGAGGCTGCCTCAGCAGCAGTATCATTCAGAAGAAGAGTGACGCTGACTAGCCGTTTGAGAATAGTCCGAACCCCCGCCCAGCCAGAGTCATCATCGCGAAAGGCTTTGAAGTCTTCCATTGCGCTCTGTAGGACGTGCAACACATCATCTACTGATGTGCAGCGCAGAATCTCGTCCGTGAACTCGCACTCTTCCCTATACGCCTCAATGGCATCTTTCCACGTAGCCTGGATGGATATCTCTCTCTCTTGAGGGGGCATGTTGCCGATGATAGGGTGTACGAGGCTGGGAAGATGGTACCAGAAGGCAAACGACACGGCCGTGCGCATGCGCGATCAAGGGCTCCGAGTGTCCGACGGATCACCTTGGCGCGCTTCGTTCGAATCGCACCGAAATCGCACAAGCTTGACTGCGAACCACCACCACCATCGCGGTGTGGGCTATATTATCATCGAACAACTACATCCAAACCTTGTGATATCATCTACTAAAGCTTCGAGATACACTCTCCCAACGACCCCGCCATGTAGTATATATGGTTCACCAACGTGTTATCTGGTCAGGCACGGCGCTCCCGCCGTTCAGCGCTTCTTGAGGCACTCGGACGCTTCCGCATGGACAACAGGGCGGAGGAATCGGTTCTGGAACCCGGGATGTGCACTTTGGGTACGCTTCTCGCATACCCACAAAGACCAACACAAAACTGAAGCCGCGCGTATTTAGCACAGCCGTCATTGAACGGTAGCATTAGTGTCGTTGATCGGAATACGGCCAAGGCGCCAAACGCTAGCGCTCACCAGTGCGAGCCAGGCCACTATTCTGAAGTAGCATGCACCTCTTGCTGTCATGTATCTACATGACTCTTTATGGTGCCTACGCTACACGGGTCTAGCGTTTACTACTCCTTTCCTATGATCTATCTGCCAACGCATACGGATCGTGAGGGGCGCACATGGAACTGGACTTATCTAAATACGCCACGAACCCGATCAAGATCTCTGGCCCCACGTTCGTCTCACGGGCGTTGTCCGTAGGGTCCGTATCGTTCAAAAGGGTCCACTGCTCAAACCTTCCGCTTCTCCTACCTGCGCCATCATGGTCCACGCGTCTCTCCTGCTGCTCGCCACCGCAGCGCTCGTCGCGGCGTGCCCGGAGGACGACCACGCTCACGGCCATGACGCGCACATACACAAGCGCGCATTCCCGCAGGTCCCGCTCACACCTCCCTCTCGTCCGCTCACATGGGGAGACGTGAACATCATACACACGACGGATAGCCACGGCTGGCTTCTCGGACACCAGAAATCATCATGGCCCGAGCCTAACTATAGTGGCGACTTTGGCGACTTCGCGTCGTTCGTTACGCACATGAAGGCGATTGCGAAGGTGAGCCTGCTTTGTTCAGGCTGGGAATCTGATGTTGAATGTGTTATGGGTCCACAGGAGAAGGATGTCGATCTATTGCTCGTGGATTCGGGTGACTTGCACGATGGTACCGGTCTCTCCGACGGCTACCCTGCCGGCGGTGTGGATGGTCATGAGTCGAACAAGTTCTTCTCCCAGCTCCCCTACGACATTGCTGGTAAGGTCGCGTCCATTCTCTTTGCGGCATGCTTTCTTATGCGTACTCAGCGATCGGGAACCACGAGTTGTACAACTACTCGTACACCTTCGACATGTACAAGAACACAGTGCCCAAGTTCCACGGCCGTTATCTCTCCTCCAACGTTAACATCACCGTGAACAACGTCAGCGTGCCTGTCGGCGAGCGCTTTGCCAAATTCAAGACGGCGAAAGGGCGGAAGGTCACAGCGCTCGGCGTGTTGTTCGACTTCACGGGAAATGATGAGGGCACGTTCGTGCAGAAGGTAGAGAACATGGTCAATGAGACGTGGGTAAGCCGCACTTCGTCCTCCATTCGATGTCAGTTCGCCTGATCGTTTTGAACTAGTTCCATGAGGCAATTGCAGACGAGCCTGATTTCTTCCTACTTGCTGGGTGAGCACATCTTAGTGCACATGCTCAACGCGTCCTAACAGCCTTTCAGGCACATGCCGGTCTCCAACGACAAGTGTATGTTGGGACTGATATCTTGGTTAGACTCAAGCTGACAGATTGCAGGGCCCGTGGTGTTTGACGCTGTACGCGCCGTGCACCCTACTACGCCTATCTTGATTCTTGGCGGGCACACACACATCCGCGATTGCAATCAGCCCGACGGCCGCAGTATGGCCCTTGAGAGCGGTCGCTACATGGAGACCGTTGGCTGGATGAGTACGATCGCTTCCACCATGATTGACTGTTTGAAACTGATTGCGATGCGCTACAGGTGTGAAGCTCGACAAGAAGCACTCACACAGCGCGAACAACCTGACGTTCACGCGCCGGTACCTCGACCCCAACCGCGTTACCTACGAGTACCACACGCGTACCAGCAACCACTCCTTCGACACTCACCTCGGAACCTCTATCACCAAGGGCCTGAACAAGCTTTCGGAGTCTTTCGACCTCACCGCCCTCTTTGGCACCGCTCCTCGCGACTACACCCTCAGCCGCGACCCGTACCCGTCAAACGGATCTATCCTTTCGCTCGTTGCAGACGATGTTCTCCCTGTCGCTCTGTCCGTCAACAACACCCGCGCCGACATCCCCAAGATCGTCTTCCTCAACTCCGGCTCCTTCCGCTTCGACATCTTTCAGGGCCCATTCACGAAGAACGACCAGCTCACTGCGTCGCCCTTCACCGATAGCTTCTTGTACTTGCCCAATGTGACGGCTACTGCGGCTCAACAGGTTATCAACATCCTGAACGGGATGGGCGAGCCTGATAAGAAGCGGAAGAGAGCGCTGGTGGAGCGTGAGGAGGAGTTGTACAGCCGCGGCGTTGTCGCTCAGAGATACAACGCGTGGCTAAGGGAGATGTCCGAGCGCGAGACCATTGAGCGCCGCGATGCTGAGAACCTCACTCTCGGCTACGTTACGACCGACGTGAGTGACTGTGCCATTCTCTTTCGTCGGCTGCAACTGACGTGTCTAAACTCTGCAGTCCTGCCCCGGCGTCGGCGACGACACCCCGCATATCGCCTTGCCATTCTTCAGCTCGCCGGACTACGTCGCCTCGGCTACACCCGACGGCATCGATGCCAACGAACCCATCGTAGACTTCGTTATCGACGACTTCATCATCGACGACACGGTCAAGATTCTCAACGAGGTGCAGACCGACATCGTTTACTCAACGGATCAGGCCGCGCCGTATAGCCCGATTCTGCTTTCGGAGGTTCTGGGCGTGTATGCGCAGGTTGCTTGGAATTAATCTCAGGTATTATAGGGTTGTAGTGGTTCAAGCACATTGCTGTGTATTGTCTGAGTATTATCCAAATATATTCAACTTGGGTAAAGATTGCGCCATCTCGCTCTCGCCACCGCCAGTGCTGGGCGCTCAATTCCACTCTGCTTCCGCGAAAACTCCGAACACGTCCTTGAGCTCGAAAGGACTATAGCTGAGAACATCGTCCCCTGTGTACACCTTGTCGGACTGTATGCCGTTAAGGATCTCCAACACGTCGTCTTGAACGAAGTCGGTGAAGACGAAGTCCAGGATGGGCGCGTCGGCGTCTTCGACATCCGGTGCTGGTGAGGGAACGTAGTCTGGGAAGGTGCTGGTGAACGATTGTACAGCAGTGTGCGGGATATCGTCGCCGACGCCCGGGCAGGACTGCACGAACCAGGTCAGTAAGTGGAAAAGGGATACGAGATAGGAGAAACCACGCACATCCTGAGTCACATATCCCAACGTCAAGTTCTCAGCAACATCCCTCTTCGCAAAGTGTGCGTCCGCCATATCCCTCACCCACTCCTGGTACCTCGCCTCGTACTTCTCTTCCCGCGGGGCAACCTCAAGACTACGCCTCGTGACCGAGGTATCGCCGTTCAACCCCGCAAGAACCTTCTGTCCCTCGTTGAGCGTGATGTTCGCGATGTACACGAATGCGTTGGTGAAGGGCGAAGCGGTGAGCTGGTCGTTCTTGGTGAAAGCCCCTGCGAAGACATCGAAGCGAAGGCCGCCAGACTGCACGATGATGTACGCGGGGATCTCCGAAGAGCGCGTGTTGTTGACGGCTAGGGAGAACGGCAGGACTTGGTCCGTCAAGAGGGAGAGCAGAGAGGAGTTGCTGGGCCAAGGCGCGCGAGCGTAGGGGTAATCCTGTGGCGCTGTCCCGAAGAAGAAGCTCAGATCGAACTCGGTAGCGAGATCCTCCAAGCTGCCCGTGAGTGAAGTCCCGTTCGCTGTGTCGAAGGTGTCGTTGCTCTGTCCAGAATGGTACTCGAACGTGACGCGGTTCGAGTCCATGTAGCGGCGGGTGAACGAGATGTTGCCGCTGTCCGTGAAGTTGGCGCCTAGTGCATCGGGGTGAGACTCTGAAACAGTGCAGTTGTGCATACAACGTACTCATCCAGCCAACGGTTTCCATGTAGCGACCACTCTCCAGACCCATTGAACGCCCATCATACTGAGCTATCGCGGAAGGTCAGGATCTGCTAAGCCCATGACGTGTACCCGACTTACTGCAGTCACGGATGTGTGTATGCCCTCCAAGAACGAGAATGGGTGTATTCGGGTGTACAGCGCGTACAGCGCTAACAACAGTCGGCCCTACATCCCATCCCATCAGCTTCGCATCATACACTCCAGACTTCCATGAAACGCACAATGGTCGCCGTTCACCGGCATGTGTCTGGGATACCGTCAGCGATGCGAACGTCCTTGGCGGTACTACAATAGCTTACCCTGTAAGCAAGAAGAAGTCGGGCTCTTCCTCGATAGCCTCTGCGAACTGTGATCCGTCAATTCCGGTCCCACAACAGTAGAGTTGCGGGATAGATAGACGCACCCAAGTCTCGTTAACCATCGAGGGAACATCCTGCACCGTCGTCCCCTCATCGTTCCCCGTGAAGTGGAACAGCACACCAAGCGCCGTGACCTTCCTCCCCTTACTCGTCGTGAACTTCGCGAAGCGCTCTCCGACAGGTTCGCTGACGTTGTTGATCGTGATGTTAACGTTGGATGACAGGTAGCGTCCAGGGAACCTCGGTGCGAAGTTGTCGTGCATGTCCTTCGTGATGTTGTAGATGTACAGTTCATGATTTCCGATGGCCAGTACGTCGTATGGGAGCGTGGCCATGAGCTGACTTGATTGTTGGCCGTCGATGCCGCCGGCTGGGAAGCCGTCAGAAATGCCGGTGCCGTCATGCAGGTCACCAGTGTCGACGAGTAGCAGGTCGACGTCCTTCTCCTGCGCTCACAGTCAGCGCACTGCTCTGTATCTCAGCCCGCAGATGGCTACGTACCTCGGCCAACGCCTTCATGTGCGTCACGAACGAGGCAAAGTCGCCGAAATCTGCGCTGTAGTTGGGTTCTGGGAACGACGGCTTTTGGTGCCCGAGAAGCCAGCCGTGGCTGTCGGTCGTGTGTATGATATTCACATCTCCCCACACGAGCGGTGTAGAGGGAGGCGCAAGAGCCACAGAGGGCGGTAGTCGTTTGCGCAGGCTACGGTGCTCATGTTCATGGTCGTCCCCGCACGCGAGCGCGAGCGACGCGGCACCGAGAAGGACGGAAGAGAGATAGGCCCGCATGGTGCAGGGAGTCCGATAGGCAGCTCGTACGACATGTCCCGCTTTATATACTCATGCATTGTATGAGAAGCTGCGGGTCCAAAGAGAGCCAGTGGAGACGGGATCCATCATGATATCTGGTCAAGCGACGTGGGCGTCAAAGGCAAAGCGGATCGACAGAAGCCTCGATAAGGCACTGCGCTGAATTTAGGACCCACAGACGTATGGGCTGACCTCTCGACGAACAGATGCACCGGGTACTATCTTTGACTTTGCGGATAGGTTTGGAGCTTCGATCTGCTGGAGTTGGACAAAGGCGAGCATCCAGGAGCCCGGTTGGGAGGGAGCTCGGGAACGATAGCCAAAATATGGGTGCGCAGCGACTGTATTGTCCGTTCATATGGCATTGGACAGCTACTTGATCGAGTTTCAGCAAAGCGCCAGTTAAGATGAGTAAAGTTCCGTAGGACGCGAATACCGCGAGTGACCGACAGGCAAGATATTACGAGCGAAGATAGCGAGAGGTTAAGGAACGAATCCAGTACGAAACGCGAAGAAACCCAAAGCAGAAAGACGTACAAAATGCGTGCCACTCTAGCACGATATCACGCCGTCAACAAAGATAGAGATGTGAAAAGCGAGAGTTTCGATGTCCCTTTATACGGGACCAATGAGACTAAACAGACTATGAACATGCGAAACACAGATCGAGAGACGACGAGACTAGAGACTGAGATACGACGGGAGACTGGGGGATAACTATGTACGGGGCGGGAACGGGGGTAAGTGTAATAACTTTGCTGAACGACCTTCTACTGTCCTCCTCCTCCTTCCTTCCTCCACTCCTTCCTCCAACTACTACTCCTTCGACTCCTAATGGGCCCGAACCCCGACTGCCTCCCCGACGGCGACTGGAGACTGGAGATGATACAAGAACAAGGCCATAACACGCGGCTTCATGACGACCGTACGACAAACAACACAGCCTGAACAGACAAAAGATAACTCAAAGAAGAAAAAATTGATGGGTGGGATATCCGGATGGGAGGGTGGATCGAAAAATGAAAGGAGGACGATAAAGGAGCGCATAGATAATACTGAGAGATTGCAACGAAAAAACAAAATGCTTGTGTGTGACTGAAGTTGTTGTTGGGTTGAGAGAAGGCCAGACGATCAACTCCGATCCCGACGCGCGCGAACCGGCTACTACCTCATGTTGAGCGTCTTCGGCAGCGGCGAGTCGGGGTCGGTCTTGATGAGCGGCATGGCGTTGTAGTCCGCCGCTGGTGACGATGATCAGCACCGAGCTTTAATGGAAGGGAGAGAAAAGGGAACGTACTTTGCATGAATACCCTGTTGCCCCACCAGTCGACTTCGAAGCCTCCTTTCGGGAACTGCAACGTGAAGAAGATGATGATGACAGCAGCGACGGTGCCTACAACGATGTCGTCTCAGCCATCTACAGCAGCAATCACAGAGTAGAAAGAAACGCACCGATATCCAACGCCGCGCTCGTGACGTAGTTGAACTTGGACCACCACGCAAAGTTGCGTTTCCGGATGACATACTGGAAGATAAAGCCCACGGTGAACCACGACGAGAAGTTGATGCCCACACTGGGCGGGATGTACGAGACACCGTTCAACACGACGGGCCTGCCATTCCGCATCAGCATCGAGTGACGCGGGTACAAGGGATAGAGAGGGAGAGGGAGGACGTACGTGGAGATGTACTTCGCCCAGCTATTCGGTCTTCTCCTCTGCCAGTACCAAAACGGAATCGGCAAGATCGAGCCCACAATGATCGCATACAACTGCGGCTGGTACATCGACCCGCCGCCGAACTGCCTCGACGGACCGATCAGACCCCTACACACACGGGCGCATCAGTATCATCATCCCCTCGTATGAGTGTGGAAAGCGGAACGTACCAGATAGCGCTCGCGGTCAAGAAGACCTGATTGTGCGGGCACGTCAAGTGGCTCTCTTGGTCTGGGTTGCAGATGTCTGGGACGTTGGCGAAGATCCATTCTTTGACGCCGACCTGGACGAACGCCGCGATGAACGTCGCCACGAATTGCACTACACACCCACCATCCACCATCAGCCACAACCCTCGATCCCCATCCAAGCGGAAAGAAACGCACCCTTGAACGTCGCCCGCGGCGAGATCTTAATATAGTGGCCCAGCTTTAAATCCTGCACGAACGACGTGGCCTCCGTCAGCGTCTGCACGCTGTACGCCTTGAACACGAGATTGGCGAGCGGTTTGCCGGGCAGGAGTGTTCCGGGTATGATTTGGGCGAGCAGGTTGAGCGTGATGCCTTGGCCTGTCATGGCGTAGATGAAGCCGCTCGGGAGGACGTATACGATCGGCAGGGCGAGGGAAAAGATGATGGCCCATACTGGCATGCCTGTGTGCCACACCTAACGCGCGCACAAACAACGTCAGAACACCCATCTTCATACTCTTGGTGATATATCACGCACCTCGTTGGCGACGATGGCCAGCGCCATGAACACCACACCGACCGAGGCGTACCACCAATCGGGCACCTCCGCGTAGTTCCGCATCAGCTTCGCATGGATATCGTCCTTCTCGATGTCCATCCTCTTCAGGCCGTTCAGCACCGCGCGGCCGTGATACAGCACCGTATGCGTGAGCACACATCTACAAACCAAACGAACAATTCATCAGCATACACCCTGACTGTCGAAACTCATCCAAATTCCAAGAAAAAGTAGGGAAGGCGTTGGCATCCATTCCAAGACGCCCGCCCGCCCGGCACCCCGCGCCGCGTCAGGCGTCGGCCCGCCCCCGACCACGGTCCCACGTCAAAAACAACATCGCTTCTCCCGTCCCACCGCCGCACCGCTCGCGTGATGCACGCATGATCTTCCATCTTCCATGCCCGCATCATCTCCTATCCCGTGCCATCCGTCCCATCCACCCCCCGTTTGATATCCATCCTATCAACTTGAGGTACCCCCGACGCGGAGGGCTCCCAGCCCCACCCCACATCCCAGCAGCGTCGGCCGCCAAATGCAGTGTCCTCATCTCAAACACCGACCGCGTGCGATGCCATCACGAGGGCCAAGGAAGCACAAGGAAAGCATGCTGACGCGAGAAGAGATAGAAGAGCGGACGTACGTGCACAAGGTGAACGCGATGAGGTACGTCATTGCGTATGCCGCGGGCATGTAGAGCGGCGAGTACTCCTCGTACGCCGTCTCGTTGAACGTGTCCTGCCAAGACGCCAAAAAACCGTGTCAGCAAGCGTGCGCCCGCAGCACCCAACCACAGCACCGAACATGAACAAGTGAAAAACGGGGAGTGCGCGAGGGAACATTATCCCGAAAAGACCGAATACTTTCTCCCGTGTCAAAACCAAAGAGGAAAGAAACGTCGCGCGCG